TTTCAAGTTCGGGTACCATACTGGCGCTGTATACTCCAAGATGGACCTGACCTGTGTTGTGTAAAGGGCCCGTAATAACTCGTTGTTGAGATTCCTGAAGGCTACTCTTCGATTTGCCAAACGAGCATTGACTTCAAAGGTTATTCGGCTGATGTGAGACTGGCCACTAAGCTCTTCCCTAAGTTTTTTTTTTCCTTTGAGTGAGGTATGTGGCCCCTGTTCCCCTAGTCTATACCCCGTTTCCGGTTTTCTTGCTCCTTCCCCAATCTTCATGACCTTGCATTTACTGGAGTTGAATTAGAGCAACCATTTATCTGACCACTCCTGCAATTTGTCCAGATCCCCTTGGAGCCTGTCTTTGTCATCATCCGTTTTTATTCTCGTTAGTTTTACATCAGAAAACAGGGATATATTTGAATCACTCCCATCTGTAATGTCGTTCACACAAACCAGAAATAGCACTGGTCCCGAATCTGCACACAGAAATCACTCCCTACGAAAGTAAAAGACTGGGCAGGCGATGCAAATTACCCCCAATTAAAAGTAGGGGCGCCATTGGTACACTAAGAGAAAACACCATAAGTGTCCGGGGCCCAAGACTGTTCAACAGCCTCCCATCAAGCATTAGGGGAATTACCAATAAACCCCTGGCTGCCTTCAAGAGAGAGCTGGACAGATACCTAAAGTCAGTGCCGGATCAGCCGGGCAGTGGCTCGTACGTTGGACTGCGTGCGGCCAGCAGTAACAGCCTGGTTGATCAGGCCCTGATCCACCGGAAGGCCTGGTCATGGACCGGGCCGCGGGGGCGTTGATCCCCGGAATAACCTCCAGGTAACCCATCTGCTGAACTCCGCTACTCTTCTCTATTCTGACGTCTGTTGTCTGAGTCTCCTTTCTGTTTCGTTCAACTAAGCTACTCTTTGATTTGTAGATGAATGGTTCATAGAACCGACATGTTGATAAATTAGACACATGTGCAACTCTTGGGTATCTTTATTGAGGAAACGTTTCGCCACACAGTGGCTTCATCAGTCCATACGTAGGAGAAACTGCAACTTCTTGGGATCTTAATACTTAGGAATTCTTCACTTGCCTAATTCTTGGGCACGACCTACTTCCACATTGAACAAATGTGACACCACCTATGACTGCTGCACCTCTCCTGCCATACGGTTTATAAGCTGCTTCTCAGCTCATATGCCGTATTCTACTCAAGATTGATGGACTGAACACATCGACTCAAGGTTGAGGGACTGATTACCTCATTCTCCTGTTCTTCAAGTTTCTCCTACGTATGGACTGATGAAGCCACTGTGTGGCGAAACGTTTCCTCAATAAAGATACCCAAGAGTTGCACATGTGTCTAATTTATCTACTCTTTGATTAACCGGAGAACATTCCGTTATTCCCGCCTGCATCTCAAGCTTCTGGTCCAGACTCTTGAGAGGTACGCTGTATAACCCTTGTGGTTTAGCGCTTCTTTTTCATTATAATAATAATCTTGAGAGGTACAGTATCAAGCGCTTTCTTGCAGTCAAAAATAAATCTAATCCTCCCCTAACCCTTTCTCTCTCGCCGCACATCTGTTACTTTGTCACAGAACTCCAGCAAGTTAGTAAGATAAGATTTGTAATCCCTAAACCCAAGCTGGTTATTGTTTATAACACCGCTTCTATCCAAGTGTTCTATCACCTCCCCTGAAAGAGAGAGAGAGAGAGAGAGAGAGAGAGAGAGAGAGAGAGAGAGAGAGAGAGAGAGAGAGAGAGAGAGAGAGAGAAAGCCACCACGATATGTACATGTGACAGGACAGCAGAGGGGTGGTGGCTGCTTATTATCTCTGACATCTTGGGCCACATTGTCCACCACCCAACTGTTATCACATTATTATTATTATTATTATTATTATTATTATTATTATTACTACTACTACTACTACTACTACTACTACTACTACTACCTACCTACCTGCCTGGAGTCTACCTTTAAGGTATACCGGGGATCAACGCTCCCGCTGCCCAGTCCACGACCAGGCCTTCCGGTGGATCAGGGCCTGATCAATCAGGCTGTTACTGCTGGCCGCACGTAGTCCAACGTAGGAACCTTAGCCCGGCTGATCCAGCACCGACTTGAAGTATCTGTCCAGCTCCCTCTTGAAGGCAGCCGGGGCCTATTAGTAATTTCCCTTATGCATGGTGGGAGGCTGTTGATATATCTTCTTGAATTAGACTGCTTTAACAATGTCCCTGGTAAGGATGGTGACGTGAGAATGACAGGAAGAATACAAAAACACAACTGGAGAGAGGAAGAGGAGGAAAAAGAAGAGGCAGAGGCCGAAGATGATAAAAAAAAACTTATGTGATCTGTTCATTCTTGATTTGAACCTGTTTAGTGATGTGCTACTTACATTGTGGTGTGTACAGGTGCTGAGTACTACCAGATGTATGTTCAATGTGTATACACTAAGTACACGTGATGGAGAGATGTACTCTGATCTTCTTGTTAGTGTTTTTAGGGCCACTGACACCGTACGATGTACTCTGATCTTCTTGTTAGTGTTTTTAGGGCCACTGACACCGTACGATGTACTCTGATCTTCTTCTTAGTGTTTTTAGGGCCACTGACACCGTACGATGTACTCTGATCTTCTTGTTAGTGTTTTTAGGGCCACTGACACCGTACGATGTACTCTGATCTTCATAGACAATACTCTACACTACACAACACCACAGCACTACAACAACACAACACACTATAACAATATAACGCAACAATACAACATACAACATAAAGCAACAACACAGCACACTACAACAACACAACACAACAACACAGCACACTACAACAACACACAACAACACAGCACACTACAACAACACAACACAACAACACAGCACACTACAACAAAATACACTACAACACAACACAGCACACTACAACAAAACACACAACACAGCACACTACAACAACACAACACAACAACACAGCACATTACAACACGGCACACTACAACAACACAACACACTACAACAACACAACACAACAACACAGCACACTACAACAACACAACACACTACAACAACACAACACAACAACACAGCACATTACAACACAGCACACTACAACAACACAACAACAACACAGCACACTACAACACAGCAACTGCAACAACACAACACAACAACACAGCACATTACAACAACACAACACACTACAACAACACAACACAGTACAATACAACACAGAACACATACAACACATCACACTACAACAACAGCACACTACAGCAACACAACACGACACATTACAACACAACACAATACAACACAACCCAGCACTTTACAACACAAGACAATACAACATAGCACAGTACAACACAACACAATACAACACAACACAATACAGCACAATACAACACAACACAATACAACACAACACAGCACACTACAACAACAAAATAGCACAGCACAACACATCACACTACAACACAGCACACTACAACAACACAACACAGTACAACACAACACAATACAACACAACCCAGCACATTACAACACAAGACAATACAACACAGCACAGTACAACACAACACAATACAACACAATACAGCACAATACAACACAATACAACACAACACAGCACACTACAACAACACAACACGACACAATACAACACAACACAATACAACTCAACACAGTAAAGCACAACACAATACAACTCAACACAGTAAAGCACAACACAATACAACTCAACACAGTAAAGCACAACACAATACAACTCAACACAGTAAAGCACAACACAATACAACTCAACACATTAAAGCACAACACAATACAACACAACACAATACAACTCAACACAGTAAAGCACAACACAATACAATTCAACACAGTAAAGCACAACACAATACAACACAACACAGCACACTACAACAACAAAATAGCACAGTACAACACATCACACTACAACACAGCACACTACAACAACACAACACGACACAATACAACACAACACAATACAACTCAACACAGTAAAGCACAACACAATACAACTCAACACAGTAAAGCACAACACAATACAACTCAACACAGTAAAGCACAACACAATACAACTCAACACAGTAAAGCACAACACAATACAACTCAACACATTAAAGCACAACACAATACAACACAACACAATACAACTCAACACAGTAAAGCACAACACAATACAACTCAACACAGTAAAGCACAACATAATACAACATAATACAACACAGCACACGACACATGTCAATGTTAACACAGTCATCATAACGAAACTTGGTTGTACTTGCTAACAAAAAAGATAAAATGCTCCAAAGAAATTCAAAGAATCAATCTAAATTAACTTAATGATTTAAATATTAGTGATTATTTTCATGGAATTCCAACAGTATTAGAAAAAAAATAATTTACACTTTAAAATTATTATGAAAGTAAAGTCGCAGTAAAATTCAATTTCTGTAACTTTTATATAAATAAATTCGAGAAAATTGGCAACTGCAAATGTTATGCACAGGCGGGAGGGTTGGCACGCCTGCTGAGGAGGCGGAGCCTACAAATATTTCATTCATTATTTAACATAAACAAAGAATATTTATGACAAATATTATTCGATATGCTTAACAATACTTACATCTTTTTGTTAGAAAAGAGATAAGTAGTGTTTTAAAATAATTATTTCAGAGGGAATGTTTGTAGAGGAGAGTGCGCAGTCACTCCACCAACTTACAAGTAATGACAATATACATTAATATTTCATATTTACTTACAACTTATTGTACATTTCTTAAGAAAATTTAAGAAAACAAGACGCGCAAATAATGTAATCCATTTAAAACTACGATATAATTTAAACATACCAACACAGTTCATAATTAAGCACTGGTGAATTCGATATAAAATAGAAATGAACGAAAGTAAATGAAAGTTGTTAAGAAGGAGCAGGAGTGAGGTCAATGGAGGACATAAATAGCGGGTTAGAAGGAGTCACAAGTCAGTACGAGAGTAGCAGGAGAGCAGTAGTGTAGTTGTCAGTGTTCTGGTACATCTCACTGGCTGGCTCCTTCAACATGAAGATATTAGTTATACTTCTGAGTGTATCAGTGACTCTCGCCTCTGCTGGTATGTGTCACTCTCACTGCTAAACTTTGACTATATTAACACTAATGATTTAGCCAATTTTACACAGTAATTAACAAGAACTCATTTAAGATTAAGTCCTTTCTAAAATTTTCTCCTATACATTTAAAGATATATATTTTTTCATTTGTGTTAATGTAAAAATTAATAATTTTGTACCAAAAGAACCTTAGAAAACTTACCAAACCTTACTATAAACAAGCGCAGTTTAATTTAGCTTAATCCAATTAAATATACTTTAGATAAGTTTACAATAATTTAATAATAAACAAACACAGCGAAATATATTTTTTTGGTTAGGTTCAGAATGATTTTTTGCGAAATTATTGCATACACAAATTTTCGCTTTCCTTATTCGGCAAGAAGAGCGTTACTATTTAAGCCAAAATGGCAAGTTTTACCTGTTCGGCACAACATAGACCACAATATATTAATAAATAATATATATATATATATATATATATATATATATATATATATATATATATATATATATATATATATATTTAAAATTTCGTATATCGCATGATAAGTTTCTTGGGTGATCCTAGGTTAATAATATAACACGAGTGCTGCTAATATCATCAGTGTGACTTCATGTCTAGTATTAAAACAATTCCATGTTATTCTGTATTGATTGCTTAAATTAATCTTCATTGTATGATTAATTAGGTTTCTTCGTAACTTTTTTTTTTTTTTTACTTATAAGGAATTTAAATGTTTATTCAGGTTTTGCCTGAAATTTAATCAGAAAAGTTTTTTTTTAATATTTTAGTACCAGTAATAGACAACTCATTTAAGTTTAACGAAAAAAAACTATTTAAAATGTTTGTGTAATTTTAAGGGCACTTTATGTTGAGTGAAATAATGAATAATAATGTTGTTAGATAACAAAGTTTAAACGAAGTGTTTAGAGAAATTTAATAATAGATTTTATTCGGATTATTAACTTGGTCCAGGTACACATAACTGCAGTTATCATACATAGATTAACATGTGTAAATTACCTAGGATAATCGACCTAAGTCGGACAAAATTATTTATTTCCATTAGGGTTGATCCAATATAGCCAGTAATTAGCTTAATTCCATTTTAATTTGAGTCTTTGGTCCTCTTCCCCAAGATCCCACCCACAACAGTCGGTTAGCATGAAGTGCACAATAAACTAACCACTCAGGTGACCCCAAAGGAAATATGTCACTGACTTTATTTGGGGTTATCCTCGGTAATTTACACTATGTATGATAATTGTACTTGTGTGTGCCTGTACATATATAAATTAATAAGTCTCCCTTATTATCAACACTAAAGAACAAGACAGGAAATTTAAATACCTTACCACCCTTTATATACAAAAAAACTTCAAGTGCTGTCACCAATCATTGCAACACTCTTTAACAAATCCATCGAATCCTCTACCTTCCCCACAGTTCTCAAAATAGTGAGGAACACCCCGATACATAAAGGTGGAGATCAAACAGCTAGTTTAATATGTTTATTATGCACCCCATACCCATCCTGTGGGCGGTAATCAAAAGATTATAGACTTGAATAACTATAGGCCAATATCCAACTTACATCCTCTCTAAAATCTTTGAAAAACTAATTCATAAGCGAATCTATTCCTACCTCATCTCCCACAACATACTCAGTCCCTGTCAGTTTGGGTTCAGGCCTAATAAAACTACGAATGATGCTATTATACACATGCTTGAACAAATATACACTGCACTCGAGAAAAATGAAGTCCCATTGGGGATCTTCATTGATTTACGTAAAGCTTTTGATACAGTTGACCATGATTTGCTGCACATAAAATTATCACACTATGGTATAAGAGAGCACTCTCTCAACTACCTAAAGTCATACCTTAGCAACAGAAGCCAGTATGTGTACACAAATGGAGCAAACTCTTCCACACAGCCAATTACAGTTGGTGTCCCACAGGAAAGTGTCCTTGTCCCTCTTCTCTTTCTCATTTACATAAACGATCTATCAAATGCATCACAACTACTCAAACCCATACTATTTGCAGATGACACTACATAAGTCTTCTCACCCAAACCCAGTCATACTAGCCAATACTGTAAATACCGAATTACAGAAAATATCTACCTGGATGATGATTAACAAACTTAATCTCAATATTGACAAAACCTACTACATTCAGTTTGGGAACAGAACTACAGATGTTCCTCTTAACATAATGATAAACGGATCATCTATCACAAAGCTCACAGAGGGAAAATTCTTAGGAATCCACCTTGATGATTGACCCAGATCTCAAACACGTGTACAACAAATTTCCAAGAAAATCTCCAAGACCGTAGGCATACTATCGAAGATACGGTACTATGTTCCACATTCAGCCCTCCTGGCCCTATATCACTCGCTCATTTACCCCTATCTCACCTATGGAATTTGTGCATGGGGCTCAACAACAATAAATCATCTCAGACCATTAATTACCCAACAAAAGGTTGCAGCCAGAATGATAAATTCCCTCTCCAGGCAGCATACTCCACTAATATTCAAAACTCTAAACTTACTCACCGTACAAAATATCCATACTTATTATTGTGCCTACTATATACATAGAACACTAAACTCGGATATAAACCCTCCCCTCAAACTTCTTGCCAACCTCAACAGAACACATGACCATAACACAAGGCACAGAACACTCTTTGATGTTCCCTGTGTCCATCTCACTATGTAAAAACTCAATTCACATAACAGGCCCAAAAATCTGGAATTCATTACCTGTGAATATAAAAGAAATACTGTCTGTTTATCAGTTCAAGACTCTTCTTAAAAACCACTTACTCAACCACAACTAAATAAATACTGAATAACTGAATCTCATAAATGTATAACCTGTGACCCTATCAAACTGTTTTTTTTTATTGCATTACCTAATAGAATACTCCATTCTCTTGACTCCCCTCAAGGAAGGTTCCTTGATGTTGGTGAGGGGCTCTTGATTTAGGGAATTGGATCTGTGCTCCAGTTCCCCGAATTAAGCCTGAATACCATCCACGTCCCCCCCAGGCGCTGTATAATCCTCCGGGTTTAGCGCTTCCCCCTTGATTATAATAATAATCCATTCTCTTGAATGCACAGTAACTCATCTAATGACCATATGACCTGTTTCCTGGAGTTTACCTGGAGAGAGTTCCGGGGGTCAACGCCCCCGCGGCCCGGTCTGTGACCAGGCCTCCTGGTGGATCAGAGCCTGATCAACCAGGCTGTTGCTGCTGGCTGCACGCAAACCAACGTACGAGCCACAGCCCGGCTGATCCGGAACTGACTTTAGGTGCTTGTCCAGTGCCAGCTTGAAGACTGCCAGGGGTCTGTTGGTAATCCCCCTTATGTGTGCTGGGAGGCAGTTGAACAGTCTCGGGCCCCTGACACTTATTGTATGGTCTCTTAACGTGCTAGTGACACCCCTGCTTTTCATTGGGGGGATGGTGCATCGTCTGCCAAGTCTTTTGCTTTCGTAGTGAGTGATTTTCGTGTGCAAGTTCGGTACTAGTCCCTCTAGGATTTTCCAGGTGTATATAATCATGTATCTCTCCCTCCTGCGTTCCAGGGAATACAGGTTTAGAAACCTCAAGCGCTCCCAGTAATTGAGGTGTTTTATCTCCGTTATGCGCGCCGTGAAGGTTCTCTGTACATTTTCTAGGTCGGCAATTTCACCTGCCTTGAAAGGTGCTGTTAGAGTGCAGCAATATTCCAGCCTAGATAAAAAATAAATTACGAAAACAACCACTTAACATTCAAGCTGGTAGTAGACTAAGTTTTGCCCGAAATGCCATTCATCTTGTGGGCGTTCTGGTTATTGTATATTTTGTAATGGGTGAAAAGAAATAAATCTTGCCTATATATACTGGAACCTGCACTGGTTTTGGTGGAGTATGAACGTCTTACTTTACCGCTGCCTAGTGACGAATTTTCCCGGTTTTCTTGCCCTTGTCTTCATCATGTACTGCCATTTTTGGTCCCTACATCACCTAGGCTTAAAAAAACCTGTTGATGTGGTTTTGTGGCTGCCGGAATTTAGACAAGGGGAATCCACTTGATCTTATTTATTTATTTTGTCTTTGCAAACAGTACATTGAGATTTTATATTTACAATAGTGGGTTGCAATGCAAAGAAAACCTCTATTATGCCGAGGCATTATAGGCCAATTTAACATTATTGGCTTACAGACTACTTAACACTAAGGATTTTATCATAGTTGTACAGTAAGACAGTAATTATTTCATAGTTGAACAGTAGATTATTAATTATAAGTGAATTAAGTTTGTATAAGAAAAAGGATATATTCTTATCGTCTAAAATACTTTTTGTGGAAAACAATGGTTCAATTATATTCCTGTCAACAATGGATAAAATGTTCAAAGTGATTGTTGAAGTTGTGGAAAATTGCATTTACTTGGATGTATCATTATTTACATAACAGTAAATGAACAAAGATAATTATTATTTATCAGTTAGACAAGTAGGAATTTGGGACACTTAGGTCGCAAAAAATGTCCCCCTTCGATACCTACCACTGCCATATCCACAAGTTGCTCTGGACCTATTAATTATAAATAAAAGATACATCACCAGGACTGTATATTAAATTAAAAAATGTTTATATATAAACACATTTACATAACAGAAGGAGAATATCTTAAAATCATAACACTCGCCAATTTGACTGGAGATTAATGTGTCATGTACAGGACCCCCCCCCCCTTTGCCCACATTTATGAAGAATTTACTGGCCAGAAATTAAACATAACCTCAGACAGCTTATCTGAGGTTCCTGGAGTTGTCCTGTCCTGTCGCCTGATTCTCAAATTATGCAGGAATGCACATCCAACAATTTCGCCTCCTATTGGAGAGGTGTCAGCCCGATTTTAACCTCTAGAGCACGAAAAATTCTTCCCATTATTCACAACGTGTTATTCAATTCAAACAAAATGGCGTCTGTACTGCCCAGCCCCAGGTTTCCCCTTTTCGATAACATACTTCTTTTAAAAATACAATATAGGGCATCTATTTACCTATAAATTACCGTATTTCCGGAAAATATATACAGTATTTTCCACAGAAGTTATGATGTAGGAATACATAGGTGAGTATGTGTGTACTGAGTATTTAGCGCTTAGTCTAGGGTGATTAAGTTGCTTTTGAGAAGTCTTAAACTGGTTTTCAGACTGGGTTACTTTAATATCTTCTGGTAATGAATTCCATATTTTATGGCCCTTTATGTGAATTGAGTTTTTAGTGTGATAAGGACACGAGGTATATCAAAGAGATCTGTGCCTTGTGTTGTGGTCATGTGTCCTGTTTAAGTTGGTGAGGAGAAGTTTGAGTGGAGGGTTTATATTTGCGTGTATTGTTCTGTGTATGTAGTAGGCACATGAATAGTAAGTAAGTTTATTCAGGTATACACAAATACATAAGTATGGATGTTCTTAATGGTGAGCAGATTCAGACTTTTAAAAATTGGTGGAGTATGCTGGCGGGAGTGGGAATTCGTTATCATTCTTACTGCTGCCTTTTGCTGGGTTATGAGGGGGTTTTAGGTGATCGGATGCTGTTGATCCCCATGTACAAATTCCATATGTAAGATAAGGGTATATGAGTGAATGGTACAGTGCCAGGAGAGCTGATAGTGGAACGTAGTACCTTATCTTTGACAGTATGCCTACAGTTTTGGAGATTTTCTTGGTGATTTGTTGTATGTATGTCCGGAACTTAAGGCTGCTGTCAAGGTAGATACCTAGGAATTTTCCCTCTGTGAGTCTTATGACTGATGATCCATTTCGCGTTATGTTAATCGGATCATTTGCAGCTTTATTTCCAAACTGAATGAAATAGGTTTTATCAGTATTCAGGGTAAGTTTATTAGTCATCATCCAGGCAGATATTTTCTCCAATTCGGCATTGACTGTGTTTGCTAGTATGACCGTGTTTGGGTGGGAAAAGACATATGTAGTGTCATCTGCAAATAATATGGGTTTGAGTAGCTGTGATGCATTCGGTAGATCATTGATGTAGATGAGAAAGAGGAGTGGTCCAAGGACGCTTCCTTGTGGGACTCCTACTGTTATTGGTTGGTGGAAGAGTTTGCATCATTTGCATACACATACTGAGTTCTGTTACTAAGATATGGTTTTAGGTAGTTCAGGGAGTGGCCTCTGATACCATAGTGCGTTAATTTGGAGTACAGCAGTTCATGGTCGACTGTATCGAAAGCATTACGTAAATCAATGAAAATGCCCAGCGGGACTTCTTTCTTTTCGAGTGCGGTATATATTAGTTCTAGCATGTGTATGATAGCATCATTCGTGCTTTTATTACTCCTGAATCCAAACTGACAAGGGTTTAATATGTTGTGAGAGACGAGGTAGGAACAGATCTGTCTATGCATTAATTTTTCAAAGATTTTAGAGAGCAGTGGTAAGTTAGATATTGGTCTATAGTTACTCAAGTCAACTTGGTCACCTCCTTTGTGGATCGGAGTGACCCTCGCTATGTTGAGGATTGTTGGGAAGGTAGCTGATTCAATGGATTTGTTAAAGAGCGTTGCAATAATTGGTGACAATACTTGAAGTTTTTTTTGTACATAAAAGCAGGCAAGCTGTTTGTCTCCTGCCTTGTTTTTAAGGGTGTTTATGATGAGTAACTTCTGTGGGGTAGGTTGGAGCTGGGATGCAGCGCTGTATAGCCCTTGTGGCTTAGAGCTTCTTTTTGATTATAATAATAATAATAATGGAGCTGGGAATTTATTGTTCTCGTTTCTCTTTTTCCGGAGAAATTTATTTAATTTATAATTCCCACCTAGATTTGGGAAACATTTTTTCCCGGACTTAGGGAAACAGGGCTTAATAATCGTGGCTCACTTGGTAGCGGTCTCAGCTTCCAAACAAGGACTGCAGTGGAGTTTTGGATGAGTGGAGACGATGGCCATGTTTCCTAATTACACGTACATGTGCTGACCTTGTTCACCTCACTCCTGTCTAACATATGCTTGCTGGAAGTCCAAGCCCCTCACACACAAAACCTCATTTACCCCCTCCCTCCAGCCTTTCCTAGGCTGACCCTTACCCCGCCTTCTTTTCACTACAGATTTATAGGCTCTCCAAGTCATTCTATTTTGTCCCCAAAAAAGTATCCAAAACAGTTGGAATCCTCTCCAAGATACGATACTACGTGCAAAATGCCCTTCTCACACTATACCATTCACTCATTTATACATACCTCACCTATGCTATTTGTGCTTGGGGATCAACTGCAGCAACACGCCTAAAGCCAATAATAACCCAATAAAAAGCCGCAGTAAGAACAATCACTAAATCCCATCCCTGGCAACACATTCCCCCACTCTTCATAGATCTAAACTTACTCCCTGTTCAGAACGTCCACACTTATTACTGTGCAATCTACATCTACAGGACCTTAAATTCCAATATTAACCTTGGCCTAAAATGCTTTCTTGATAGTTGTGACATGACCCACAGGCATAACACCAGACACAAACATCTCTACGACATTCCCCGTGTCCGACTAAACCTTTACAAAAATTCAATGTATGTCAAAGGCCCTAAAATCTAGAACACCCTACCTCAAAACTCTAGAACTGCAGACACATTCATCACCTTCAAAACTACCATTAGAAAACATCTTATCTCCCTGATACACCCCGTCAACTAACTACATAAAAACCACCTGGTGGTTCACACTTACACTCACTCACTCACCCATTTGACTATAAGCACAGAAATACGAATCTTAATCTTAAAATAATAATTCCTAACTAGTCATAAGTTTGCCTGTGATACTCCAATATAGAAACTATGTATTGTGCCAAAACAAAAGCATTCACATTGCTAAACTCACAAACTAGTATTTAGTCACTTAGTATTTAGTGAACTTACTCCATAATTTGTAATAATTTAGGGTTAAGAATTAATCTAAGTTTGCTCGAAATGCCTAGCCATGCTAGGTGTCCTAGTGGCCTCCTCTGTAATTAGTATTTTACTACATGTAAACCACACAATAACCAAAATCTGTAAACCCCACATTGTAATTCTTATAGAAAATAAACTTGATTGATGATACATGTCCAACCCACCTCAGCAACCCCTCCTCAGCCCTCTAGATAATACTTTTAGTAACCCCACACCTCCTAATTTCCAAACTACAAATTCTCTGCATTATTTCCACTCCACACATTGCCCTCAGACACGACATCTCCACTGCCTCCAGCCTTCTCCTTGTTGCAACATTCACCACCCTTGCTTTACACCCATGTAAGAGCACTGGTATAACTGTGCTCTTGCACATTCCCCTCTGCTTTTGTGGATAATGTTCTTTGTCTCCACAGACTCCTCAGTGCACCACTCACCTTTTTCTCCTCATCAGTTCTGTGATTTACCTCATCTTTCATAGACCCATCTTCTGACACGTTCACTCCCAAATATCTGAATATGTACATTCACCTCCTCCATACTCTTTCCCTTCTCTCTGATATCCAGTCTCTCGTTACCTAAATTTTTTTATGCTCATCACAATACTCTTCCTTATATACACTTTTACTTTCCAACTTTTACATACCCTACCAAACTTATCCACCAACCTCTGCAACTTCTCTTCAGAATTTTCCAAAAGCACAGTGTCATCAGCAAAACTCGAGGAAATAAAAACAGGATTGGAGTATAAAACAAATTCTCAGAGTGAAAAACTAATGTGAAGGACCCAGAAATGATAATGACAGAGTATCTTACTTTCAAAGATCACAACAATGTCTACTACAACCGGTAAGATGGATAATGAGAACTTTCAAAACCAGGGATGCCAAGCCACTGATGATTCTCTTCAGATTGTTTGTTCTCTCTAGGCTTGAATATTGCTGTGCATTAATGGCCCCTTTCGAAGTAGGTAAACCTGCAGACCTGGAGAATATGCAGAGGACTTTCACTGCTTGTATAGGCACAATAAACCACCTAAATTACTGGGAACAGTTGAAGTCCCTTGACCTGTACTCCATGGAATGCAGGCAAGAAAGATACATGATAATATACACTTTGAAAATCTTAAGAGGGACTAGTCCCAAATCTGCACATGAAAATCACTCCCTATGAAAGCAAAAGACTTAGCAGGTGGTGCAGCATCACCCCAGTGAAATGTAGGAGTGCCATAAGTTTGCCCAAGACTGTTCATCTGTCTCCCAGCAAACATAAAGGGGATTATCAATAGACCCCTGGCTGTCTTCAAAAGGGAGCTGGACAGACACTTAGTTCCTGACCAACAGGACCGGGTCAAACGTCGGTTTGTATGCTGCCAGTAGTAACAGCCTGGTTAATCAGGCCCTGATCCACTGCAAGGCCTGGTCATGGACCAGGCCATGGGTGCATTGACCCCCCAAAACACCCTCCAGGTATACTCCAGGCATACATATTTTGCATTTCCATTATTTATATACATACTGTATTATGTGAAGTATAATATAGATGTATAGAAGACAGCTAAGGTTGTTACAAAATTTGACTGATTTCCTTTCATTTTTGAGTTTGGGAGAGGAAAAGTGAGCTCTACCTCTTGGTCCTACCTCTTTCTTGTGTTCATATAGTTGTTTTCTTTCCAGCATGCCGCACAACAGAGTTTCCTTGTGACAAGAACAGATGTTTGCCTCTAAACTGGATGTGTGATGGTGATCCTGATTGTACAGACAGTACTGATGAGCAGGTGGGTCAGCTGCAACCAGCACCTGTTAGATATGTTTTTTTTTATTTTGAATATTTTCTCTCTAATTATTAGAGGAATTATGTTTAGAGTTTTCTAAATTTTTTTTATGATCATATTGTGCTTCTACCCCTTAAGAAGCAAAGATCTGGACAGGTTAGTGATTTCATCTATTACTAATAACCTCCTAAAGAAGGGAATACTAAAAGAACCTTGGATAATAGCAGCAAGACTGAAGATAAGCCACCATGATTTACTGGAACACTTATGAGAAAGAACCATACATCATCTCCACAAAGAACTTGATGATATTTCAGATTCCTGCCAAGTAACATTTTCCAGCCAATCAGATGAGCCAAATGACCTGTTTGCAAAGCAGTATGAACATTGGACTAAAGTTATGTGGAGTGGCTGAGTCCATTTTTATGTGTCTGCATGTCAAGGATGAGTCAAATGCCTATCATATGTTAACTGCTGTTTCCCTAGCTACACAGCTAAAATAGTGATGATATGGGGTTGCTGTAGTGGATTCAACTATTGGATCACTACAACAAGGTCCTAGATGCACTAGAAGACAAAAAGAATGCAGATGTAATATATACAGACTTTGCAAAAGCCTTTGACAAGTGTGACCATGGCATAATAGCGCACAAAATGCATGCTAAAGGAATAACAGGAAAAGTCGGTCGATGGATCTATAATTTCCTCGCTAACAGAACACAGAGTAGTCGTCAACAGAGTAAAGTCCGAGGCAGCTACGGTGAAAAGCTCTGTTCCACAAGGCACAGTACTCGCTCCCATCTTGTTCCTCGTCCTTATATCCGACAGACAAGGATGTCAACCACAGCACCGTGTCTTCCTTTGCAGATGACACCCGAATCTGCATGACAGTGTCTTCCATTGCAGACACTGCAAGGCTCCAGGCGGACATCAACCAAATCTTTCAGTGGGCTGCAGAAAACAATATGAAGTTCAACGATGAGAAATTTCAATTACGTACTCAGATATGGTAAACACGAGGAAATTAAATCTTCATCAGAGTACAAAACAAATTCTGGCCACAAAATAGAGCGAAACACCAACGTCAAAGACCTGGGAGTGATCATGTCGGAGGATCTCACCTTCAAGGACCATAACATTGTATCAATTGCATCTGCTAGAAAAATGACAGGATGGATAATGAGAACCTTCAAAACTAGGGAGGCCAAGCCCATGATGACACTCTTCAGGTCACTTGTTCTATCTAGGCTGGAATATTGCTGCACACTAACAGCACCTTTCAAGGCATGTGAAATTGCTGACCTAGAAAATGTACAGAGAACCTTCACGGCACGCATAACGGAGATAAAACACCTCAATTACTGGGAGCGCTTGAGGTTCCTGAACCTGTATTCCCTGGAACGCAGGCGGAAGAGATACATGATTATATACACCTGGAAAATCCTAGAGGGACTAGTACCGAACTTACACACGAAAATCACTCGCTACGAAAGCAAAAGACTTGGCAGACGATGCAACATCCCCCCAATGAAAAGCAGGGGTGTCACTAGCACATTAAGAGACCATACAATAAGTGTCAGGGGCCCAAGACTGTTCAACTGCCTCCCAGCATACATAAGGGGGATTACCAACAGACCCCTGGCAGTCTTCAAGCTGGCACTGGACAAGCACCTAAAGTCGGTTCCTGACCAGCCGGGCTGTGGCTCGTACGTTGGTTTGCGTGCAGCCAGCAGTAACAGCCTGGTTGATCAGGCTCTGATCCACCAGGAGGCCTGGTCACAGACCGGGCCGCGGGGGCGTTGACCCCCGGAACTCTCTCCAGGTAAACTCCAAGTAAATTAGATATACAGTATGTAAATTGGCATCAGATTTGAATGTTTTTTAACTATTGCATTATTAAGCAGTTGACAGCTAGGGAAAGTTTAGAATCTTGTAGAGAATTTTGTACTTTTTTTATTTACAAGGAGTTTCTACTCGGGTCAAGTTGAGTACATGAGATATAATGTGTATTTATTTCTTGTATTGTCTGTGAATTCTGCTACATATCTCTAGGAAGAGTTTTAGTACTGGATTGTCATGTGTATATAGTATGCACTGTAGTAATTGTGGATGCTTTGTTTAAGTAAATTCAAACTTGAATTGTGTGGGTATGTTTTCTGGAACCTTGAGTGGTCATTCTGATAGTAGATTTTTATTGAGTTACAGTGAGTTTTAGGTGATTTGCTGCTGTAGATTCCTATGCACATACCATCAGTGAGGTATGGATAGATCAGACAGTAGCACAGAATGAATAATAAAGCATGAGCTTAATGCCCACTATCTTTAGAAATTTTCATAAGTACTGAATGTGAGTATGAGTATTTATATAATTTATCCTCATCTTGTCTTTCAATGTCTATTATTTACTTTTATGTTCAATGGATCAAGGAGCCTCAAGGGAGGCTCCTTGATGCTGGTGAGGGACTCTTGATCTAGGGAATTAGATCTGTGCTCTAGTTCCCTGTATTGAGCCTGGATACCTTCCATCCTCCCTCACAGGTGCTGTATAATGCCTATGGGTTTAGTTCTCCCCCATGATTATAATAATAATAATCCCAAACACTATGAAGAAGGTCTTAGTACTGAATGTGAGGTTTTCATCCAAGCATGTCATTAACAGTTGTTGAGAAAAGTTGGATCTGGATTTAAGATGATTAGAGTTGTAATATGCAACCAGACCTGGTTTAGGTTCCTGGGAGTCATAAGTAGATCACTGATGTAGAAAAGAAATAAACAGGGCCTGAGATGCTGTCCTATGGCAGCCCTATGTTGATAGTCGAAGTAGACATTGTTGTTAACAGTCACAAGTTGGTGTATGTTTGGGTAGGACTTATGTAAGCAGCATATGGACTCTGAATTCATAAAGCTTTAGTTTAAGCTTCTTCTTTATCAAAAACTTAACTTAGATCAGTAATTGTTATATTTACAGTATTTGAAGTACATGTACTCTATTTTTGGTTATTCCAGCCAGAAAACTGTAATAAAACCCTTGTTCGGGTATGTCGTTCTACGGAATTTAAGTGTGGAAATGGTAACTGCATCCCGTCCACTTGGAAGTGCGATGGCCAGGATGATTGTCGTGATAATTCTGATGAAGCCTCCCAAGAATGTAGTATGTTACTGGCCCTGTTATTTAATTTTAGTTCATTATGTTAAATCCAAAGATTGTATATAAAATAATTTACATAAGAGAACTTGCATACATATTGGAGGTACTTTTCAACAGGGCAATTTAAAGAAATAGTAATAGTACTGGGGGGGGGGGTATGGAGGAGGTGAATGTATTCAGATATTTGGGAGTGGACGTGTCAGCGGATGGGTCTATGAAAGATGAGGTGAATCATAGAATTGATGAGGGGAAAAGGGTGAGTGGTGCACTTAGGAGTCTGTGGAGACAAAGAACTTTGTCCTTGGAGGCAAAGAGGGGGAATGTATGAGAGTATAGTTTTACCAACACTCTTATATGGGTGTGAAGCATGGGTGATGAATGTTGCAGCGAGGAGAAGGCTGGAGGCAGTGGAGATGTCATGTCTGAGGGCAATGTGTGGTGTGAATATAATGCAGAGAATTCGTAGTTTGGAAGTTAGGAGGAGGTGCGGGATTACCAAAACTGTTGTCCAGAGGGCTGAGGAAGGGTTGAGATGGTTCGGACATGTAGAGAGAATGGAGCGAAACAGAATGACTTCAAGAGTGTATCAGTCTGTAGTGGAAGGAAGGCGGGGTAGGGGTCGGCCTAGGAAAGGTTGGAGGGAGGGGGTAAAGGTTTTGTGTGCGAGGGGCTTGGACTTCCAGCAGGCACGCGTGAGCGTGTTTGATAGGAGTGAATGGAGACAGATGGTTTTTAATACTTGACGTGCTGTTGGAGTGTGAGCAAAGTAACATTTATGAAGGGGTTCAGGGAAACCGGCAGGCCGGACTTGAGTCCTGGAGATGGGAAGTACAGTGCCTGCACTCTGAAGGAGGGGTGTTAATGTTGCAGTTTAAAAACTGTAGTGTAAAGCACCCTTCTGGCAAGACAGTGATGGAGTGAATGATGGTGAAAGTTTTTCTTTTTTGGGCCACCCTGCCTTGGTGGGAATCGGCCAGTGTGATAATAAAAAAAAAAAAATAATAGTACTGGTATGTAATTTAAGAAAAAATATTCAAAATAAAAACATTTTTTCCTTTTATAAAGATACCTGCTTTGTTGGGGAATTCCAGTGCTTGAGCAACAAACAGTGTATTACTGGAAGTTGGAAGTGTAATGGCCAGGAAGACTGTGCAGATGGCTCTGATGAGGTAAGATATAGCTACAGGCCACTATTGTCTGTTAAAATACCTTTGATGCTCAGTTTACTGTAATAACAAACTAACGATAAGTTTCTTAGATATAACTATTGTATTATAAAACTTTACTGTGAAAAAGGAATAAGTTTTCAACCAGTATACGTAATAGCAAATAGGTCTTATGAACTTCTGTAAAGGTTTTCATAGTTAAGTTAATTCTTTGTGTGCAGAGGAACTGTACATCTGGACAAACTACTACACTTCCTGCTCATATGTTCAAATGTGACTCTGGAATAAATATTCCTTCTCGATGGGTCTGTGATGGAGAGGAAGATTGCCTTGATGGATCAGATGAAAAGGTGAGTTTGACAAAATTATGAAGTAATATATAGTACTGTGCAGAAATAAAAACATTAAATGTAATTGAGATTTAATTATAATTATTATAATACTGGAGAAACACTAAACCTGTAGGGAACCATAAGACCTGTTGAATGGTAGGTAATCAGGGTTAATCCTAGGAAGGGAAAGGTAGCTTCAATTTCTTGGATAAGGTGCCTTTACCTGGCATCAAGGAGCCCTTTAAGAAGGAAATATTAAAACTACTTATGATTTTTTCTTTTAGTTTATCAAGAATTCACTGTGCATACTTAGTATCTGTCATACTACAGTAATAGTATGTATATGCAAAAGGAATGTAGCTCTCAGATTTACTGGGCAGGTGTTTCAGCCATTCACTAAGACAGTGCAATAGATATTCTTAAAGTTACTGTAGAGTAAATAAGTACTGTACCATACTTGCAGGCTTGCATTAACAGAACAACTGCTGCACGTGATAAAACCACCCCCAGACCGACCTGCCGTGATTATGAATTTCAGTGTGGCGCATACTGTATTTTGAACACACAAGTATGTGATGGCAGTGAAGATTGTCCAAATGGTGAAGATGAAGTACAGTCAGTCTGCCCACAGTGCCGTTCTAGTGACTTTACGTGTGAAAATAAGCAGTGTGTTCTTGGAGTTCTACGCTGTAATGGCAGAATTGATTGTAGGGATGGGTCTGATGAAATAGATTGTCGTAAGTACTTTGGTGTAATGATTGGATCATAATTATTATTAGAATTTAATTATAGTAAATATGTTCAGAATGTTTGGTTTTAAAACTGGTGCAGGATGTTAAAATTTTGACTGAATATTATTTCTGTTTTATGGGTAGCTGTGCCTGCAGTTTTAATTAATCCATTGCAGAACCACCATCACCTGCGCCTGAGTCAACTAACATCACATGTAACTTGACTACTCATTTCTTGTGCACGAAAAACAAGTGCATCCCTCGTGAAAGTTTGTGCAATCATCGGAATGACTGCGGTGATTGGCAGGTAGGGTGCTTTGACACAACAAGAGGAGACATTTATTAGTATGTACAATGTTTCACCTACATGAGGTTTCTTTCATACACTACATTGTACTTGCTAGAATACCTAGTAAAGGTCTCCTTTTGCTGTACAGGAGGGGCCTGCTTTACAGCTTTGTGTTAATGCAGTGGTTTTCAATTATACCCATTCTTCATTTATTCAGACTTCCTATAGTAAATATATTCAGAATTCACTATAAGCTAAGGCTGAAAATATTTTAAGGTAAGTTATGTGTGTTCTGTATGCTTTTTTTAGGCCTAGCTCTACTGCTTTCTTAATATGTGATAGTGTAAACACGTTACGCATAAGAAAATGAAAAAAAAAAAAAAGGAAGAATATTGTTTCACTTTACAGTGGTAGCCTGGAATGTAACCTGCTGTATAAGCAAGGCACTCCTGTACAGTATATAATACCTTAAACTGAAGTGCTGTAAAGCAGGTCCCACCTGTATATAATTTTACAGTATATTCTTTTGAAATTATGTACAATGCTGATGAGATTTAGAAAAATGAATTGTATGTAATGTTAAACTTTGTAATCTTTATTATTCTTTATTCATTGCTTTTAGGATGAATCTGAGGCAGTGTGTGGACCAAAGGAATGTGAACGCAACAATGGAGGCTGTACGCAACTATGTGTGGATACTAAAGAGGGCTACTATTGCCAGTGCCGCAAAGGTTACCGTCTTGTTGGAAAGTACACATGTGAAGGTACATATTTCATATAATATTTTTCAATTGCATTATTTTTTGTAAGTTTCAAGCCTTTACAGTGACCCTTGTCAGTTAGAAGTCCTATATACTTTTTATATTCCAGTTTTCATGTGCTTGCCAGTTTAGCTCATCTGCATATTGTTTTAAAATCCACGGTGATATCTAGTCTGGTCATATAAATTAATAATACATAATTTATTTTCAGAGGTATTGTTTTTTCTGACTGGTAGTTCTTGCTTATTTCTTTTTCATTTTTTATCATGTCTCCTTACTTGGTATACAATTCACTTCCAGCATGTTTGACTCTGACAAGCATGTCTCTTGGTGTGGCACTCTAATACAGGTTGATCATCACTAATTTGGCATCATCGGGATCTGTAGGGTTCCAGACTAGTGATTTTGCTGGACTACAGAGTGGTTAGGTTAGAATACACTTAACCCAACGGCAATAATTACTCATCGGCAATTTTGCCCATTTTGCACCCTAGTTTTGGCCCATTTCACTGTTCCAGTCTACCAAATTCATAGCTGTTTCACTAGTATTACTTGTATTCTGTCGATTGAGTACAAGAAGCAGCCCATTTACCTATTTCAGCTATTTAATAAAATGGTCAGAAATTGGTAATTTGGCCAGTTTCACACAAATTTTAAGAGATGCCAATTTCAAAATAGCATCCAGAATAAACAGTGCAGATATTCCTGGCACTAAAATAACATTTTCTCTGTTCATTAGTCACGTCTCCAGGCCCCTCTTATATTACGCTTGCTTTCCATTTTGAATTTTTATTCATACAAAAAATCAGAAAATTTACTGTTATGCAGACTACTGCATTATTGTAATAATTGTATAAATGTCAGCCCATTCATGACTGCATATTAGACTGGCCAGTTGGACACGTATTGGACGGTGACGTCATTTATTTACTCTTGACCAGAAAAAAATCTAACATTTCTTCTGAGCTGAATTTCAAAGTACTTTCTGTCATGAAACCAATCAAAATCATATCTGTTTCTGTATTGTATCTTCCATTTTATCAAATGAGACCAAAAAAACAAGATTACACCCATAAAAAACATGAAAATACACCACAGTCGCTCTTTTACACCAAAAACAGTCAGTTTTTTTCATTATGCACTGCATACTGCAGTCTTTATGTATAGTGCACACTTACCACACAGACCTATTCTCTCATATGTAGGCCTAATTTACTGGTCACAGTGAGCTAGGCTCTTGGTGACTGACAGTGACTTCAAGCCACCTTATCTTTTATGGACAATGTGCACTGTATGTGCTTTACACAGAAACATTTCTTTTATTTGTCGGAACCATGGATAGGGCTAAAAGTGAGCAGGCTATATCAATAAATGGAGAAAAAGAAATTGGAATGACTTGTGCAGCAAGTAGCACTACCAAACAATAGTGGCAGGTTGGTGTGGCAACCCCGCAAATTTGAAATTATTTTAGCTGAAATTAGTGCCGGATTACTGATGGAAGCGGTATACTGACTGCCGGATTAGTGATGGCTGACCTGTACTTAAAAGGCCTTTTATTTTTCATGCTGTTTCAGCCCATTAAATCTTTTTAATTTTGGAGGGGAATGAACTATTTACATTTTATTTTCTTGTTGCAGAGCTCTTTATATATTTTATTTATATCTATTCTTCATAATATATAATATTTTTCTCAAAAATACTGTCTTAAGCTAAAAGTCTTTCCATTTTTTTTTTTTTTTTTTTGTGATCAAGTATCTCTTGTGTTTTGCTTTCCTTGCCTTACAATATACATTATCTTCTCTAGAACATAATTGTTTTTAACAAGTAGGTTCAGATAAAATTTATACTGAGTTTCTTTTCATGTAGATGCAAGATTTAGTTTTGTGGTATATTTTCTTTTTTTATTAGATTTACTTTAGTGTGTTGATGCTTACATAAAAAAAAATAAAATTAACCATTTTTCTGTTCCATTCTCATAGGATATGTTATGTTTCACTCTCATAGGCCACATTTTCTGTTTCATTCTCATAAGCCATATTTTCTGTTTTAGTCTCATAGGCTGAATATTTCATGATCACTAAAATAGTAGTTGAAATACATCATTTAGTCTATATTTTACCTTGTTGATTCTCTTGCCATTGTGTTGTACAGTGAATTATATATACCAGCATTGTTAAATGAACTGAAGGACATACATGAAAGTAGGGCTATGTTCTTAAGACCTTCAAACATAGGGTCACAATAGGCCTCCCACCAAAATACAATAAATTTCTCTGTAGGTTAACTTCAACACAGGGGAAAGAGAAAAATACTGTATCCCAGTGTATTCTAGTGTGAATTGGCATGCAGTGTGCGCTGATGGTTATTTCTCCCCGAATTTGTCATGCTATGGCATTCAGTGGCAGGTTTTTCCCAAGAAACGTGGGAATGGTAAATAAAATTTCATTAGTATTTTATTGATAGTGCTATGTGAACATGTGGTCTGAGTCTACTGTACTTTATGCATTCTAAGTAAAAAGTTAGAAGTACATAAATATTACCTCTAAAGATACACATCATTGAGACAGCTCTGTTATGCAGATATCGATGAGTGCTTGGAGATTCCTGGCATCTGCTCACAACAGTGCATTAACACTATTGGTGGGTACCACTGCTCCTGCCTTCCTGGTTACGAAAGGGACCCAGGCAATTATACACGTTGTAAGGCATCTTCTGGTGAGCCTTACCTCCTGTTCTCCCACAGGTAATAAATGCAGTATAATGCCATGATAATTAATAGGTCTCACTATTACTTCATTGCTTAGAATTATTAATATAATCAAAACCAAGCACTAAACTCACAAGGGTCATACAGTGCTATCATTACTTAGAAGAAATAAGGTAAATCGGAGCAGCCTTTCAGTATTAATTGACAATAAGTCCATGTAAACTGCTGCTTGCACATTATTCACTGAGGTAAGTTGGTAGTTGAGGTACAAAAAATTTTCACTACTTGTGATTACTTTTGTAACACTTTCAAAAGTGCATTAACCAGATCTGGCCAGCTTTTTATGGGCTAATCTTCCATGTTGAATATTGTAATATTTGTCACTATTTTTGGGTCTAATCTTTCCATCCTCAAGCCCCTCAAGGAGGCTCCTTGATGCTGGTGAGAGGGTCTTGATCTAAGGAATTGAACTTGTCCTTCCTTTCCTTGGATCAAACTTGAATACTACCTATTCCCTCAGGTGCTGTTTGACTCCTATGGATTTACCATTCACCCATGAATGTAGTAATAATAATAATAATAATAATAATAATAATTTCCAGCAGGCGTGCATGAGCGTGTTCGATAGGAGTGAATGGAGATGAATGGTATTTGGGACCTGACGAGCTGTTGGAGTGTGAGCATTATAATATTTAGTGAAGGGATTCAGGGAAACTGGTTATTTTTATATAGCCGGACTTGAGTCCTGGAAATGGGAAGTACAATGCCTGCACTCTAAAGGAGGGGTTCAGGATATTGGCAGTTGGGAAGGATATGTTGTGTAGTGAAAGTGTTGAATGATGATGAAAGTATTTTCTTTTTGGGGATTTTCTTTCTTTTTGGGCCACCCTGCCTCGGTGGGAGACGGCCGACTTGTTGAAAAAAAAAAAAATAATTTCCATCCTCAAAGACATGCTAAGAGCACATATCCAGTTTTACCAGCATCCTGTCAGCAGAATGCCCTTGACACTGCCATCCTTACATAAACCACTTCAAGGTATCCAAATATTTGAAACTTGCAATCTTTCTCTTCACTTTTGTTAATATTTCACTGAAACATTACAGATCCAGAAATCTCGTTTGTCCACCACTTCAAATTTTTTCCTTCTACTTAATCTAAATTTATACAAGAAAAACAGCAATAGCAGGAAGGGTTGGAAGGATGGGGTAAAGGAGGTTTTGGAGCACTAGGTGCTTGTGCATTCAGCAGGCTTCTGTGAGCATGTTAGAGCAGACAAAGTGGAAAGGAGAGTTTTTTGATGGACTGTTGGAGTATGAGCAAGATAACATTTATGAAGGGATTCAATGAAACTGGTTAGCCAGACTTAGTACTGGCAGTGGTAGCACATTGCCTACACTCTGAGGGAGAGGCAGGAATATTGTTTATGTAAATATGTACTGTATATAGAGGTAGTAGGTTGGTACACAGAATTACCCAGGGAAAAAACTGAAGTCCTGCCAAGTGGGTGTGAAATGGAAACCTGTACACGTTTTGTATGATGGTAGGATTGCTGGTGTCTTTCTTGTGCCTCATAAATATGGGATAACAGGTATATCTTGCTACTTCTACTTACACTTAGGTCACACTACACATGCATCTACACACATATATATTTATACACCCATCTGAGTTTTCCTCTATTTTCTTAATAGTTCTTGTTCTTTATTTCTTATCTCCATGGGGAAGTGGAAAAGAATTCTTCCTCCGTAAGCCATGCGTGTCATAAGAGGCGACTAAAATGTTGGTAGTAAGGGGATAGTAACCCATTTTCCTGTATAAATTACTGAATTTAAAAGAACAACCTTCATTTTTCTATTTCTTTTTTGTTTTATGTCACCCAGCCTCAGTGGGATACAGCCAGTTTATTAAAAAAAAATACTGTATACATATATTGATGGTGTTATAGGTGCAACCCTATTTTTTTTATCTGTTTTCTTTGTATTCTGAAATCTATAAATATTGCTGCTGATTTATAATTAATTTTTCCTAAACATTATAGGTATGATATTCGTAGCCTGCGGCTCAGAGACAGTGACATGACATCCGTAGTGAGAGAAGCTCGAGGAGCTACAGCTCTTGACTACTTATACATAAGTAATCAAATTATTTGGTCAGATAATAAGGAAAACAAAATCATAAGGTTTGTATAAAATAATGCGTAGTAATAGTGAATCGTATACAGTATGTGTTAATACTCTACTACACAACATAGGTTGAAGATACTGTCTGGTATATACATGATTTTATTGTAGAATATATTTTAGTTATGTATTTTTTAAATTATTATAGTGGTGAACATATTCCAATTTGTGCAGAACTAACATGACCAACCCTGAAGTGCGAGAGGTGCTTGTGGATGGGGAGAAAGTGTCTGCTGATGGTCTAGCAGTTGACTGGATCCACAACCATATCTACTACACTGACACCACTAACTTTAGGATCCAGATGATATCATGGGATGCTAAGTGGTCCAAGGCAATTGTGAAGGAGGAGCTTGGGCAGCCTCGAGCTATCGTCGTCAGTCCACTTGACGGGTTGGTAATTTGGTATTGTATTTGTATATGCCTATACAGAGTTGTACTTAAATCATTTTTATGCAATTTTACAGTATTCATATTCATGGAAAGTGTTACTTATGGCTCATAAACAGTATTTATTAGTCATCTGTCAATTTAATCTACATTATTATTATAATTTGTAAAAGAAGTAAATGCTAGGGTGTTGGGAAGAGGGGTGGGATTAAATTATGGGGAATCAAATACAAAATGGGAATTGACTTACTTTTTGCTGATGATACTATGCTTATGGGAGATTCTAAAGAAAAGTTGCAAAGGTTAGTAGACGAGTTTGGGAGAGTGTGTAAAAGTAGAAAGTTGAAAGTGAACATAGAAAAGAGTAAGGTGATGAGGGTATCAAATGATTTAGATAAAGAAAAATTTGATATCAAATTGGAGAGGAGGGGTATGGAAGAAGTGAATGTTTTCAGATATTTGGGAGTTGACGTGTCAGCGGATGGAATTATGAAGGATGAGGTTAACCATAGAATTGATGAAGGAAAAAAGGTGAGTGGTGCATTGAGGTATATGTGAAGACAAAAAACATTATCTATGGAGGCAAAGAAGGGAATGTATGAAAGTATAGTGGTGCCAACACTCTTATATGGATGTGAAGCTTGGGTTGTAAATGCTGCAGCAAGGAGATGGTTGGAGGCAGTGGAGATGTCCTGTCTTAGGGCAATGTGTGGTGTAAATAATATGCAGAGAATTCGGAGTGTGGAAATTAGGAGAAGGTGTGGACTTAATAAAAGTATTAGTCAGAGGGCTGAAGAGGGGTTGTTGAGGTGGTTTGGTCATTTAGAGAGAATGGATCAAAGTAGAATGACATGGGCATATAAATCTGTAGTGGAAGGAAGTCAGGGTAGGGGTCATCCTCGAAAAGGTTGGAGGGAGGGGGTAAAGGAGGTTTTGTGGGTGAGGGGCTTGGACTTCCGGCAAGCATGCGCGAGCGTGTTAGATAGGAGTGAATGGAGACGAATGGTATTTGGGACCCGACGAGCTGTTCGAGTGTGAGCAGGGTAATATTTAGCGAAGGGATTCAGGGAAACCAATTATTTTTATATAGCCGGACTTGAGTACTGGAAATGGGAAGTACAATGCCTGCACTTTAAAAGGAGGGGTTTGGGATATTGGCAGTTTGGAGGGATATGTTGTAGTATATCTTTATAAGTATATGCTTCTAAACTGTTGTGTTCTGGGCACCTCTGCAAAAACAGTGATTATGTATGAGTGAGGTGAGTGTTGAATGATGAAAGTATTTTCTTTTTGGGGATTTTTTCTTTCTTTTTGGGTCACCCTGCCTCGGTGGGAGATGGCTGACTTGTTAAAAAAAAAAAATGTACATGTACCAGATTTATGCTTTGTATTATGTACATGAGAGTAATTTCATTTATGGCATTAATATTTCTATTTAGGTATATATTCTGGACTGACTGGGGCAGTGCACCTAAAGTTGAACGTGCAAGATTGGATGGAGGTGACCGTACTGCCATTGTCACTGCTCCTCATGTCTACTGGCCAAATGGTATTACTATTGACCATTCTAATAAATGCCTGTACTGGTGTGATGGCAAACTTAATACCATCAGTAAATCCAACCTTGATGGATCACAAATTGAAGTAAGTATTTATTTGCTTAGATGAAAGTTATTCTTCAATTGTATTTGATTAACATTATCATAATATTCACTGAATATTTTATAATTGACTTGTTGTGATACATTACCAGCGTTATTCAGCAGTATTAAAATTCTTTAATCAAGACATTCATACCTGAGACTAAACCCTACAATAATTCAATTATTTCTTATCTTTCAGGTTATTTTATTCTCACCAAAAGTACTTCGTCTGCCTTACTCTATCACTGTGTTTGAAGATAGATTGTATTGGACTGACTGGTCAAAACTTGCACTCTATAGCGCTAATAAATTTACTGGAGAAGATATCCAGAATGTGTCTGCTGGACATTTAGTAAGTTATCAACTTTTCTTGAACCACTGAAGCATGAGTCGCATTCATGTGAACTGAAGCATTAAAAGTAAAAAATATTGGGAAAGTTAAGAAGTACAGAAGAGTAGACAAGTCAGAGGATAGTGTATAGGGGTTGAATTATGACAACTTTGACTTGTAATGTAAGCTCCGGGAAAATAAATAAATTAAGAAAAGTGAGGAGATAAGAGGCTTTTGTGATGCATTCACAATAATTTTATGGGAATTATTAAATTTACATATATATTCATGGAGAAAAGCTAAATTCATAAGGATCATACAGTACCTGTATGTGAGAAGATATGAGAGGAAGAGAGGTTCTTGTGCTGAGAGATCAGTTGAGAACAAAATACTAAAATGTCAGATATTGTGGAATAGTGATTGCCATCAGTACACATGGAAATTTCATGTAGAATTTTGTGGAGATTATTATTACAGTACTGTATATGTTCACAAAAATGTGTCTGATTCTTTGTGCGGTTAGTGATTTATGTAAATGTAGTACAGCCTCTCCTCACTTAGCTACGCATTCGTTTACCGATGCCTTGGGACTTACAACGGGCTCTGACCAATATTCATAATATATATTAGAGCTGATTTCCTGTATTCTGTTTATTTCAATATACAGTACACTACTGTATAAACATTTAAAATTATACCATAATTATTATAATTGGTACAAAGGTGACATTAAAACAATATCAAAGATGGTTGACACAAACTCGCTACCATTATAGTATGCTCCTCACTTAGTGACGAATTCATTTAACGACGTGGTTTTAGGAACGAAACTGTCGTTTAGTGAGGAGAGGCTGTACTGTATATTAGGATATAAATTGTGTAGCCCATAGTACACATTTTCTAAAGGTAGTAATGGTGAAAAGTGACATTAGGTTAAATAAAATAATTTTATTTATTTATTTATTTATTTATTTTATTTATTTATTTATTTAGAAATTTAGCATACAAACAGAGGTACAAAAAATACAGGTAAGAGCAGCATGCCAAAGCCACTTATATGCATAGCATTATGGGCTGGCTTAAAATTAACTTAAGATTAACTAAGCAATGATGAAATCAGTGATAAGACATTATTGTAAACAGATAACTATAAAATACAAATGAGTATTACAAAGACAGGTCCTATGCTTGCATGCATAGAATGGAGTATTCTGTTAGGTAGTGTATTTAAAAAAAATAACAAAGTTAGGTTTAACATTTGTGTGATATAATGTGAGTAACATTTAGGATATAAAATTTATATGGTTCAGTTATTCAGTATTTATTTGGTTTTGAGTGAGTAAGTGAACTTTGAGAAGAGACTTGAATTTATAAACAGGTAGTGTTTCTTTTATATTTAAAGGTAATGAATTCCAGATTTTAGGGCCTTTTATGTGCATTGAGTTTTTGCATAGCGTGAGATGGACACGAGGAACATCAAAGAGTGATCTGTGCCTTGTGTTATGGTCATGTGTTCTGTTGAGGTTGGCAAGGAGATGTTTGAGGGGAGGGTTAATATCAGAGTTAAGTGTTCTATGTATGTAATAAGTGCAATAATAAGTATGGATGTTTTGTATGGTGAGTAGGTTGAGTGTTTTGAATATTGGTGGAGTGTGCTGCCTGTAGTGAGAATTTATCATTCTAACTGCAGCCTTTTGTTGGGTAATTAGTGGTCTGAGATGGTTAGTTGTTGTTGAGCCCCATGCACAAATTCCATAGGTGAGATAGGGGTAAATAAGAGAGTGATAAAGGGCCAGGAGGGCTGACTGTGGAACATAGTACCATATCTTCAATAGTATGCCTACAGTCTTGGAAATTTTCTTAGAAATTTGTTGTATATGTGTATGAAATTTGAGTCTATTATCGAGGTGGATTCCTAAGAATTTTCCCTCTGTTAGCTTTGTGATAGGTGATCCGTTTATCGTTATGTTAAGAGGTACATCTGTAGCTCTGCTACCAAACTGAATGAAGTAGGTTTTGTCAATGTTTAGTGTAAGTTTGTTAGACCTCATCCAGGTAGATATTTTCTGTAGTTCGGTGTTTACAGTATTGGCTAGCGTGACTGGGCTCGGGTGAGAGAAGACGTAAGTGGTGTCATCTGCAAAAAGTGTGGGTTTGAGTAATTGCGAAGCATTTGGTAGGTCATTTATGTATAGGAGAAAGAGAAGAGGGCCAAGGACACTTCCCTGTGGGACACCAACTGTAATTGGTTGTGCGGAAGAGCTTGCCCCATTAGCGCACACATATTGGCTTCTGTTGCTGAGGTAAGACTTTAGGTAGTTGAGGGAGTGCCCTCTAATACCATAGTGTGACAATTTTACGTGGAGCAAGTCATGGTCAACTGTATCAAAAGCTTTACATAAGTCAATGAAGATCCCCAGTGGGACTTCTTTTTTCTCTATTGCAGTGTATATATGTTCTAGCATGTGTATAATAGCATCATTAGTATTTTTATTAGGCCTGAATCCAAATTGGCAGGGGTTGAGAATGTTATGGGAGATGAGGTAGGAGTAAATTCGTTTATGAATTAATTTTTCGAAGATTTTTGAGAGAGGGTGTAAATTGGATATTGGCCTATAGTTATTCAACTCTGTTTGGTCTCCTCCTTTATGGATCGGGGTGACCCTTGCTATTTTGAGAACTGTAGGGAAGGTGGAGGATTCAATGGATTTGTTAGAGAGTGTTGCAATGATTGGTGATAGTACTTGTGACGCTTTTTTGTATATAAAGGGTGGTAAGGTATTTAAATCTCCTGCCTTGTTTTTCAGTGCATTGATAATAAGGGAGACTTCGTATGGGTTAGTCGGAGCTAGGAACAGTGTGTTCGGGTAGTTGCCAGTGAGGTAGTCATTTCGTGGGGTATCTGAGCTTGGGATATTATTGGCAAGGTTTTGACCTATAGTGGAGAAGAAATCATTGAGTCTGTTTGCTGTTTCTGTTGGTGGGAGTTGGGGTTCATCTGATTTTGCTAATTTTATTTCGCTATGTCGTGATATCTTTTTTGTTCCCAGAATTTCTGATAGGGTCTTCCAGGTCTTTTTTATATCACCTCGTAAGTTGGATAATCTGTTCTCATAATACAATTTTTTTGCCCTTCTTATCAGGCTGGTTAGGATTGACGAGTAACGTTTTGTTTGGTCTCTGGTTATGTGACCCATTCTGTACTGTTTTTCATATCGGTGTTTTGTATTTATGGATTTGAGAATGCTGGGTGTTAGCCAGGGACTGTTCATTATTATTATTATAATCAAAAAGAAGCGCTAAGCCACAAGGGCTATACAGCACAGGGACTGTTCAGTCTCTTAGCTGTCATCTGTTTAGTTTTTTTAGGGCAGTGCTTGTTATAAAGGTATTGGGTCTTTTTTAGAAAATTATTAAAACATTCGTCAATATCTGTATAGATTTCTAGCTCAGTGTGCCAGTCAATGTTTGTTACTGCTGTTGTGAAGTTATTAATGGCTGCCTCATTGTGAAGTCTGAAGGTGACTTTAGTAGTGTCTTGGGGTATTTTACCAAGAGTTGTTATGAGGAAAGTAGGGTAGTGGTCTGTGGTATTATCTGTAATTATGCCTGATTTTAAAGGGGATATGGTGTTGGTCCAGATGTGGTCAAGTAGGGAAACACTAGTCTCTGTAACTCTTGTAGGTTTTGTTACTGTTGGTAGCAACATGCAGTTACTCATTGTGTTTGTGAATTCAGTAATGTGTGGGTCCTGGTCTTGTAGGAGATTTATATTGAAGTCACCTGAGAGTAGTAAGTGATCTTTGTTCATGCGTGCATCAGTTATCATACTTCCTAGGTTTTGACTAAATTGGCTAATGTTTGATTGTGGAATTCTGTAGATGTTTATCACTGTGAGAGGTTTTTGTAGGTATTTGGATTTGAATTTAGCTATTATATATTCCCCATGTTCATCCCTTGTGCAAGTATTAGTGATACATTCTAGTTGGTCTGAGTAGTATATAGCTGTGCCACCCCCTTGTTGGTCTGGCCTACAGTTGTGTATGGCTGTGTAACCAGGAATGGCATAGACATCTGTAGTATCAGGCTTTAGCCAGGTTTCAGTTAGTGTAATGATGGACATATTGGCATGCAAGGAATTTAGTAATGCTAGGAGGTCATCATAATGCTTGCTTAAAGATCTGATATTGTAGTTAAAGATAGTTATGTTGTTGTTGGCTCTGAGAAGTGCCTTTGATTGTTCTGCTGTGTAGTAATTACAGTAACTGTTTGAATCATTTAAGTCATTAAATAAGAGGTTGGTATCAGGATCAATGCTTGTAATCATAAGATTTGTAGTGAATCTATAGTTAGAATTAAGTAAAAAATAAAGTAAATATTCTAAAGCTAAAAAAATAGCACCTGAATTATGAAGAGTAATACTTGTATAAGTGGGAATGAGAGAGTGAAAGTTTTATTGTGGGTGTGAGAGTAGCATGGTTGTGTAAGGTGAGAGAGTAGCACAGTTGTGAGAGAATAGCACACTTGTGTAAGGTGAGAGAGTAGCACGGTTGTGTAAGGTGAGAGAGTAGCACAATTGTGTAAGGTGAGAGAGTAGCATGGTTGTGTAAGGTGAGAGTAGCATGGTTGCATAATTGAGAGTAGCACGGTTGTGCAAGGTGAGAGAGTAACACAGTTGTGTAATGTTTATGAAACCTTTTAATTATCTTTCATAAGGGGTAGTGAGGTACAAGCAAAAATGGAATTCATGCCAAAGTTTGAGCTGAGTGGAAATTTTTGGTCCCTTCTGGTTAGAGTGAAGTTATGACTTTTTTTTTTTTTCCATGGTGAAAGGGTGATGATTTTGGAAAGATGAATAAAGTGGTAGATTTTGCTCTGTCTTAAGAGAATAAATGATCTTACAATGATATGATCATGGTACAACATGGACAAAATTATTTTTAAATAAGAGAATAAAGGCAAAATGTGATTGAGAATGAAAAACTACACTGATGACTTAAAATTAGATGTGGAGTCGATTGTGTTTGCCCTAGGAAGTTGAACTCTATTTCAGGGTACAGTATATCCTTGAAAGGATTAACTGATAGGGAAATGTATGAAAGATCTGAAAGGGAAAAATATTTAAGGAATGAGGTAAATATAATTAGGTAGATTGCATATGTAATGAGTATCCTAAATGAAGTACTCTATAAGGACTAATGATTTGTAGCACTCAAAATCTGGTAATTAAGAGTAGAGGGTATACACATAAGAAAAGTCAAATATGGATGCAAACTATAAACCTGGATTTTTTCCATTTCATTTTTGGGCAAAGTGAGTGATGTAATTAGATTTATAGATGAAAGCTCCAGAAAACCATCAATGGTAATATGATTCTTATTTTGAGTTGAAAAATTGTATCCCTATGTTATATATAATGCATAACCACCAGTATTGTCATTTTCTACAGCTGGAGTCACCAAAGGTCGTCCACGTTTATCACGAGTATCGGCAGCCCATTGGAGATAATGTGTGTTCATCTCACAAGTGCAGTCACTTGTGTGTTCGCAGTCCTCAGGGAGAGCCCCTTTGTGTCTGCCCAGATGGCATGATCCTTTCAACTGGAAATTTTATCACTTGCATTTATGATGGTAAGTCACATATTATAAGCACAGTTGCATATAAAATGGTCTAACCATACTGAATCATACACTGGAGATCTGTCAAAAAAATTACATTTAGATTTTATAGTTTTTTATATCTGCAAAACTGTGTATTGGTAGCCACTGGTACTCTATCAGTACCTCTGCCACCCAGACAGACCAAACATTAGTTTAGTTTCTAGGAATGAACCTGCAGTTTTTAAGTTGAATCTTTACATCACTTGCTTTTGCAGAGGTATTGTACAACATTCACTTGTTTGTAGCAATGAGAAATCCATGCATTAAGATGAAGACTCTTAGAATAAAAAGTGTTTAGCTGTTGTGTAGCCCATAGTACACACATTTTCTAAAGCTAGCAGTGATGAAAAAGAGACATTAGGTTCAATAATATCATTTTGATACAAGTGAAAAGTAATACTTGTATAAGTATGAATGGGAGAGTGAAAGTTTTATTATAAGTGAGAGTAGCACATTTGTGTAAGGTGAGAGAGTAGCACGGTTATGTAAGGTAAGAGTAGCATGGTTATGTAATGTTTATGAAACCTTTTAATTATCTTACATAAGGGGTAGTGAGATACAACAGTCATGAAAATTATACCAAAGTTTGAGCTGCATGGAAACTTTTGGTCTCTTCTGGTTAGTGAAGTTATGACTTTTTTTTTTTTTTTTTTTTTTTTTTTTTTTTTTTTTGATGGTGGAATGGTGGTGATTTTGGAAAGATGGGTGAAGTGGTAGATTTTGCTCTGTCTTAAGAGCATAAACAATCTTACAATGATATGATCATAGTACAATATCGACAAAATTATTTTTAGATAAAAGAATAAAGGCAAAATGTGACTGAGTGAGAATGAAAAAGTACACTAATGACTTAAAATTGGATGTGGAGGCAAGATTGTGTTTGCCTTGGGAAGTTGAACTCTATTCCAGGATACAATACATCCATGAAAGGATTAAGTGATAGGGAAATGAATGAAAGATATGAAAGGGAAAAATATTTAAGTAATGAGGTAAATATAATTAGATGGATTGTATATCGAATATGTTTTTAAAAGATTATAAAATCAAAATTTTATTTATAAAAATTACATTCAGAATTGTGGCATGGTATGGGTACATGTACATTTTTACATAATATTTACAAAGCCCATATTATGCATTTATCAGAAACTTAATTATATAAAGCAGGCTACACTGATTTGGCTATTTGAGAAAACTGTTCTTACTAGATGTTGAAGATTCTAAATTGGAAGATTTGACCAGTAGTATATCAGGTAACGAGCTTCTTGCTTTTACAGACATGGCTGTAATGTCTGTATTCACTTCAGAAAGTGTTTAGTTTTAGTTCATGTGTACATAATAATATACCGTTGAAGAGTTTCAATGGCAAATAAAGAACTATTGCAGATATATAGTACTGTGAATTTTGTGGCAACATCTTTAATATGTAATTTGTGGAAAGCTGCTGGTCTCAACTTGTCAGATTCAGTATCTCGCCTAAAAATAACCTGCAGTAGTAATTTAAGATTGCTATTAGTTTATTTCATAACCCAGTTACTATATTCAAATATGTTTGGTGTATAAAGAGTTTGGGTTAATTTTTTTTATAGCACAGTGGCAATCTCTTGCCAAGGCAAGAGACTGCCATCCAAAATTCATTAATTCAGTTACCATCTTTCTGAAAGTGTGCTGACATCACAATCAAATTACCCTTTAGACTGAAACATCCACACCCATCCTTCAGAGTGCAGGAACTGCCCTTCCTGCCTCCAGGACTCAAGTCCAACTAACAGTTTACACAGAATTCCCTCATACAAGTTACCCTCCAACAAGATATCCATTAAAAACCACTTGTCTTCACTCACTTCTATCAAATGTGCTCAGACAGGCCTGCTGGATGCTCAAGCCCCTAAAATTCAAAGCCTCTTTTACCCCGTCCCTCCAACCATTCCTGGAATGACCCCTTTCCTTTCTACCTTCCAGCCCAGATGTATACATCCTCTTCATCATCCTATCCCTCTCCTTCCTCTCCATATGCCCAAACCACCTCATCAACCTCCCCTACATGCTATACTACCTCAGCAATCCCTCCTCAGTTCTCTGTATTATACCCTGAGTTACCCTACGTTGTTTTTTCATTTCTCCTCTCCAAATTCTCTGCATTGTTCTCAAATATGCCTTTGCTACATCTAGCTTCCTTTTGCTGCAGCACTCAAGACCCATGTCTCAAACACACAAAAGCGTTGGTACCACTCTTCTCTGGTGCATTACCTTTTTGCCTCCAGAAACTTTTCTACAGATACTTCAACACACCACTCACCTCTTGTTCCTCATCTATTCTATTTCACTTCATATTTCATAGACACATCTGCTGGTATGTCATCTCCCAGATATCTAAATACCGTATCTGAATTGCTTTTCTATTTATATTAATCTCAAATACAGAGTTGCTACCCCTTGTCAGTCCAACTGAATACAGTGCTTTCATTCCAGAAGCAGACATCAACATAGCCAGTGCCATAACATCATCAGTATCAGGCAGTTCCAAGTATGTGGTCCCTCCCAAGACTGATGAAGACCCTATCCAGAGTACTCAAGTTGGCTTGATTCTTGGAGTTACTTTTGGATCTACTGTGGTGCTGGCATTGGCTGCTGCAGTAAGTTTGCATCATTTTGATGTTTGCTTAAAACTGGCTTTAAATTTACTCTCGTAAACCCAAAATATAACTAGAATATGTAGTATTATTATCTTGTGATAATTTTGTTCAAAATCATAAAAGGTTGCCACTTCATATACACAATTACACATGGAATATTATATTGGCAATACGTACTGTACTAATACTAACAATAGACATAGGAGTTTTAATTAGTGAAGGAGCTTGGTTTTCGTTCAAGCTAGAGAATAGGTTGGATGTTCAGTAACTGCTTATTAAGCAGTTCCAAAAGTGCTGGATTTACCACATTTTGTAACTAGTACATTTTTCTTAATGAATTAAAGCATTTTCTGTTATTGGGGCCAAATACAACCAGTAGTACTGCACAAAATTCTGAAGTAAGGTAAATAAATATATAGATAAACTTCAGATGCATTAAATTTTATATTTTCTGATTGAAGCCTCATAAGACTAAGCTGAAATTCTCTGCAAATAATTGATATATACTTACATCAAAACAGTAGAGTTTTGTAACTTTGAAGTTAGTTTTATTGTATGTACAACATTAGGTTGTATTCACAAACTTATCAATATGAATATATTTTTTATATCATATTCATATGGACATAAATTTCAAATAATGTACAGAAGATAAAATATTTCAGTAAACACCCAGTACACAGCAAACCTGTTTAACTACAGGTCCGCCATCACAAATCCGGCAATCACTTATTCGGTTCCTTCAGTTATTCGGCACTAATTTTGGCTAGCATAATGTCAAATTTCCAGGGTCGCCACACCAACCTGCTGGTACTGTTTGGTGGTGCTACTTGCTGCATAAGTCATTCCAATTTCTTTTTCTCCATTTACTGTTATAACCTGCTTACTTTTAGCCCTGGCCATGGTTCCAATGAATAAAAGAAATGCTTCTCATTATGTAAAGCACCGACACAGTACATTATCCATTAAAGATAAGGTGGCTTTGAAGCAACTGTCGGTTGCCATGAGCTCAGTCTCGTGATGCAGGAGAATGTGCTTTATTATTACACTAATATCAACACTACAGCTTATTTGCCTATCACAGTTGATCTAATATGACATAATAAAAATGTAAATAACATGTTCAATACTCCAGAATAAATAATATTCGGCATAATACCGAGCAGTTCGACGGAGGTATGAAGAGGATATGGTATACAAATACCATTATCCTATCCCTGTCTTGGGGGCTTATATTAGAGAAAATGGAGTATAGCACAGGGCTAACTGTGATATACACTCTTACTGCACCATAAACCTGAAACAAAAAAGTTACTTTCTCTATATAGATTATCACACATAGCAGCATATGTGTAGAGAAACTAGGATAACCCAAAAAAGTCAACGTGGCTTATTTCTAGTACCTGGCTTGGATTAGCTATACGTATATGATTTTTGGTAAATATTCAATTCCCAGCCAGGGTAGAAACATTAGGCGTGTTTCTTTACTCCTGTTGTCTATGTTCACCCATCAGTAAATGGGTACCTGGGTGTTAGTTGACTAGTGTGGGTGTTATTCTGGGACACTGACCTAATTTTCTTAAAATACGTACTCTGCATAACAAGCGGCTTTCTATATAGTAGTATGTCACTGATGTCAGCTAGACCTGTATACCTTGTACATGTACATGTAGTAAATAGATATTAATAATAATAATATTATTATTATTATTTTCTCAGTTTGTTGGGTTATCTTATTGAAACTTGGGCAATGTATGATGGAAAGACGTTTCTTAACGTACACCAAAAATGAAAGAAATCAGACCATAAATAGCGGAGTTCACTTCTCAGCCATTAGCGGCCGCTTAGCGGTATACGTATTTTTGTATGGTTTTTATGGTTATATGTATTCTCATTTTTTCGGTCTCATTTGATAGAATGAAAGATATATTACAGAAAGATATGATTTTGATTGCTTTCATGACGAAAAGTACCTTGAAATTGCACTCACAGTAGCAGAAAAGTTCTATTCTGTAGTGATGCTCAAGTAAACAAATGACGTCACCGTCCAATACCTGTCCGCCTGCCAGTTTAAATTCCAATACGCAGTCAAGAATGGGTTGACATTATTTATACAATTATAATAATGCTGCAGTCTGCATAACAGTAAATTTTCTATTTTTTTGTGAATAAAAATTTGAAATGGTAAGCAAGAGTAATATAAGAGGAGTCTGTAGCTGTGACTAATGAACAGATAAAATGTTATTTTAGTGCCAGGAATATCTGCATTGTTTATTCTGGACCCTATTTTGAAATTGGCATTGTTGAAATTTGTGTGAAATCGGCCATATTGCGAATTTCTGACCACTTTATTGGGTAGTTGAAATAAGTGAATGGGCGGTTTCTTGTACTCAGTTGACAGACTAGAAGTAAATAAGTTTATTCAGGTATACACAAATACAGTTACATAGATTATCATACATAGCAGTGTATGTATAGAGGACCTAGGATAACCCAAAAAAGTCAGTGACTTATTTCCAGTACCTGGCTTGGGCTTGCGTATATGATTTTTGGTAAATATTTTTTCTTGGTTGTTTGTTGGGCTATCTCATTGAAACTTGGGCAATGTATGATGGAAAGATGCTTCTTAATGTACAACAAAAATAAAAAAGATGGACAATAAATAAGTGAGAGTTCACTTCTCAGCCATTAGCTGCCTCTTTGCAGTATATTTTCATATATTTTTTATGGTTGTATTCTCATTTTTTGGACTCATTTGATAGAATGGAAGATATATTACAGAAATAGACATGATTTTAATTGCTTTCATGACAAAGTACCTTGAAATTGAGCTCAAAGTAGCAGAAATGTTTGATTTTTGCCGATGTTCAATGAACTTTGTGTAAGTAAAGTTGGTTAATTTTATTAAGTGTATTCTAACCTAACCACTCTGTAATCTGGCAAACTCAGTAATCCGGCACACTGCAGGTCCCAATGATGCCGGATTTGTGATGGAGGACCTGTACTAGGGAAGGGAAGTAACAGATGACTAGTAATGGAAGTTATGGTAAATAGAAATGAGATTATATTGCCATGATTCTAGCAGAAAGTCAGTTCTTTAACCAGAGCACTTAGTCTCTGGATTCCCATCAGTGCTTATCAGGTTTTTAATGTATTCATAATTGGTCATTTTTTATTTAATAGCTGTTTGTTGGGTGGTGGAAAGTGCGGCGTGGAGTTATACGCCACACACGTTTCCCCAATCCAGTATATCGGAAGACAACAGATGAGGAAATGGACGGTGGTGGTTATATCCTTGGTCAAGATGACCTGCTCAACCCACGAGATTATCATTACACTGAAGGACCTGAAGTGCCTATAACAGACGATGTAAGTAAATTGATGTTTTTAATCCAAAGAAGATTCCTATGTATGCACCCTTTCCCACCAAGGTAGATGACTCAAAGAAGAAAAACATTTAACACTTGCTCCTTAGCTATGTTTGCAGATGTATTACACATCATGATCAAGTGAACCACAACATTCCCATTCACTTTTTAAAGTAAAGGCACCAATATTTCCCACTTCCAAATAGCATAGTACTAATTGACATAGCTTGTTTTTTACAATACTTGTTCACTAAAGGTAATTAGTCCAGAGACTATACTTTCCTTAACAGATAGATTAATACTGCCTAAAGCTCTACTACACTGCTAATTGAAAATTAAGTGTTCATTAACAAGACTGTCAAGTGGTTGGGGCAGTGAGTTCACTAGCTCCACTCATTACAGGAAATTACCAGAAAAAGAAACATTTTCACAATCGCTCGCACTAATCACTGTCTTGCCAGAAGTGTGTAGATACTACAGTTCAGATACCCCTCCCAACTGCAAATATCCCCACCCCTCCTCCACAGTGTGGGCACTGTACTTCCCACCTCCAGAACTCAAATCTGGTTTCCCTGAATCCCTTCATAAATGCTACCTTGCTCACTCTAACAGCATGTCATAAAAATCACTTGCCTCCACCTGTTTCTATCTAACATGCCCACACATGCCTGCTTAATGTCCAAGACCCTCTCATACAAAACCTCCTTTACCCCCCTCAAACCTTTCCTAGGGCAACCCCTACCTCATCTTCCTTCCACTACAAATTCATATACCCTTAGTCATCGTATTTTTCTCTATCCTCTCTAAATGTCCAGACCACCTCAACAAACCCTCAGCTCTCTCTGGATAATACTAGTAATAGTAATAATAATCCCACACCCCCTCCTAATCTCCAAACTATGAATTCTCTGCATATTTACATCACACATTACCTTCAGACATATCTCCACTGCCTCCAGCCTCCTCCTCGCTGCAACACTCACAACCCATGGATGAGATTATATATATTATATATATATATATATATATATATATACAGTGGTCCCTCGATTATCGACGGTAATCCGTTCCTGGAAGCCGGTTGATTATCGAAATGGTCGATTTACGAATCAATTTTCCCCATAAGAAATAATGTAAATTCAATTAATCCGTTCCTGACACCCAGAAGTATTAAAACAAAAAAAATTTTTACATGAAATATTCATGTAGTACATAAACAATACAATGGGAAATGATGAATGAAACATTAACAGCATAACACTTACCTTTATTGGAGATTCTTCTTAGTGTATGGAAGATATGGTTGAATGATTTTTGTTATACATCCTCGCCAGTTCGCCCACACGTACGCCACTATCATATTGTTCAATGATGTTTTTCTTAAATTCAATGGTATTTCTCACCTTCTTTACCAAAGGTTTGGCACTAGGAGCTTTCTTTGGAGCCATGGTAGCTTATTTAGCACTTAAATAACTTGCAAGCACTAAAATAAATGAAATATTATGAAATATTTCACTGGAGCACGTGAGAGGACCGCCGCTAACTGGTAAACAATGGCACACTGGCTGGGAAGGAAGGCTGAGGCGGGTCGAGGCCCGCTTACCTCGTGCATACGCGTCTGGGACGACGGGTCGAGACGGGTCGATAAACGAATTTCGGTCAATTTCCGAGTCAATATTTTGTCGAAAAAACCGGTTGATTTCCGAAATGGTCGACTTTCAGGCCGGTCGATTATTGAGGGACCACTGTATTATATATAATATATATATATATATATATATATATATATATATATATTTATATTTATAGATGGGGTTGTAAAAGAAGTAAATGCTAGGGTGTTCGGGAGAGGGGTGGGATTAAATTATGGGGAATCAAATTCAAAATGGGAATTGACACAGTTACTTTTTGCTGATGATACTGTGCTTATGGAAGATTCTAAAGAAAAATTGCAAAGGTTAGTGGATGAGTTTGAGAATGTGTGTAAAGGTAGAAAGTTGAAAGTGAACATAGAAAAGAGTAAGGTGATGAGGGTATCAAGTGATTTAGATAAAGAAAAATTGGATATCAAATTGGGGAGGAGGAGTATGGAAGAAGTGAATGTTTTCAGATACTTGGGAGTTGACGTGTCGGCGGATGGATTTATGAAGGATGAGGTTAATCATAGAATTGATGAGGGGAAAAAAGGTGAGTGGTGCGTTGAGGTTATGTGGAGTCAAAAAACGTTATCTATGGAGACAAAGAAGGGAATGTATGAAAGTATAGTAGTACCAACACTCTTATATGGATGTGAAGCTTGGGTGGTAAATGCAGCAGCGAGGAGACGGTTGGAGGCAGTGGAGATGTCCTGTCTAAGGGCAATGTGTGGTGTAAAATATTATGCAGAAAATTCGGAGTGTGGAAATTAGAAGGTGTTGGAGTTAATAAAAGCATTAGTCAGAGAGCAGAAGAGGGGTTGTTGAGGTGGTTTGGTCATTTAGAGAGAATGGATCAAAGTAGAATGACATGGAAAGCATATAAATCTATAGGGAAGGAAAGAGGGGTAGGGGTCGTCCTCGAAAGGGTTGGAAAGAGGGGGTAAAGGAGGTTTTGTGGGCGAGGGGCTTGGACTTCCAGCAAGCGTGCATTAGCGTGTTAGATAGGAGTGAATGGAGACGAATGATACTTGGGACCTGACGATCTGTTGGAGTGTGAGCAGGGTAATATTTAGTGAAGGGATTCAGGGAAACCGGTTATTTTCATATAGTCGGACTTGAGTCCTGGAAATGGGAAGTACAATGCCTGCACTTTAAAGGAGGGGTTTGGGATATTGGCAGTTTGGAGGGATATGTTGTGTATCTTTATACGTATATGCTTCTAAACTGTTGTATTCTGAGCACCTCTGCAAAAGCAGTGATAATGTGTGAGTGTGGTGAAAGTGTTGAATGATGATGAAAGTATTTTCTTTTTGGGGATTTTCTTTCTTTTTTGGGTCACCCTGCCTCGGTGGGAGACGACCGACTTGTTGAAAAAAAAAAATATATATATATATATATATATATATATATATATATATATTCCAACAAGTCGGCCGTCTCCCACCGAGGCAGGGTGACCCAAAAAAGAAAGAAAATCCCCAAAAAGAAAATACTTTCATCATCATTCAACACTTTCACCACACTCACACATTATCACTGCTTTTGCAGAGGTGCTCAGAATACAACAGTTTAGAAGCATATACGTATAAAGATACACAACATATCCCTCCAAACTGCCAATATCCCAAACCCCTCCTTTAAAGTGCAGGCATTGTACTTCCCATTTCCAGGACTCAAGTCCGACTATATGAAAATAACCGGTTTTCCTGAATCCCTTCACTAAATATTACCCTGCTCACAGTCCAACAGATCGTCAGGTCCCAAGTATCATTCGCCTCCATTCACTCCTATATAACACGCTCATGCACGCTTGCTGGAAATCCAAGCCCCTAGCCCACAAAACCTCCTTTACCCCCTCTTTCCAACCCTTTCGAGGACGACCCCTACCCCTCCTTCCTTCCCCTATAGATTTATATGCTTTCCATGTCATTCTACTTTGATCCATTCTCTCTAAATGACCAAACCACCTCAACAACCCCTCTTCTGCCCTCTGACTAATGCTTTTATTAACTCCACACCTTCTCCTAATTTCCACACTCCGAATTTTCTGCATAATATTTACACCACACATTGCCCTTAGACAGGACATCTCCACTGCCTCCAACCGTCTCCTCGCTGCTGCATTTACCACCCAAGCTTCACATCCATATAAAAGTGTTGGTACTACTATACTTTCATACATTCCCTTCTTTGCCTCCATAGATAACGTTTTTTGACTCCACATATACCTCAACGCACCACTCACCTTTTTTCCCTCATCAATTCTATGATTAACCTCATCCTTCATAAATCCATCCGCCGACACGTCAACTTCCAAGTATCTGAAAACATTCACTTCTTCCATACTCCTCCCCAATTTGATATCCAATTTTTCTTTATCTAAATCATTTGATACCCTCATCACCTTACTCTTTTCTATGTTCACTTTCAACTTTCTACCTTTACACACATTCTCAAACTCATCCACTAACCTTTGCAATTTTTCTTCAGAATCTCCCATAAGCACAGTATCATCAGCAAAAAGTAACTGTGTCAATTCCCATTTTGAATTTGATTCCCCATAATTTAATCCCACCCCTCTCCCAAACACCCTAGCATTTACTTCTTTTACAACCCCATCTATAAATATATTAAACAACCATGGTGACATTACACATCCCTGTCTAAGACCTACTTTTACCGGGAAGTATTCTCCCTCTCTTCTACACACCCTAACCTGAGCCTCACTATCCTCATAAAAGCTCTTTACAGCATTTAGTAACTTACCACCTATTCCATATACTTGCAACATCTGCCACATTGCTCCTCTATCCACTCTATCATATGCCTTTTCTAAATCCATAAATGCAATAAAAACTTCCCTACCTTTATCTAAATACTGTTCACATATATGCTTCAATGTAAACACTTTATCTACACATTCCCTACCCACTCTGAAGCCTCCCTGCTCATCCGCAATCCTACATTCTGTCTTACCTCTAATTCTTTCAATTATAACCCTACCGTATACTTTTCCTGGTATACTCAGTAAACTTATTCCTCTATAATTTTTACAATCTCTTTTGTCCCCTTTCCCTTTATATAAAGGGACTATACATGCTCTCCGCCAATCCCTAGGTACCTTCCCCTCTTTCATACATTTATTAAACAAAAGTACCAACCACTCCAACACTATATCCCCTCCTGCTTTTAACATTTGTCATGATCCCATCAGTTCCAGCTGCTTTACCCCCTTTCATTCTACGTAATGCCTCACGTACCTCCACCACACTTACATTCTGCTCTTCTTCACTCCTAAAAGATGGTATACCTCCCTGGCCAGTGCATGAAATTACCGCCTCCCTTTCTTCCTCAACATTTAAAAGTTCCTCAAAATATTCTCTCCATCTACCTAATACCTCCCTCTCCCCATCTACTAACTCCCCTACTCTGTTTTTAACTGACAAATCCATACTTTCCTTAGGCTTTCTTAACTTGTTTAACTCACTCCAAAATTTTTTCTTATTTTCATTAAAATTTCTTGACAGTGCCTCTCCCACTCTTTCATCTGCTCTCCTTTTGCACTCTCACCACTCTCTTCACCTTTCTTTTACTCTCCATATATACTGATATATATATAGTACTGTATTATCTTTTCATGTATGCTTTTTGTGTGGCTGGAGGAGAGTTGATACTCGTGTAGGGCTCTTATCCAAGAAACTAGCAATATCCTCTTCTTCCTCAGATCAGATTTGCTTGCCTTCCATTCCCCAAGTGATATGACCCTATGACTTACGAAATCGTAATGACACGATTGCAAACAAACCATACCACGGGCCGGGTTAGAACCCACAGTCATAAAACTCCAGACCGACGCATTAGTCACTGGGCCAGCTAGCCACAACAAGATTCATCCAACTAGGTATATTTATACACCATAGGAAGGTTGGCATAGGCACCAATGACCACAAATGCAAGTTTTTACAGACAAATCTCCAGCTAGTGTGGTACATGACTCACGAAATCGTAATGACACAATTGCAAACAAATGATTTCGTGAGTCATATTGACGGCTTTGAAGGGACCTGAGCTACAGTTCATCATGGCCATGCTAGCTGGAGATTTGTCTGTAAAAACTTGCATTTGTGGTCACAGTGGTGCCTATGCTAACCTTCCTATGGTGTATAAATATACCTAGTTGGATGAATCTTATTGTGGCTAGCTGGCCCAGTGGCTAACGTGTCGGTCTGGAGTTTCATGACTCTCTGATTGCGGGTTCAAACCTCCCCCGTGATGTGGTTTGATATGGCCCTATGGGTTTAGCACATACTCAGAAATAATAAATTTCATGTATAGTTTCAACATTTGAAAACACTCATTGACTTGCATATAATTTTTTTCAGGATGATGTACCTCTAGCACCAAAAAAGTGATAAGAATGGTACAGTTCATTGGATTACTCAAAACAACAGGTTACTCAATGAAGCAGTGATTGATAGCAGCTCATTATGTCATAGCTCCATGTGCTTATTCATGGAATGAGGCCTGTGTACCTGTATTCTGCTATGTTCAGTATTTTATAGCCAGTCCTTAAGGGAAAGAAGTTTAAGGTGTATATAGATGAGGAAACATTCTTGTATGACAACAAAAACACATTTTTTAGATGTCTTTTTTTTTATTAGGCTGAAGTCGATAATTTAACTCTAGAATTCTGATATTCCAGTTTGAAAAACATTGTAATCATTGGTTATCAACATTGTAATTTTTGCCTGTAGACTGCCTAAGTCATGTGCAAATTACTTTGGGATGCCAGTGATTTTTTGGATAGCACAGTACAGTATCAGATTCATAAAATATTTATTCGTGTTTGTACATGAAAGATATCGTATGCTCTTTGCTGGAAATTCTTGTAACACACTTTGTTAGTGGTGTTACAGTTTTGCATCCAGACAGAAATTAAAATTTTTTCTGCATAATGTGCAATAGACCATTGTGCATTTTTTTTTTACGATAAAATATTTAAAGGAATGAGTAACATGATTCTCAGTGCACAAATAATTTTTTAAATACAGTATATTTATTTAATATTTACATATATATTTACTATTATGTACAGTATATGGGAAACATGTTATGTTCAATATAAGAAAGAATTTAAAGTTAATAATAATTTAGGGTGTAAGTTTTGGAAAAAAAAAAAAAAGGCCTGTAGCTGAGCAGTGGACGTTTACATCAAGGAAAGGAAGTTAGATTTCCATTCAGCTTTAAACTCGAGTAAGTTTTCATTTGGTGTGACAAGATTTTCTTTTTTTATTAAGTTTGTAAAAATTCCCAAAGATTCATTAAATTTTTTAACACAAAAGTAATTACTCCACAAGTGAATAGATTAAGAATAAATTAAATATTTACATACCAGTAATTTACCTTCTCTGCTATGATGCCACTAAAGAGTAGTTTATCCAAAAACTTCCATATTTGCATATGTTGTTGCTGTACTTATTCCCTTATAAATGAATGGTAACTTCTTAAATTGAAGAAACCATTTCATTTGGTACTGTATATGGTATACCAATGTGTGTGTGTAGGGGGGGGGGGAAATAGGAAGGCTTTTGGCATAGTAATATGATTCTAGCTGAGTATTTGACCACTGCAGAATGCAACCTGCAACAACTGGTTAATGCCGAGGACAGTATTTACTGCTGGCGGATGTGGACAGTAGGGTTAAGACTTACCAATGTGTCTCACCCAACCCAGGATTCAAACCCTGGATATTTTGGTTGTGAAACAACTGCTGACCACTGTGCTACAGGACACTTGATGAGGTAGAACAGTGATGGTTATAGGCTAAATGGTTCTATACTAGTTTCTGTCTGTGATATAATTATACAGTGTAAATAGTGTAAATACTGATTAGTTATGTTAAGAGTTGCAAGTCTGGTTTGCCGAGAGTTCTTATTTGTCCTTGACTTGGAGCTCAGGTCAGGCTTTTAGGAATTAGAATGATCACTACCATGAAATTTGTATCTCATCTTATTTGTTACTCCCTAAGGTTGATGTCAGTAAAGCTTCAACAACATTCACTGGAAGTCTAATGTACAACAGTTTGTATAGTGTAGCATTAATATTAAAAGTTTTTAAAATTATTTTCACTACTTGATTTAGATTCAAAGACTTGTCAAACCTTTTAATATTTTAACAAATCTTTGCTGTATGACCCTTGTCGATTTAGCGCTTTATTTGGTTATGATAATTAAACCAATCTTAAGAAATTATAGACATCAAAACTATAGTATTTTGCCATACAAAATTTGCATATAAATGTGCAGTTATAATGAAGGAACAGTTTTATTAAACTAAATGCATAGCTTCTAATTTTTAAGTACATTTGTTTTAAAGCCTCACTCTTTTAAATTAAGCAGTTATGATTACATTCAATCAGTTTAATATAGATACCACTTATGCTGAAACATTGTGGGCAAACTTCTAAGTTGCTATTATATAACTACCTAAGAAACCTATGAATTATCAAAGGTAAAGCACATTGTTGTTCCATGTTGTGTGTGCATTTGATAGCACATTTTGTATTGTTGGAAATTTTGTATTTATTTAAATGGCTATATTTTTATATTTGTGTGTGTGTGTGTGTGTGTGATTATCAGGAATGAATGCTTAAATTGTCCTGAAAGATAATTACTATTTAGATATTCCTAGCATTTGTACATTGCTCAGGAATTGTACTGTGGTTCTTGAGAAGTGTTTGTTGCTTGATAAGATGAGATCTCTGCCCCAGACAGTTAGTCATGCTCAAGCACCAGTGTTTTAACTGAAGCAAGTAGCCAAATATTGTATATTTACACACTGTTATTTCAATGGCAAGACTTCTTTCTTTACTTTAGTAATAGAAAGATACATTTATAATATACATCACTAAATAAAAAACTTTTAATATACCTTTGTTTGTGGTTCATACTTAAGATCCTTAATATACAATTCAATTAGTGCTGTTGGCAGTTACTCCTAAATAAATTTCCCAATATATTTTATGAGAAAGAATTGCATCCCTCTCTGTGATTCTCCCTTCGATTATACTCCTGAATTCACTAGGGATATTTATTTAACTAGATATTCATTGCTACAAATACTGCATTATTGTCAATATCACATGAGAAATATTGCATTCACTTCAGTGGTACACTGTTCTTAAATACAGACAGATTTAGTGGTGTATGTAAACAACATACTTATTCTATTGTTTCTGATACTGAATCAGGTTTGATCCAAGGAAGGGGTAGTCAGGTCCAATTCCTTGGATCAAGAGCCCCTCCCCAGCATCAAGGAACCTCTCTTCAGAGAAAAAATATATGTATACTGTAACTTACTGAGAGCAGTGGGCATATTTAATACTGATAAACAGAGTCAGGCTCAAGTATCAGGAAATAACATTTGCTGCATGAATTGGCCACAAATCATTGAATAGTTTCATTAACTTATATATGATGCTCATTAATTTATACCCTATTAATCAATTCTTTGTGAAGTCTCATTTACTAGTGCAAGTAATTCAATAGGTTTTTTTTTTTTTGACTGCCCAGGAGATAATGACTGTCTCCATGCAGATTTTTTCCACTCAATCCAAGTTGCACACTTATCTGTAGATGACATTTTTCAATTTATACTACAATTTTTCCTTCCAAAGTTGGGTCTGAGAACTATGACATTAACTGTGTCCCTTTAACCACTTTAGTGAAGACATGGAGGTGTACTTTGGGTTATGTTGCTGTAAGATGCATTGGCAGATAATGTGCCTGATAAGAGGGTACCAGGTTATTCTTCTATAATATCCTGATATGTTTTGGAATCCATCCATCTCTCCACTTTGAATAAAGATGCCAGTATTGGAAGGCATAAAGTAGCAGTAGAATAAAATTGATCACTTACAAGTTACAATACAGAGCTGACCCTGCCTAGTTAACTAGGCCCAAGTTTTGTGGGCAGATGAAAGAGAATTTGAACTATCTGGACACAGAGCAGAGCTACATATGACATAAAAAAAATGAGCCATATAATAAAAAAAAAAGGCACAATACCGTAACCGGAATAATACACAAATAACCTGCACATAGAAGAGAGGAGCTTACAACAACATTTTGGTCCTTGTATGAATCATAGTCCTGGCTTTGTCTCTGTAGATGCCTTCCTTTCCCATTACATTGTAAAAGGCTCCAAACTTCAGAACACCCATGACTTAACCTGATTCTGTTTTCCTCTTCTCCCTCTTCCCCTTTCCTCTTTCCTAATTCTCCTTTCAGTTTTCTTTCTTCTGCCTTAGGTATTTGTTCTTTATTATTTTTCTTCCCCTCTGTGGGCACCTAGCTCCCTTGCAGTGCTCCTCTTTCTTAGTATTTGACTGACTCCACTACTACTATTACGTCCACTACTACCTCTCTTCCTCCTTTCCTACTACTTATCTTGTCCCGTCCCTGTCTGCTGGCCTATATATACTCCCTCCTCTCCTTTTCATTAGTGTGACTTTGTAAATGGTCCAAGTTGGACTGAGACATGTCGTAAGCTCCTCTCTTCTATGCGCGAGCCACATAATAATCTCTCTGGGGTGCTTTAAATATAAGTCACATTTCATGTAGGTGTACTGTGTGTGTATTTTACTTTTTATTGTTTTTAATGCCTGGCTCTACTGTTAAATTAGTCTATATTAGTGTAAACTGACATTTATATGCATTTAAAGTGGAAAAAAGGGCATTCCACTTTACGGCAGTAGCCTGGAGCTTAACCCACCATATAAATGGGGCCCTACATTTATATAAATGTATATAAATACATAAATAATTTTACATTTCAATAATTCTGCACCTGAAATAAAAGCTTAGTGTACTTGTACATGCACACTCAATAATTCATTTTGTTCTACAGTGTTTGGCCATACTTTCCTTTAATGTAGGTTGTCGGTTTTTCTTTTGTGATGACTTTCCCACCAAGACAGATGATGCTTTGTGGGACTTATGAGAATTTTTACGATTTCGCAATTTGTATTCGTCTTCGGAACCTCTGCTTCTGTTTATCTGTAAATTGTAGAGATCATTAACAGGATGAAGTTTTTTGAATTAATACCTGGGTAATACAGGTACTTTTTATTAATAATCGTGAAAATATCTTCAAATGTTCAAAGTTCAATTTTTTTTTTTCTTTTTCAACAAGTCGGCCGTCTCCCACCGAAGCAGGGTGACCCAAAAAAGAAGAAAATCCCCAAAAAGAAAATACTTTCATCATCATTCAACACTTTCACCACACTCACACATTATCACTGTTTAGAATACAACAGTTTAGAAGCATACACATATAAAGATACACAACATATCCCTCCAAACTGCCAATATCCCAAACCCCTCCTTTAAAGTGCAGGCATTGTACTTCCCATTTCCAGGAGTCAAGTCCGACTATATGAAAATAACCGGTTTCCCTGAATCCCTTCACTAAATATGATATAAGATAAACCCTACATTTTCAGAGTAAACCCTCAATTTAGTGGACTTCTACTTAATGGACTTGAGAAATACAAGATACAATCCCCTGGGCCAACTGATTTGCAAACATCATATGAAGTCCATGTTATAGAATTAGCCACCTCGGGCACTATTGCTGGCTACCTGCTCTCTGTCAGTTTGTTAAATTGACGCTTGTTGCATCTTTATTTGTCAATTTCAAGAACTCGTGTGTTTTTTAATGAAGAACCTCGTGTCAATAAACTTTAAAATTTGCAGGTTTTTGTGTTGAAGAAAAATTTAAAATCAATTAAAATTTATTTAATTTAATTACAAATTACAGATTCATTTAAGTTATTAACCCTCTGACTGTCGCAACCCCAAATCCTGATGTGTCTCCTGGCATCTCAAAATATTTGAAAAAAAAAAAAAAAATATTTTTTCTTATGAAATGATAATCTTTTCCCGATGATAATGACACCAAAAGTACGAAATTTGATCGAAAATTTATGGAATTACGCTCTCGCGAAGTTAGTGACCTCGGCGACATTTATGCATCGGCAATTTTGCCCACTTTGAGCCCTATTTTTGGGCAATTCTAGTGTTCCAGTCCACCAAACTCATAACTATTTCTTTAGAACTCCATTTGTTCTATCAACTGAGTACAAGAAACCGCCCATTTACTGATTTCAACTACCCAATAGAGTGGTCAGAATCTGGCAATTTGGCCAATTTCTTGCAAATTAAAAAATATGTCAATTTCAAAATAGGCCCCAGAATGCAGACATTCCTGGCACTAAAATAACATTTTCTAAGTTCGTCAGTCATGTCTCCAGGCCCCTGTTATAATACTCTTGCTTTCTATTTTTATTCACACAAAACATAGAAGATTTACTGTTATGCAGACTACTGCAATACGTATTGTAATACAGTAATTGTATAAATAATGTCAACCCATTTGTGACTGCATATCAGAATAGCTAGTTGGACATTTACTGGACAATGACGTCATTTGTTTACTCTTAAACATCAGCAAAAATTTAATATTTCTGCCACTTTGAGCTCCATTTCAAGATCCTTTTCATAGTAAAACCAATCAAAATCACTTCTATTTCTATAATATGTTTTCCATTCTATCAAATGAGACCAAGAAAACAAGAATACAACCATAAATACTATATGAAAATACAGTACACCTCAAAGTCGGTGTTTTAATCCAAAAACATGGTCGTAGTTTTTTTTTCTCATTATGCACTGCGTGCAGCAGGATTTTTTTATACTGCACACAATGATTACACAGACCTATTTTCTCACATGTGGGCCTACCAGCTTTCTCCTGCTTGAAGCCACTAAAATTTTTAAGTATATATATGTCAAACACACTGGCTCATAAGATGTATATATACAGTGGTCCCTCAATAATCGTCTGGCTTGATAGTCGTCCTTTTCAGAAATCGTCGTGTTATTCTTGTCCAAACACTGGCTCACAAATGGTCGGTTTACTCGCTAATCGTCCTTCGTCCAGGATGCATACTCACACTCTGAGCCGCCTCAGCCTCCCTTCCCAGCCAGTGTGCCATTGTTTACCAGTGAGCGACGGTCCCCTCACTTGTTCATACGAAATATTTCATAATATTCCATTCATTTTAGTGCTTGCAAGTGCTAAATAAGCTACCATGGCTCCAAAGAAAGCTCCTAGTGCCAAGCCTTTGGTAAAGAAAGTGAGAAATACGATTGAATTTAAGAAAAACATCATTGAACAATATGAAAGTAGCGTACGTGTGGCCAAACTGGCCAGTTGAGGAGCTGCAAGAGCTTCAGCAGGAACAGGAACAGATTGCAGCTCAGAATCTTGCTGCAGAGGAGGAGGAAGAAAGATGGAAGAAGGTGCCTTCTTCAGAAATTAAGGAGATTTTTGAAATGTGGGGTAGGATGGAAAGATTTATGTAGAAACATCACCCTGAGAAGGATGTTGCAAGCATATCGGCGACTTGTACAGAGACAGTCTTGGCCCATTTTAGGGAAGTTTTAAGGAGACGCCAGAAACAAGAGCTCTCTGGACACTTTTTGTGAGACAGGACTCCAGTGACTCTCAAGCTGGTCCTAGTGGCATTAAGAAACAGAGAAGAGAAGTAACCCCAGAAAAGCACTTGGTACCTGAGGTGTTGATGAAAGGGGATTCCCCTTCCAAACAGTAATTCAATCTCTCTCCTCCTCCAGTCTTCCATACACTGAGAAGAATCCCCAATAAAGGTAAGTGTTATGCTGTTAATGTTTCATTTATCATGTCCCATTGTATTGTTTATGTACTATATCTATATTTCATTTAAAAAAAAAATTTTGTTTTAATACTTCTGGGTGTCAGGAACGGATTAATTGTATTTACGTTATTTCTTATGGGGAAAATTTATTCGAAAATCGTCTTTTTCAATAATCGTCGCACTTCCAGGAACGGATTAACGACGATAAATGAGGGACCACTGTACGACCAATACAGTCAAAGGTTAAGGAAATATGAACAGTGTAATAAAAGCAGATATACCTATGTCTGTATATCTCAGTCTTGCCATGTTTGTGGTTTCTTTGCTGTGTTAGGTGTATATCAGGTTATGTCATTAAAGAACTCCTGTTTACACAGCATTTCAGTCAAATTTTGGAATAAAACATTAATATAAAAGTGTCTAAGGGCAATGTGTGGTGTAAATATTATGCAGAAAATTCAGAGTGTGGAAATTAGGAGAAGGTGTGGAGTTAATAAAAGCATTAGTCAGAGGGCAGAAGAGGGGTTGTTGAGGTGGTTTGGTCATTTAGAGACAATGGATCAAAGTAGAATGACATGGAAAGCGTATAAATCTATAGGGAAAGGAAGGAGGGGTAGGGGTCGTCCTCGAAAGGGTTGGAAAGAGGGGGTAAAGGAGGTTTTGTGGGCAAGGGGCTTGGACTTCCAGCAAGCGTGCGTGAGCGTGTTAGATAGGAGTGAATGGAGACGAATGATACTTGGGACCTGACGATCTGTTGGAGTGTGAGCAGGGTAATATTTAGTGAAGGGATTCAGGGAAACCAGTTATTTTCATATAGTCGGACTTGAGTCCTGGAAATGGGAAGTACAATGCCTGCACTTTAAAGGAGGGGTTTGGGATATTGGCAGTTTGGAGGGATATGTTGTGTATCTTTATACGTATATGCTTCTAAACTGTTGTATTCTGAGCACCTCTGCAAAAACAGTGATAATGTGTGAGTGTGGTGAAAGTGTTGAATGATGATGAAAGTATTTTCTTTTTGGGGATTTTCTTTCTTTTTTGGGTCACCCTGCCTCGGTGGGAGACGGCCGACTTGTTGAAAAAAAAAATAAATAAATAAATAAATAAAAGTGTGCAATGCAAATTATACTACAGTACAGTAACTAAAGTTAAAAGTTTGTTGTAAGGAATTAATCTATGTAATACATAGTTAAGGTTAAAAATTATTATCTAGTTATAATAGGTTGGTAATAAGCATATGAATGAAGGTCCCTACATTCCTAGTTTGTAAATCTGAAAACTAATTGTGAGGGAACTCTTCCCTCACAGTTAATGACACTATTACAACAAGTTTTCAGATTTACAAACCAGGAATGTAGAAACCTTTATTCGTATGCTTACTGCCAAACTATTATAACTAGATAATAATCTTTAACCATAATTATGTGTACACATAATATCTTTAACCCTTTTAAGGTCGACACCCTCGATTTAAAAATTGTCTACAGGATCGATGTAAAAGAAAAAAAAAATTGGTATGAAATGGTAGACGATCTTTTTCTGAAGGTACAAAAAGTGCAAAACTTGATGGGAAACTGACAAAATTAAAATTTTTCCAAATTTTGCTGTCAGTAATTGTTATTTATGCATCGGCAATTTCACCCAGTTTGATTCCAATTTTAGGCCAATTACATACCTGGAGAGGGTTTTGGGGGGTCAACACCCCCTTGGCTTGGTCTGAGACCAGGCCTCATGGTGGATCAGGGTCTGGTCAACCAGGCTGTTACTGCTGGCTGCACGCAAGCTGATGTATGAACCACAGCCCAGCTGGCCAGGTACTGACTTTAGGTGCCTATCCAGTGCCTTGATGAAGACAGCCAAGGGTCTACTGGTAATCCCCCTTATGTAAGCTGAAAGCCAGTTGAACAGTCTTGGGCCCCTGACACTTATTGTGTTGTCTCTCAGTGTACTCGTGGTGCCCCAGCTTTTCACTGGGGGAATGTTGCATCTCCCTCCGAGTCTTTTGCTTTTATAGGGAGTGATTTTCGTGTGCAAGTTTGGTACTAATCCCTCTAGGATTTTCCAAGTGTACATTATCATGTAGTATCTCTCTCGTCTGCATTCCAGGAGATGCAAATCAAGGGACTTCAACCGTTCCCAGTAATTTAGGTGCCTACCCGTACTTATGTGTGCACTGTTCCAGTTGATCAAATTCTTAGCTATTTCACTAGTATATCTTCCATTCTATGGGTTGAGTACAAGAAACTGCCCATTCAACTATTACAACTACCCAATAAAGTGATCAGAAATTGTAATTTGACCAATTTCTTACAAAAATCAAGTAATTTATACAAGAGAAAGGGTTACTAGCCCATTGCTCCTGGCAACTATATCTACCACGATGAAATGGAAATAATAAAAAAAAAATACTAACCAATTTTCTTTCCTTGTTAAATTCTCTTTGTAAAGTTTCTGCCAAGAGATGGTCCTCTGCTTCCTGTTTAAGCCTGGCCTCTGCCTCACACTGCTCAGCAACCAGTGCTGCTAATAACTCCTTAAAAATAAACACTTCAAATTGCAATTGGGTTATCATCATCTATAATATAATTTCCAATTAAATGTGTATTGGCACCTTCAAAATAGCATTCAGATATATTGACAGAGAAATGTTTTCAATGCTGTATGTGTATGTGCTAGACCAAAACAGAATATGCAGCAGTGAAGTGGTGTCCATAATTAAAGAAACACGCAATAAACAGGAAAAGTTTAATTTAAAGACATGCTATATAACTGCTCCAGGACTAAGAAATATGACTTTAGAATGAAAATGATAAAATTATATTTGCTGGTTAACAGGAAGAACAGAGCTTGAAAGGATTTTTTTTTTTTCAACAAGTCGGCCGTCTCCTACTGAGGCAGGGTGACCCAAAAAGAAAGAAAATCCCCAAATACTTTCATCATCATTCAACACTTTTACCTCACTCTTACATAATCACTGTCTTTGCAGAGATGCCCAGATACAACAATTTAGAAGCATATATAAAGATATAGTATAATATATCACTCCAAACTGCCAATATCACAAACCTCTCCTTTGAAGTGCAGGCATTGTACTTCCCATTTCCAGTACTCAAGGCCAGCTATATAAAAATAACCAGGTTCCTTGAATCCCTTCACAAAATATTACTCTGCTCACACTCCAACAGCTCGTCATGTCCCAAAAACCATTCATCTCCATTCACTCCTATCTAATACGCTCATGCACGCTTGATGGAAATTGATGCCCCTTGCCCACAAAACCTCCTTTACCCCCTCCCTCCAACCTTTTCGAGGATGACCCCACCTTCCTTTCCCTGCAGATTTATACACTCTCTAAGTCATTCTACTTTGATCCATTCTCTCTAAATGACCAAACCACCTCAACAACCCCTCTTTAGCCCTCTGATTAATACTTTTATTAACTCCACACCTTCTCCTAATTTCCACACTGAATTCTCTGCATAATATTTACACCAAACGTTACCCTTAGACAGGACATGTCCACTACCTCCAGCCACCTCCTTGCTGCAGCATTTACAAACCCCAGATTCACACCCATATAAGAGTGTTGGTACCACTATACTTTCATACATTCCCTTCTTTGCCTCCATGGGTAACATTTTTTGTCTCCACAAATACCTCAACGCACCACACCTTTTTTCTTTCATCAATTCTATGATTAACCTCATCCTTCATAAACCCATCCGTGAAAGTATATATGCAAATAATGATATTTTAGCAACCTCGTCAAGAAAAAATACACACAATTGTAATTTTTTTTTTCAACAAACTGGCCGTATCCCACCAAGGCAGGGTGGCCCAAAAAGAAAAACGAAAGTTTTTCTTTTTAAATTTAGCAATTTATACAAGAGAAGGGGTTACTAGCCCCTTGCTCCAGGCATTTTAGTCGCCTCTTACAACACGCATGGCATACGGAGGAAGAATTCTGTTCCACTTCCCCATGGAGATAAGAAATAAACAAGAACAAGTGCTAGAAAGAAAATAAAAGAAAACCCAGAGGGGTGTGTGTGTATATATATATGCTCGTATACATGTATGTGTAGTGTGATCTAAGTGTAAGAAGTAGTAGCAAGACATACCTGAAATCTTGCATGTTTATGAGACAGAAAAAAGACACCAGCAATCCTACCATCATGTAAAACAATTACAGGTTTCCGTTTTACACTCACTTGGCAGGACGGCAGTACCTCCCTGGGCGGTTGCTGTCTACCAACCTACTACCTATAACAATTGTAAATAAAGGGTAATAAAAAAATTGTAGGTAGTACGTTGGTAGACAGCAACCACCCAGGGAGGTACTGCCGTCCTGCCAAGTGAGTGTAAAATGAAAGCCTGTAATTGTTTTACATGATGGTAGGATTGCTGGTGTCTTTTGTCTGTCTTATAAATATGCAAGGTTACAGGTACATCTTGCTACTTCTACTTACACTTAGGTCACACTAAACATGCATGTACACATTTATTTATACACACTTATCTGAGTTTTCTTTGATTATTAGTTCTTGGTCTTAGTACTTTTCCTTTTATATCCATGGGGAAGTGGAATAAGAATCTTTCCTCCGTAAGCCATGCATGTTGTAAAAGTCAACTAAAATGCCGGGAACAATGGGCTAGTAACCCCTTTTCCTGTAAAGATTACTAAAAAGAATAATAAGAAGAAAATTGTCAAAGTGGGAGGTCTAAATGTGCGTGGATGTTGTGTGAATGATGAGAAAGAGATGATTGTGGATGTTATGAATGAGAAGAAGCTGGATGTCCTGGCTTTAAGTGAAACAAAGCTGAAGGAGGTGGGTGACTTTCAGTGGAGAGGAATAAATGGGATTAGGTCAGGGGTTTCTAATAGAGTTAGAGCTAAAGAAGGAGTAGCAATAATGTTGAAGGATAAGCTATGGCAGGAAAAGAGGGAGTATAAATGTATAAATTTAAGGATTATGTGGAGTAAAATAAAGGTTGGATGTGAGAAGTGGGTTATAGTAAGCGTATATGCACCTGGGGAAGAGAGAAGTATAGAGGAGAGAGAGAGAGATTTTGGGAAATGTTGAGTGAATGCGTGGGGAGTTTTGAACCAAGTGTGAGAGTACTTGTGGTTGGGGATTTTAATGCCAAAGTGGGTAAAAATGTTGTGGATGGAGTAGTAGGTAAATTTGGGGTGCCAGGGGTAAATGAAAATGGGGAGCCTTTAATTGAGCTATGTGTAAAAAGAGATTTGGTAATAAGTATTACACATTTTATGAAAAAGAGGATAAATAAATATACAAGGTATCATATAGCACGTAATGAAAGTAGTTTGTTAGATTATATATTGGTGGATAAAAGGTTGATGGGTAGGCTCCAGGATGTACACGTTTATAAAGGGGCAACTGATATATTGGATCATTATCTAGTTGTAGCTACAGTTAGAGTAAGGGGTAGATGGGATAAGAGGAAAATGGCAACAACAAGTAAGAGGGAGGTGAAAGTGTATAAACTAAGGGAGGAGGAAGTTCGGGCGAAATACAAGCAACTATTGGCAGATAGGTGGGCTGGTGCAGGTATGAGTAGTGAGGGGGGTTGAAGAGGGTTGGAATGTTTTTAAAAATGGAGTATTAGAATGTGGGGCAGAAGTTTGTGGTTATAGGAGGGTGGGTGCAGGAGGAAAGAGGAGTGATTGGCGGAATGATGAAGTAAAGGGTGTGATAAATGAGAAAAAGGTAGCTTATGAGAGGTATTTACAAAACAGAAGTGTTATAAGAAGAGTAGAGTATATGGAGAGTAAAAGAAAGGTGAAGAGAGTGGCGAGAGAGTGCAAAAGGAGAGCAGATGATACAGTGGGAGAGGTACTGTCAACAAATTTTAATGAAAATAAGAAAAAATTTTGGAGCGAGTTAAACAAGTTAAGAAAGCCTAGGGAACAAATGGATTTGTCAGTTAAAAACAGAGTAGGGGAGTTAGTAGATGGGGAGATGGAGGTTTTGGGTAGATGGCGAGAATATTTTGAGGAACTTTTAACCCGTAAATGGTCCAAGCAGATCTACGTTCACATGTGTAGTGCTACAAAATTAGCACTACACATATTTTCAAATATAACAAAAAAAAAAAAGTAGATCAAAGTTTTTTACACATTTTCAAATGTAAAAAAACAAAAAGAAGATCTACTTTTTTTATATACTTCCAAATGTTGAAAAAACGTATGTATACGTTTGGACCGTTTACGGGTTAAATATCGACGAAGAAAGGGAGGTGGTAATTTCATGTACTGGCCAGAGAGGTATGCCATCTTTTAGGAGTGAAGAACATGATGTGAGTGCGGGGGAGGTGCGTGAGGCATCACATAGAACGGAAGGGGGTAAAGCAGCTGAAACTGACGGGATCATGACAGAAATGTTAAAAGCAGGGGGGGACACAGTGTTGGAGTGGTTGGTATTTTTGTTTAATAAATGTATGAAAGAGGGGAAGGTACCTAGGGATTGGCAGGGAGCATGTACAGTCCCTTTATATAAAGGGAAGGGAAACAAAAGAGATTGTAAAAATTATAGAGGAATAAGTTTACTGAGTATACCAGGAAAAGTGTACGGTAGGGCTATTATTGAAAGAATTAGAGGTAAGACAGAATGCAGAATTGTGGATGAGCAAGGAGGTTTCAGAGTGGGTAGGGGATGTGTAGATAAAGTGTTTACATTGAAGCATATATGTGAGCAGTATTTAGATAAAGGTAGGGAAGTTTTTACTGCATTTATATATTTAGAAAAGGCATATGATAGAGTGGATAGGAAAGCAATGTGGCAGATGTTGCAAGTATATGGAATAGGTGGTAAGTTACTAAATGCTGTAAAGAGTTTTTATGAGGATAGTGAGGCTCAGGTTAGGGTGTGTAGAAGAGAGGGAGACTACTTCCTAGTAAAAGTAGGTCTTAGACAGGGATGTATAATGTCACCATGGTTGTTTAATATATTTATAGATGTTTAATATATCTATAGGTTGTAAGAGAAGTAAATGCTAGGGTGTTCAGGAGAGGGGTGGGATTAAATTATGGGGAATTAAATACAAAATGGGAAGTGACAGTTACTTTTTGCTGATGATACTGTGCTTATGGGAAATTCTAAAGAAAAATTGCAAAGGTTAGTGGCCGAATTTGGGAGTGTGTGTAAAGGTACAAAGTTGAAAGTGAACATAGAAAAAAGTAAGGTGATGAGAGTATCAAATGATTTAGATAAAGAAAAACTGGATATCAAATTGGGTAGTATGGAAGAAGTGAATGTTTTCAGATATTTGGGAGGTGACGTGTCAGTAGATGGATTTATGAAGGATGAGGTTAATCACAGAATTGAAGGAAAAAAGGTGAGTGGTGCATTGAGGTACATGTGGAGGCAAAAAATGTTATCTATGGAGGCAAAAAAGGGAATGTATGAAAGTACATGTAGTAGTACCAACACTCTTACATGGGTGTGAAGCTTGGGTTGTAAATGCTGCAGCAAGGAGGCGGTTGGAGGCAGTGGAGATGTCCTGTCTAAGGGCAATGTGTGGTGTAAATATTATGCAGAAAATTCGGAGTGTGGAAATTAGGTGTGGAGTTAATAAAAGTATTAGTCAGAGAGCTGAAGAGGGTTTGTTGAGGTGGTTTGGTCATTTAGAGACAATGGATCAAAGTAGAATGACATGGAGAGTGTATAAATCTGTAGGGGAAGGAAGGCGGGGTAGGGGTTGTCCTCGAAAAGGTTGGAGGGAGGGGGTAAAGGTGTTGTGGGCGAGGGGTTTGGACTTCCAGCAAGCGTGCATAAGCGTGTTAGATAGGAGCGAATGGAGACAAATGGGATTTGGGACCTGACGAGCTGTTGGAGTGTAAGTAGGGTAATATTTAGTGAAGGGATTCAGGGAAACCGGTTATTTTATATAATTGCACTCGAGTCATGGAAATGGGAAGTACAATGCCTGTGCTCTAAAGGAGGGGTTTGGGATACTGGCAGTTTGGAGGGATATATTGTGTATTTTTTATATGTATATACTTCTAAACTGTTGTATTCTGGGCACCTCTGCAAAAACAGTGATTATGTGTGAGTGAGGTGAAAGTGTTGAATGATGTTGAAAATATTTTCTTTTTGGGGATTTTCTTTCTTTTTGGGTCACCCTGCCTCGGTGGGAGATGGCCGACTTATTGAAGAAAAAAATGCCAAAAAAAAAAAAAAAAATGCTAGAAAATATTTCTTCACAAGTGCTAAGCTGCTAGAAAAGGCATGGAAAATGTTAAAACAAATCATGACACTAAACACTGAAGACAGGACACTAGTAAAGTTCTACTAAAGAAAATACAAACAGGTAATCACTTACTGGATTGCCTTCCTGGCTAGTAAGCATCGGTGTTATGTCAGTTAGTGTCTTCCACTCAAGGGATTGATTACAGGCTGGTATGTCATATGCTTCACTAACTCTCTCAATCTGATTATCATCACTTTCATCAGAGTGACAAATATCTGTATTGCCTTTTAAGATTTTGTGATGCCCATTTACTTGACTACCAGTATAATTTCCAACTAAGTTCGAATCATCTCCCATGATTACAGGATGAGATTTTGTATGATCAAGTTCTTCTGAATCAGTTTCATCACTATCTTCATCCTTTTCAGAAACATGATTATAATTCACTCCAATTACTCCATTATAATTATCTATATCAGGGCTGCTGTGAATACTTTCGTAATTCATGGTAGCAATGGCTCCATTAAAACTATCTATATCAGGGCTGTTGTATGTTTTATTAGCTATGAGTTTTCCCTTTTCCTTCTCACAAACACAAATGCTATTTTTTTTCTTCTTTTGCATATTTTCCTTGTCGAACATACTAATTGTTTTACGACGCTTACGTAGTGGTGAAGCCAAAGTCGTATCTTCTGGCTCTGAAAATCAAACACAAAATAACTTGCATATTATTATTATTATAAATTTAAGCACTAAACCTGAAGGGACATACAGCTCAAAATAACTTAAAAGTTGTAAACTGGCAGCTCTGTCATCACTCTGTAAATAGTAACAGTATTATGAATGAAAAATAATAAATTAATAAATAGCATATACGTACGTACGTACGTACGTGTGTGTGTGTGTACATACTCGCTTAGTTGAGGTTGCAGGGGTCGAGTCCAAGCTCCTGGCCTCGCCTCTTCACTGGTCGCTACTAGGTCACTCTCCCTGAACCGTGAGCTTTATAATACCTCTGCTTAAAGCTATGTATGGATCCTGCCTCCACTACATCGCTTCCCAAACTATTCCACCTCCTGACTACTCTGTGGCTGAAGAAATACTTCCTAACATCCCTGTGATTCATCTGTGTCTTCAACTTCCAACTGTCCCCCCTTGTTGCTGTGTCCCATCTCTGGAACATCATGTCTTTGTCCACCTTGTCAATTCCTCTCAGTATTTTCTATGTCATTATCATGTCCCCCCTATCTCTCCTGTCCTCCAGTGTCGTCAGGTTGATTTCCCTTAACCTCTCCTCGTAGGACATACCTCTTAGCTCTGGGACTAGTCTTGTTGCAAACCTTTGCACTTTCTCTAGTTTCTTTACGTGCTTGGCTAGGTGTGGGTTCCAGACTGGTGCCGCATACTCCAATATGGGCCTAACGTACACGGTGTACAGGGCCCTGAATGATTCCTTATAAAGATGTCGGAATGCTGTTCTGAGGTTTGCTAGGCACCCATATGTTGCAGCAGTTATTTGGTTGATGTGCGCTTCAGATGTGCCTTGTGTTATACTCGCCCCAAGATCCTTTTTCCTTGAGTGAGGTTTGTAGTCTCTGGCCCCCTAGACTGCACTCCGTCTGCAGTCTTCTTTGCTCTTCCCCAATCTTCATGACTTTGCACTTGGTGGGGTTGAACTCCAGGAGCCAATTGCTGGACCAGGTCTGCAGCCTGTCTAGATCCCTTTGTAATTCTGTCGTAAAATTCCAGTGGATTTCCCCTCCCTGAAACCATGCTGGTTATCGTGTATAAGTGCATTCCTTTCAAGGTGCTCTACCAGTTTTTTCCTGATAAACTTCTCCATGACTTTACATAATATACCTGTCAGTGACACTGGTCTGTAGTTTAATGCTTCCTGTCTGTCTCCTTTCTTACAGACTGGGATTACATTTACTATCTTCCACACCTCCGGTAGTTGCCCTTTTTCGATATGTGTGTTGAAGATTGTTGTTAGTGGCATGCACAGCAGCTCTGCTCCCTCTCTCAGGACCCATGAAGAGGTGTTGTAGTACTGTAGCCCAGTCTGTCTCCGCTGAAAACACTTCCTTAAATCCCGTGTTAAGCTCTTCACATACCTCTTTGTTGTTTCTTGTGATCTCCCCTCCTTCCTTCCCCAGCCTTATTACCTGGTCCTTGACTGTTCTTTTCCTCCTGATGTGACTGTACAACAGCTTTGGGTCAGATTTGGCTTTCAATGCTACGTCATTCTCGTACTGCCACTGGGCCTCCCTCCTTATCCATGAATATTCATTTCTGGCTCTTCAGCTAATCTCCTAATTTTCCTGGGTCCTTTGTCTTCTATACTTCTTCCATTCTCTAGTACACTTAGGTTTGGCCTCTACACCCTTGGGTAAGCCAAGGGCTCACTGATTCTGTTGCCCTTAGGGATGAACCACTCTTCTGCTTCTTTGCATTTTCTGGTCATGTATGCCATCATTTCATTCACTGTTATTCCCACCAGTTCTCTTTCCCATTGTTCCTCATGCATGAAATTACTCATACCTGTGTAGTCCCCTCTTTTAAAGTTTGTTTCCTCATATCCTAATCGTGCTACTTCCCTTTCTACTTTTAGCACTACAATGTATTCGAAGCTCAGGACCATGTGATCACCAGCTCTGATGGGCCCCTCATATGTGATGTCCCCAATGTCTAAACTACTAAAGGTGAATATGAGGTCCAGCCTTGCTAGTTCAATTTTTCCTCCCTCTCTGGTAGTGTCCCTAACATGCTGATGAATAAGGTTCTCCAGTACCACCTCCATCATCTTGGCCCTCCATGTTTTTGGTTACCCGTGTGGCTTCAGGTTTTCCTGTGACTGAAATCACAACTAGTAACCTTGCCCTGCCAATGTTGGCCCTTCTGGCAACCTCAACTAGTGCACCATTTTTTTACTGTTCTCATCATACTCTTGTCTTGGCCTCCTGCTATTTTCGGGTGAGTTGTACATCGCTGCAATCACCACCTTGAGACCACCATGCTGAAGTGTTCCTACTATGTAGTCCCTTGTTCCCCTTCTGTCCACTCCTTCCAACTCCTTAAAACTTCACTGGTTTTTGATGAGCAGTGCAACTCCTCCACCTCCTCTATTTCCTCTATCTTTCCTTGTGATCTGATATCCAATTGGAAAGACTGAGTCTGTTAACATTTTTGCAAGCTTGGCTTCTATGAGTCCTATTATGTCTGGGGATGTCTCCATGATTCTTTCATGCCACTCCTCTTATTTATTAGCTATTTCATCTGTACTGGTGTGTGCACATGTATGTACTCACCTAGTTGAGGTTGTAGGGGTCGAGTCCTAGCTCCTGGCCGCGCCTCTTCACTGGTCGCTACTAGGTCACTCTCCCTGAACTGTGAGCTTTATCATACCTCTGCTTAAAGCTATGTATGGATCCTGCCTCCACTACATTGCTTCCCAAACTATTCCACTTCCTGACTACTCTGTGGCTGAAGAAATACTTCCTAACATCCCTGTGATTCATCTGTGTCTTCAACTTCCAACTGTGTCCCCTTGTTGCTGTGTCCCATCTCTGGAACATCCTTTGTCCACCTTGTGTGTGTGTGTGTGTGTGTGTGTGTGTGTGTACTCACCTAGTTGTACTCACCTAGTTGAGGTTGCGGGGGTCGAGTCCGAGCTCCTGGCCCCGCCTCTTCACTGATCGCTACTAGGTCACTCTCCCTGAGCCGTGAGCTTTATCGTACCTCTGCTTAAAGCTATGTATGGATCCTGCCTCCACTACATCGCTTCCCAAACTATTCCACTTACTGACTACTCTGTGGCTGAAGAAATACTTCCTAACATCCCTGTGTGTGTGTGTGTGTGTGTGTGTGTGTGTGTGTGTGTGTGTGTGTGTGTGTGCGCGTGCATGTGTGTGTGCGTGCATGTGTGTGTGCATGTGTGTGTGTGCATGTGTGTGTGTGTGCATGTGTGTGTGTGTGTGCATGTGTGTGTGTGTGTGTGCATGCGTGTGCATGCGTGTGCATGCCTGTGTGTGTGTGTGCGCACACGCGCATGTACATGTGTGCGCACACACGTGCAAGCACATTACTTACCGGACTCTGAGCTCTGAGAAGTAATCTCCCTCAACTGTCTTCCAAGTCCGTAGTCCAATCTATCCGATCTATTATTGAGGATTTTACTTAAGATGTGTAATCTTGAGGAACTGGTGGAGGAAGTGCCTAATATTGATGTGGATGTAGTAGGTGTGTTAATATCTTGGCTTGCAGCTTCCATCTTGTCTGGAAGAATCAAAGCATTTTATTGTAGTGAGCCACTTTGGATGGAGGTACAGTACTGTACTGTCCCTCCACTCCAGCATACCTACTAAATACAGTGGACCCCCAGTTATTGGCTGTTCCTGTTATCGGCCAACTTAGTTATAGGCTGGGTTTTTGGCTTCCGGTTATCGGCTGTTATTTCGCTTATCGACCATATGGGACGCATCCACCCACCTGCCGGCAGCCGCTTGTGTCAGTCTGGCTGTGTCTCTGGGCAAGCGAGGAAGTTTCTGCTCATTCATCCAAACATTTTGCTATAACCCATTATTTTTGGTGGTTATTTATTAAGTGCAACTGCAAAATAAGTCACCATGGCCCCAAAGTTCCTTTGGTAAAGAAAGTGAGAAACATGATAGAATTCAAGGCAGGCAGGCAGGCAGGTAGAGGCAAGGAGTGTAGCAGGCATACAGGGAGTGTAGCAGGCATGCAGGGAGTGTAGCAGGCATGCAGGGAGTGTAGCAGGCATGCAGGGAGTGTAGCAGGCATGCAGGGAGTGTAGCAGGCATGCAGGGAGTGTAGCAGGCATGCAGGGAGTGTAGCAGGCATGCAGGGAGTGTAGCAGGCATGCAGGGAGTGTAGCAGGCATGCAGGGAGTGTAGCAGGCATGCAGGGAGTGTAGCAGGCATGCAGGGAGTGTAGCAGGCATGTTGGGAGTGTAGCTGGCATGCACGGAGTGTAGCAGGCATGCACGGAGTGTAGCAGGCATGCAGGGAGTGTAGCAGGCATGCTGGGAGTGTAGCAGGCATGCAGGGAGTGTAGCAGGCATGCTGGGAGTGTAGCAGGCATGCAGGGAGTGTAGCAGGCATGCAGGGAGTATAGCAGGCATGCAGGGAGTATAGCAGGCATGCAGGGAGTGTAGCAGGCATGCAGGGAGTGTAGCAGGCATGCAGGGAGTGTAGCAGGCATGCAGGGAGTGTAGCAGGCATGCAGGGGGTGTAGCAGGCATGCAGGGAGTGTAGCAGGCATGCAGGGAGTGTAGCAGGCATGCAGGGAGTGTAGCAGGCATGCAGGGAGTGTAGCAGGCATGCAGGGAGTGTAGCAGGCATGCAGGGAGTGTAGCAGGCATGCTGGGAGTGTAGCAGGCATGCTGGGAGTGTAGCAGGCATGCTGGGAGTGTAGCAGGCATGCAGGGAGTGTAGCAGGCATGCAGGGAGTATAGCAGGCATGCAGGGAGTATAGCAGGCATGCAGGGAGTGTAGCAGGCATGCAGGGAGTGTAGCAGGCATGCAGGGAGTGTAGCAGGCATGCTGGGAGTGTAGCAGGCATGCTGGGAGTGTAGCAGGCATGCTGGGAGTGTAGCAGGCATGCAGGGAGTGTAGCAGGCATGCAGGGAGTATAGTAGGCATGCAGGGAGTATAGCAGGCATGCAGGGAGTGTAGCAGGCATGCAGGGAGTGTAGCAGGCATGCAGGGAGTGTAGCAGGCATGCAGGGAGTGTAATTGGTGGAGTGACTCTCAAGCTGGTCCTAGTGGCATTAAAAGATAAAGAAAGTAAGTAACCCAGAGAGGGCTTTGCTACCTGAAGTCCTTATGGAGTGGGATTCCCCTTCCAAACAATAACTCCTCCCTATCTTCCAGAAGCCAGCATTAGTCTTCAATAAAGATATGTAATACTGATTTAATTGTTAATTTTTTTTTTGTGTATACATACCATGGGTCCACTGTATTGTGTATATGAATGGTATACAACAGTGACAAGATGACCTCCATGGGTAAGATCTTTGTCTCCACAGATACCTCAATGTACCACTCATATTTTTCTTCATCAATTCTATGGTTTACCTCATCTTTCATGTATCCATCCACCCAAATATAGAGCGATAAACAGCAGAGAGAGAATGGTACAGAAATCATTCACAAACTGTGTGTGTGGTTGTTTCCACCAAGCTAGGCCACCTTACCCTAATTGTAGAGCCTTGGTGCAGAGAGAAAAAAAAGTTTTGCATGAGAACCAGCCCTGTTTAAATTTTTTCCTTAGATTTATAGTGCAAATGTTAAAGCAAAACCATGAATGAAACATTTTTAAAAGAAATCTGAAATGTGATACATTAAAAATACAGTATTAAGATACACAATAAGAGAGATTTTACAGTAATCAAAATGTGTGATGCTAAATATGCAAATGAAAGAATACGACTCATTTGCAAAATTACTTGAAAAATATTAGCGGCAAATAATCCACCTGCGGGGATTTAGGGAAATTAGTCAATCAGAGTTTTCGAAGTTAGTTATTAACTTGGCAGTGAGGTGGGGATATTGCAGTTCAGGTGGACCAAGATATTTGTATTCTTCTAGATATGCAGCTAAGCAGAGGCGTCGCTAGAGTTGGTATCACCCGGGGTGGAATCTTTGGTGTTACCCAGGGTGGAATATTTGTTGTCACCTGGGGCAGCATCTTTGGTGTCACCCCCATGAAATTTAAGGGCGGGGGGATGGGGGGGGGGGTAAACTCCAGTTATGTCATTACTGCATGACCAGTGACAGGTGTTTAGCAATGAGAATGTTTAAGGGCCATAAGCTGAACAGGAGAATACTTCTCAGCTTTATTAATAATAAAATAAATAAGCATAGTAATGGTTTAGAAAGACACGTAAGCAAACACTATAACATATTTATTAGAAAACGTTTCAGTCCTGGGACCTTGATCACTTCTAACATACAGAGGTAGAAAGACATTATATATATAGGCGGAGAGTGAGATGTGACGCACGTGACCTGAGGAATGTCATAAGAAATGGAGGAACACTGTTTTCTAATAAATATGTTATAGTGTTTGCTTACATGTCTTTCTAAACCAACTTGTCGGTATTTATTACCAAGGTTTATACCAAGCATAGTAATATTGAGGAAACAAACTCAAATACCACTTTGAGTACAGCCAACAGATCCTACATTTATTTATCTTTAACAATGCCAAAAAAAAAAAAAAAAAAAAAAAAAAAAAAAAAAAAAAACTTGAAAAATAAAGAAAAACATTGCAATATCAGAGAAATACTAGTTCCAATTTGACTGAGTACAGGTAACATCTCAGTGTATCTGATCTTACATTTCCTTGCCTTCAGTTATGCAAAATCCTCTATCACATCATCAAAATCAATGATTTTCCCTATATAGGCTTATTTGTACTTTGTTAATATATAATAGGCTATATAGAAACGAAGGATTCTTCTCTTATGTTGATGCAGCCTTGTTTTGGGCATTAGTGTCACCCTCCAAATGGTGTCACCCAGGGCGGCCCCCCTCCTTACGACGCCCCTGCAGCTAAGGAGTGATGTAATAGTGATGCTGTGATGCCTCTTGCAAGACAGTGATAGTCTGAATGATGGTGAAAATGTTTCTTTTTTGGGTCACCCTGCCTCAGTGGGAGATGGCCAGTGTTAAAAAAAATTAAAGCATAAAACTCGCTAGCTTGTTTGCTCGTCCTCTAACTCTTCAACCCTCTGACATATTCACCTGTACAGTAATAACATCTGTCCATTAAATTATATTGCTCTGATTTCATAAATTGATGCTGAGTTGCCTGCACACTAGCTGCCTCACTACTGTAGAAAGAATACAGCATTATCAGTAGCTAAGTTTTGCAAATACTAAGGATTTACTGCACATGATTTTATAAACTTCCTGGCTTATCCTAAAGTAACCTAGATGCAAAATGATAAAATTAAAATTATCATTTATTCAATTAAAACATTAACACCATGAAGACGAAAAAGAAGCAGAGACATACCGGATGCTGTCAAAATACCAGCAGGTGATGAACAGCTTGCTTTAGGTGCAACAATCAGCTTGCCACACGATCGAGGGGTCTTCTGGCCTGTGGATTTAAAAAAAAAATAATTTACAACACACTGGCCGTTTCCCACCAAGGCAGGGTGACCCGAAAAGAAGAAACATTATTAAACCTGAAAATAAGCCCTACACCTTTTAATTAAATTTATATCCTGTTATGAATTGAAACTAAACACTTACCAATATAAACATCCATAGGACCCCGAGGTGTTGCAACAGATTTGTTAGTCATGTTGCCACCCTTGTCAGCTTGTTTTGTCCGTTTCTGCACTTTTTCTCGTTCTGCCTCCTGTTAAAAAATCCAAGTTTGTTATTTTTCATCTTACAATTATGATATACTGTATTCATTTTTACTTTTCATTCCTTACAAAGAAACTAAAACTAAGTAGGGACTGGATCACAGTAAATTATAATACTATTACTGTGAGGAAAAATTTTTTAAATGGGAAAAGGGTTATAAGCTTGATTTCGCAATATTAAGGGGCTTTGTTGTCGGAAAAATTTCTGCCAACTTACTCCCACTTGCAGTTGGTATGTGAAATATTTCATTCATCAGAAAATCTTGTGATTCTTTTTCCAAGTACAGTGGACCCCCGCATAACGGACGCCTTGCATAGCGGACAATCCGCATAGCGGATGCTTTGTTCGCTAAAATTTTGCCCCGCATAGTGGACAAAAACCCGCTCAGCGGCCTTCGTCCGAGACGCGTCCAATGTGCGGCCTGAGCCACGCTCACATGTTCCGCGGGTGGCATTGTTTACCAGCCAGCCTCCGCCTTAACATCCAAGCATACAATCGGAACATTTTGTATTATTACAGTGTTTTTGGTGATTTTTTTCTGGAAAATAAGTGACCATGGGCCCCAAGAAAGCTTCTAGTGCCAACCCTACAGCAATAAGGGTGAGAATTACTATGGAGATGAAGAAAAAGATCATTGATAAGTATGAAAGTGGAGTGCGTGTCTCCGAGCTGGCCAGGTTGTATAATAAACCCCAATCAACCATTGCTACTATTGGTGGTACAGCTGCTGCTGCTGCTGTACCACCGTCAGCTGCTGCTGCTGTACCACCGTCAGCTGCTGCTGCTGTACCACCGTCAGCTGCTGCTGCTGCTGTAGTACCGTCTGCTGCTGCTGTAGCATCGTCTGCTGCTGCTGTAGCATCGTCTGCTGCTGCTGTAGCATCGTCTGCTGCTGCTGTAGCATCGTCTGCTGCTGCTGCTGCTGTAGCATCGTCTGCTGCTGCTGTAACATCGTCAGTTGCTGCTGTAGCATCGTCTGCTGCTGCTGTAGCATCGTCTGTTGCTGCTGTAGCATCGTCTGTTGCTGCTGTACCACCGTCAGCTGCTGCTGCTGCTGTACCACCGTTGTTGGTGTGGCTTATTGAGAATACCAAGAAACAATTAACCCCAGAGGGTTAGCTACCCAGGATAACCCAAGAAAGTCAGTGTCATCGAAGACTGTCTAACTTATTTCCATTGGAGTCCTTAATCTTGTCTCCCAGGATGCAACCCACACCAGTTGACTAACACCCAGGTGAACAGGGAAAATGCCTGGAACTAGTGCTCATATTGGTGAATTTAGAGCCAGCAAAGGTTGGTTTGAGAGATTTAAGAATCGTAGTGGCATACACAGTGTGATAAGGCCTGTTCTGGAAGAAAATACCAAACAGGACCTACAGTACTCAGGAGGAAAAGGCACTCCCAGGACACAGTGTCTCATCAGTCATTGCTGCATCTTCAATAAAGGTGTCATTTATTCTTCATTTAGTAGAGTAGTACATGCACAATATATATTGAGCATGTACTACTCTATTATTGTGCATGTATCCTTCTCTTTGTGTGTAGGAAAATGTATATTTCATGTGGTAAAAAATTTTTTTTCATACTTTTGGGTGTCTTGCACGGATTAATTTGATTTCCATTATTTCTTATGGGGAAAATTCATTCGCATAACAGCCAGCCCTCTTGCACGGATTAAGGTCACTATGCGGGGGTCCACTGTAATGGAAAGTAATATCTAGGACTGAATAAACCATACAACAATATCAAGAAAATAACATTAACTAATAAATACATATTGTACAGTGGTACTCACATTACTGATGCAGGACTTACTCTCTGATGTTGCAAATACTCATCAGTTACCAAGGACCAATATGAAGTTTCTGATTATCCAAGTAATTAGATGCTGAACTTACAATGCTCTATTATATTCCTTCCTGACAGTGTATTATCTCTTACTAGCACTCACTTTCATTACCTTACCTATCAATAAAAGATACTTTACCACTCTTGCAAAAAATATAATTAAAAAATGTTAAGAAAAAAGAGAACAGATCTTTTACTCAAATTTAAGCTATGAAACACTGCCTATAAATCAGCCTTTTTATACCTCAATCTGCCGAGCAAAATCTTCATCTCTGGCACACAACTGTTGAATCTGCTTCATCTCTTCTTTAAAAAGTATGTTTTCTGCTTCCTGATAAATAAAATGATCACATTACAAAATAGATAAAACATAAGAAAAATAAAACAATAATTTGTAAATAATTTGTAATGTTGTTCATAAATGATCTGAAGTCTTATGGTAATGTTTTACCTTCACCTGCTCCGCCACAGCAGCGTCACCATCTGCCATTAGTTCTTGCTGTTTACGGCGTTCCCGAAGTTGCATCTTTTCCTCCTCCTGTCAAATAAAATTACTGTCACCTAAACTGTTAACATTTAAACCGATATGAATGTGTATACAGCCTCTCCTCACTAAGCAATGTACTCGTTTACTGACGACTCAGACTTACGACGGGCTCTCTGACTAGTGTGCATGCCTAAATAATGCATATTAAGAGCTGATTTCCTCTATTCTGTTTATTACAATAGACAGTACACTACTCAATAAACATTTAAAAATATACCAGAAATGTTATAAATGGTGCAAAGGTGACATTAAAACAATATCAAAGATGGCTAACACAAACCCACTACCATTATAGTATGCTCCTCGTTTAGTTATGAATTCATTTAACAACATGGTTTTAGGAACGGAACTTCATCGTTAGGTGAAGAGAGGCTGTATACCCCAATATGAAAAAAATCACAGTGCTCTTACATGTCCTACAATCCACCATTGTGGGTCTTCAGTATAAGACACATCAAGAGGATTCTCAGTTAGAGTGCCAACAGCAGCAATGATAGTGATGTAGAGCGATTCCACAGAAATAAAAAATTTCAGTAGTGAAAACACAAGAAGTGTAATTAAAAAAATTTGCTGTTCCCTCAACCTCATGCACTACTAAACATTTTTCTGCAAATAAAAGTATTTACATCATTACATGATAGTGACTGCAGTGGTGATGATGAGGGAAGTATGATGAAAACTTTTATAACTAAACTCTAGAAGGAAAAGATTCCAGTGATAGTGATGTAGGTTACCACTTTTGACTCAGACCTAGTCAGAGAAAATGTGTACACTATAGTATTACTGGGGGTAACTGTAGAAAATTATTCCTTTCATGGGCCTTCACTCAGTGTCATTTCTTCTAAAAATGGTATTACATGAGAATGGGAGTGTTCCTCTTCATTTATTCTACTGTACCAACGTGGAGACAACTTGTACACAATGTAAAGTGTTTGTATGAACCAACACCAGATGCATTCATCTGTTTATTTACATACTCTGTGTCCCTGTCCTCTCTCATTTACTCATTTTCTCTCTCTCTCATTTATTCATTTTATCTCGTTCACTCACCTCTCACCCTACATTAAGACTGCAAATATTTTAAGGTAAGTAATGAGTGAACTGTATATGCATTTTATCGCTCTGGGACACTTTAAATGTCATAGTATATTATGTGTGGGTGGGGTGGCCTGGCTGGCTACCAGACCTCCCACAATACATACTACAATAAACACTACTCATTTCACCCTACATTAAGATTACAAATATTTTAAAGTAAGTAATGAGTGTACTATATGTGCATTTTACATTTTTATTGCTTTTTAATGCTTAGTTCTATTGCTAACTTAACCCTTTGACTGTCACAACCCCAAATCCTGAAGTGTCTCCTGGTGTCACAAAATATTTGAAAAAAAAAAAAAAAAAAATATTTCTTATGAAATGATAGAGAATCTGTTCCTGATGATAATGACACCAAAAGTACGAAATTTGATCGAAAACTTACGGAATTACGCTCTCGCGGAGTTAGCAACCTCGGTGACATTTACGCACTGCCGATTTCACCCACTTTGAGCCCTATTTTCAGCCAATTCTGCTGTTCCAGTTCACCAAACTCATAGCTATTTCTTTAGAACTCCATTTGTTCTATCAATTGAGTACAAGAAACCACCAAATTACCGATTTCAACTACCCAATAAAGTGGTCAGAAATTGGCAATTTGGCCAATTTCATGCAAATTAAAAAATATATTAATTCCAAAACAGGGTCCAGAATGAACACTGCAGACATTCTTGGCACTAAAATAACATTTTCTCTGTTGTTAGGTAAGACACATATGCAACAGTTAGGTATCTTTATTTCGAAACGTTTCACCTACACAGTAGGCTTCTTCAGTCGAGTACAGAAAAGTTGATAGAAGCAGAAGATACTTGAAGACGATGTAATCAGTCCATCACCCTTAAAGTTTTGAGGTGGTCAGTCCCTCAGTCTGGAGAAGAGCATTGTTCCATAGTAGGAAACAATATGGAGATGAAGTGACAAATTGGAGCCTTATATAGCGCCAAGAGGTGAGACGTAGGTCTAACCTGTCGGTATTTTATACCATTTTAATGTTCAACATTTTCTCTGTTCATCAGTCACATCTCCAGCCCCTGTTATAATACTCTTGTTTTCTATTTTGAATTTTTATTCACACAAAAAACAGAAGATTTACTGTTATGCAGACTACTGTAATATTGTAATAATTGTATAAATATTGTTGACCCATTCATGAATGCATATCAGAATGGCTAGTTGGACATTTATTGGACATTGATGTCATTTGTTTACTCTTGAACATCTGCAAAAATTGAACATTTCTGCCACTTTGAGCTCCATTTCAAGATCCTTTTCATAGTAAAACCAATCAAAATCACTTCTCTTTCTATAAGATGTTTTCCAGTCTATCAAATGAGACCAAGAAAACAAGAATACATCCATAAATACTACATGAAAATACACCTCAAAGTCAGCGTTTCAATCCAAAAACACGGTTGGAGTTTTTTTTTCTCATTATGTACTGCATGCTGCAGTACAGGATTTTTTTATACTGTGCACAATGACCACACAGAACCATTCTCTCACATGTGGGCCTACCAGCTTTCTCCTGCTTGACTTGAAGCCGCTAGAATTTTTGAGTATACATATAGTATACATCAAACTACATCGGCTCATAAGATGTATATATACGACCAAGACATTCAAAGGTTAATATAAACTTGTTAATAGTATTTATATGCATTTGTAAGTGGAGAAAAAAGGGCATTCCACTTTATGGTGGCTCAAATCCTCGGTTAGTCGCAGTGTTGTTATTGGCTCAATACCACTCATTTATGGTTACAATAATATATGTGTACATGTGTATATATATATATATATATATATATACTGCTTGTGGAGGCTAGCACACCAAACGGGGGGTAGAATGAAATTAGCTTGAAAGCACCTACACCACCGTATGTCCTTGGATCAAGGTAAAACACCTAGCTCTACTGGGTGTTTGTTTCTTGTAGGGTTGAGTGGTCCAGTGGGTTAAAGCGTCATGTAATTTTCGCTCATCATGAGGCGGGCCAAAACGGCATGGGTTCAAATCCTCGGCTATTCGCAGTGTTGTTACTGATTCAATACCACTTGTTTGTGGTTACAATAATATATAAAGTAGACTGTCGTTTTACACTGTTTTGTCTTGCGCATTTTGGATATAGCACGATTGAAGAATTGTGGCATATTTTTGTTTAACACTTCGTAAAATTAGTTTAACGCGGTTGTGGGAGTGGAAAAATTTTGAGCGCAGCCAGGTGGGATGGTCTGTGGGTTACACCATTGTGTCAATGGGGGAGACTTACCGCCAAGCCATCCCCCGCCTCCCTCAGCCACCCACCCCACCCTCCCAGCCTTCAGTTCTGTTCATACGCGTGTAGGACGACGATACTGAGGAAGCTCGATGTATTTATTTACATACAGATTTTCTCATTTTCATTGCCATATGTTAAATCCGCCAAGCAATCATGGCACTGACTCGACTGAATAACTTACTTACTTCATGCACACTCCAATACAACCATCGACTTCAGTACCAGAACCTCTACCATCCACTTCTGCCGACAACCAACAACCATCCACCTCAACCCAGTAGGGTGACACCTTCTATATCCTCTCTCTTCACAATCATCCACAAACACCATTACCCACAATTTAAGGTAAGAAATACTATTATTTCTATTACATTTGTAGTCTTAAGCAGTAATACTGTATATCATGACAATGCACTACAATTACATATTCACTTTTATTTTGTAAGATCTGAAGGTCTAAAAAAAAGTTGTTTGTCTTTTTGGGGGCTCCCAAGAACGTGACCCTATTTTTTCCATAAGTTCTTCAGTTCGTCTAACACAGTTTTGTCTAACAACATTCTCAGGAACCTAACTACCGTGTTAAATGACAGTCTACTGTATACTGCTTGTGGAGGCTAGTACACCAAATGGGGAGTAGAATGAAATTAGCTCAGAGGCACCCACACCACTGTATGTCCTCAGATCAAGGTAAGACACCCAGCTCTGGTGTAAAGATGACTAGGCACAAGAAAATGCATGGGAACTTGAAGCAAAAGAAAGAACCAAATGTTAAAATTCTTCATACCTGTAATTGCTGTATTAGTTTATTAGATGCTAATTCTTCCTGGGATTTTTCTAGAGCTGCCTCCTGAAGCTGCTGAGCCAAAAGAGCTTCGTATTCTTGACGGATCTCCCCAGGAGCACTCACGTGATGTACTGGAACAATCTTTTCTGAAAATGCATATCTATAAAGAATAATATGCATAACCAGAGGTCTAATATTTATAGTTTGAACTTTCAACTAATCAGCTGCAAAGACTAACTCCAGTTTAAAAGAACACACTGAAGGGAAATATGACAAAAACAAAAAACAAAAATTGTAGAGGGTTACATTCCTAGAGGTCCTGGGAAACTAGACTGAAAATAATGCAAAATTTAGTCTGCATAGCAAACAGAATGAATGATGGTGCATGTACAGTAATACCTAACATAGTACGGTTTTGAACAGTATGGGTTTTCATATAATATTTAGGAGTGGACGTATCAGCAGATGGGTCTATGAAGGATGAGGGAAAAAGGTGAGTGGTGCACTTAGGAGTCTGTGGTGACAAAGAACTTTGTCCATGGAAGCAAAGAGGGGACTGTACTAGAGTATAGTTATACCAACACTCTTATGCGGGTGTGAAGCATGGGTGGTGAATGTTGCAACGAGAAGGCTTGAGGCAGTGGAGACGTCATGTCTGAGGGCAATGTGTGGTGTGAATATAATGCAGAGAATTCACACACACACAAATAACCCGCACATAAAAGACAGAAGCTTACGACGACGTTTCGCTCCGACTTGGACCATTGACTTTGTCAATGGTCCAAGTCGGACCGAAACGTCGTCGTAAGCTTCTGTCTTTTATGTGCGGGTTATTTGTGTATTGTTCCAGTCACGGTATTGTGCCTTTTTGTTATTTATTCAGAGAATTCACAGTTTAGAAATTAGGAGGTGGTGCGAGATTACCAAAACTATTATCCAGACGTCTGAGGAGGGGTTGCTGAGGTGGTTTGGGCATGTAGAGAGAATGGAACGAAACAGAATGACTTCGAGAGTGTATAAATCTGTAGTAGAGGGAAGGCAGGATAGGGGTCGGTTGAGGGCTTTGTGTGCGAGGGGCTTGGACTTCCAGCAAGCATGCATGAGCATATTTGATAGGAGTGAATGGAGACAAATGGTTTTTAATACTTGACATGTTGTTGGAGTGTGAGCAAGGTATGTATTCAGGGAAACCGGCAGGGCGGACTTGAGTCCTGAAGATGGGAAGTACAGTGTCTGCACTCTGAATGAGGGCTTACTGTTGCAGTTTTATAACTGAAGTGTAAAGTACACCTCTGGCAAGGCAATGATGGAGTAAATGATGCTAGAATTTTTTTTTTTTCGGGCCACCCTGCCTTGGTGGGAATCGGCCGATGTGTTAAAAAATAAATAAATGCAAATTTTATTTAACTGCTTTACGCACCAATGTTAGACTGCTGCTATGTATCGGAATAGCGTGATGCCAACATCAGCAGCGTTCCAGACTCCCAGCAGTGAAGTTGTGTAGTCTTATACAATATGTACGTATACACAATTTTTTCTTTATTATTTAAAGTACCGGTACTCCTGTTATACTCAAATATGAGTGAAAAGTGGAAATGCAATGATGCTGAGCATTCTAGTAAACATCAATGGTTAACAGATGAAAAACTAGAAATTATAAACCAACATGAAGATGGTGTATTGTATGCTAAAATAACACATGACAAGAAAATGAATGAAGCATTGGTATATGTGCATATAAGGAATAGAGATAAAATAAAAAGACATGGAATGGCTACAGCATCTTATCTGAAATGGATAATACAGAACGTCATTAAATGCTATGAACTGAAGACTGCAGTCCTAAAAGAATTCCATTAAGTTGTATGACAATTCAAGCTAAAGCAACAAGTCTCTATTCAGTGTTATAAAAAGAAAATGGCAATGAAGAGGAAAGTTTTTTGGCAAGTCATGGCTGGTTTTACAACTTTAAAAAGCATATGAGACTCTATAATGTTCAAAATACAGGTCGAAGTGCCAGTGCAAGCAATAAAGCAGCTGCAAAATTTCCTAATGATCTAAAAAAAAAAAATGATAGAAGAAAATGTTTACAAAGACAAGCAAATTTTTAACATAGATGAAATAGGTTTGTTTTGGAAGATGAAGCTGTTATGCAATGTGTCACCGCACTGTTCCACTGATTTTGCCGATTTTGAATCCCATATTAAAATCATTTGTGAAAACATTGTGCAGCTTGGGAAAGATAATTTCAGATTAGAAGCTTTGAATTGTGAAAATGTGCATCAATGCACTGACTCTCATTCTGATGACCCTGATGATGCAACACCTGTGGAAATGGATCAGCAACATTTACACGAAGAAGCAGAAGAAAATCAAGGTGCTGCTGAATCCATGAAAGAATTCACACCGGATGAACTATCAACGTTAACTGCGAAAGTTGACACTCATGACTTCATAATGAATGCAGATCCAATGGGGCATTAGAGTTAGGCAGGCGTTACAAAATGATATTCGATGCTATAAAGATATGCATGTTGATAAAAGGAAGAAGAATCTGTGCAAACATGTTGTTCAACTACTTTTCAAAATAAAAATTATCTTTCTTTACCATATTCAGGTAACATTGTAAAAATATTTAGTACTGCTATTTTTTCATTTTTATCTTTTGTAATTTTTTATCTGTAAAGTAAAAGGACACAAGTGCAACTAATGTGACATTTTATTGTGGCAACATTTTGCTCTCCAGGAGCTTTGTCAAGCTGTTACAAATAATACATGGACACAGAGAGCATATATAGGCTTAGAGTGAGGTGTAATAGTAGTAGTAGTAGTAGTAGTAGTAGTAGTAGTAGTAGTAGTAGTAGTAGTAGTAGTAGTAGTAGTAGTAGTAGTAGTGGTAGTAGTAGTGGTAGTAGTAGTAGTAGTAGTAGTAGTAGTAGTGGTGGTAGTAGTAGTAGTGGTGGTGGTAGTAGTGGTGGTAGTAGTAGTGGTGGTAGTAGTAGTGGTGGTAGTAGTAATAGTGGTGGTAGTAGTAGTGGTGGTAGTAGTAGTAGTAGTGGTGGTAGTAGTAGTGGTGGTGGTAGTAGTAGTGGTGGTGGTAGTAGTAGTGGTGGTGGTAGTAGTAGTGGTGGTGGTAGTAGTAGTGGTGGTGGTAGTAGTGGTGGTGGTAGTAGTAGTGGTGGTGGTAGTAGTAGTGGTGGTGGTAGTAGTAGTGGTGGTGGTGGTAGTAGTAGTAGTGGTGGTGGTGGTAGTAGTAGTAGTAGTAGTAGTAGTAGTAGTAGTAGTAATAATGATATATATGTATATCACTACTACTACTACCACTAGTATTACACCTCACTCTAAGCCTATATATGCTCTCTGTGTCTATGTAATGTTTGTAACAGCTTGACAAAGCTCCTGGAGAGCAAAATGTTGCCACAATAAAATGTCACATTAGTTGCACTTGTGTCCTTTTACTTCACATATTGTCAGTAATTTTACCAAAATTTGTACAATTTTTTATCTGCAGGTGTGTAAGAATTTTGTGTACATTGATTTGTACTAAGCAAACGGCTAAATATTTCTGCAATCTGATGCATTTAATCGTATTGTTGGAATGTATTACATTAAAACACGTTATTGCAAAGTACTGTACTTTTTTTGAGAACCATTAACTATACTATGCAAGGTATTGCTGTATTATCTTTTCCAGATATTCTGCCTTGGTGGAAGGTTGCCATTAGGGTTAAAAAAAAAAAATGCTTCCAGATTTAGTGTAATTTTGTTTTAGAGAACATGTCTCTATCATATGATTAATGCAGATTAAAAAGAGATTTAGAGTGATGAAACTACTGAGCCAGAAAAATGCTAGATAACCGAGTTAATTTACTTGTTACACTTCAGTAAACATTTCAGAAGTCCACAAATCTGATGTGATGACTGTATTATATTCCAACTGTATGCCACTGTTTTTATATGAATAACACTCATTCAAAAAAAATTATATTGTAATTACTATACAGCTTCTCCTCACTTAACCCTTTGACTGTTTTGGTTGTATATATACTTCTTACGCTCCACTGTTTCGGACATATTAATACGCGTAAATTCTAGCGGCTTCAAATCAAGCAGGAGAAAGCGGGTAGGCCCACATGTGAGAGAATGGGTCTGGGTGGTCAGTGTGCACCACATAAAAAAAAATCCTACAGCACACAGTGCATAATGAGAAAAAAAAAACTGACAGTTTTTTTGGATTAAAACGCCGACTTTGAGGTGTATTTTTGTATAGTATTTATCGTTGTATTCTCGTTTTCATGGTCTCACGTGATAAAATGGAAAACATGTTACAAAAATAGAGATGATTTTCATTACTTTCACGATGAAAACAACCTTGAAATTGAGCTCAAAGTAGCGGAAATGTTCGATTTTTACCAATGTTCAGGAGTAAGCAAATCACACCACACATTCAATACACGTCAACTGGGGAGTCTAATATTCTTTCACTAGTGCACTGATATTATTTATACCATTTTTACAATAATGCATTAGACTGCATAACAGTAAATTTTGTATTTTTTGTATGAATAAAAAATCAAAATAGAAAGCAATAATATAAGAGGGGTCTAGAGACGTGACTAATGAACAGAGGATATGTTATTTTAGTTGCAAGAATGTCTACATTGTTTATTCTGGACCCTATTTTGAAATTGGCATTTTTTTAATTTGCGTGAAATTGGCCAAATTGCCAATTTCTGATCACTTTATTGGGTAGTTCAAATCAGTAAATGGGCAGTTTCTTGTACTCAACTGATAGAAAAAAAATTGAGTTCTAAAGAAATAGCTATGAGTTTGGTCTACTGGAACAACAGAATTAGCTAAAAGCAGGGCTCAAATTCGGCGAAATAGCCGATGCGTATATGTCGCCGAGACCGCTAACTTTGTGGGAGCGTAATTCCACGAGTTTTCGATCAAATTTTGTACTTTTGGTGTCATTACCATCAGGAAAAGATTATCTATCATTTCACAAGAAAAAATAATTATTTTTTTCCAAAAATTTTGCGACAGAATGAGTTTCAGAAAGGGGCTTGTGACAGTCAAAGTGTTAACGATGGAGTTCCATTCCTAAGTCCGTGTCGTTAAACGAATTCGTTGCTAAGTGAGGAGCATACTATTATGGTAGTGCGTTTGTTTTAGCCATCTCTGATATTGTTTTAATGTCACCTTTGCACCATTTATAACATTTCTGGTATATTTTTAAATGTTTATACAGCAGTGTACTGTACATTGAAATAAACAGAATAGAGGAAATCAGCTCTAATATACATTATTTAGGTACAAATACTGGTCAGAGAGCCTGTCATAAGTCCAAGGCGTCAGTAAACAAGTACGTCGCTAAGTGAGGAGAGGCTGCATATATATTCATGGGGACACACTAAACAGACATATGACATATAACACCTGGAGTGGAGGCAGTCAATTGTGACAAGGATAGGAAAGATAGCAGCTCTTCTCTACCACCCATTTCTTCAACTGCCTCTGAACACTACCTTGTTTGTACATCTCCTTTACCCCAATCTGGCTCCTTTTTGTTTTTAGTAGCTCTCAGTTTTTAGTAGCTCTAATCTATTCACCATGTTGATATGGAGTGTCTTAATACATGTCATTAGTTTTTCCCTGTTCATCCTACAATATACAGAAACAAGGCAAATGATTGCCAACACCTAAAGAGAAAATAGTAAAGTAAAGTAAAGTTCATTTCTTTGTAAAGGTTACAATGTGTAATTACAATTTTGATTTGCTAAGTACAAAGATGGCCACTATCATGCCGTGGCATTTCGGGGAAACTAATCCAAATACACAGTAACTAATTAAAACTAGATAAGATAATGGTACACAGTAACTATACTTAAAACTAGACAAGGAATAGTGGTTAGCTGTTTTACAATCTTATTTAAACTTAATACAGTCTTATTTAAATTTAGTGCAAGTGAATAGGGTTCAGTAAAATATGCTTGCAATTGCACACAAAATCTACCTTACAAGTAATGGTGCACGTGGTAATATTTTATGGAATGGCAGAATTAAAAGCCAGGAGGTCACATGATAAGACTAATTAGCAGATGTTTTGGCAGATTTGGTTAATATTGAGAAATAAGATGATTTTTATGGATTGGCAGAATTAAAAGCCTAGAGGTCACATAATAAAAGTAGTTAGCAGATGTTTGGTTGATTTGGTTAATATTGTGAGATAAGATGATTTTTTAGCAAAGTCCTAAATTTATAAGCTGTCAGGGGATCCTTGACCTGTTCCGGAAGCGCATTCCAGATCTTCGGGCCTTTTATGTGCATAGCGTTCTTGCCTAGTGAGAGTCTGACTTGAGGGAAGTTGAAAAGTGCCTTATGCCTCATATTGTGCCTGTGCATTCTGTTGTAACTGTCAAGTAGTAGTTTTAGGGGAGGGTTTACAGTGGAGTTTAATGTTCTGTATATGTAGTAGGCACAATAATAAGAGTGTATGTCTTGTATATTTAGCAAGTTGAGTCTCTTGAAAAGTGGTAGTGTGTGCTGTATAGCACAGGAGCTGGTTATCACCTGCACAGCAGCTTTTTGTTGGATTATTAAGGGTCTAAGGTGGTTGGCTGTGGTTGAGCCCCAGGCACAAATATCACAGGTGAGGTAAGGATATATTGGAGAGTGGTACAGGGCAAGGAGAGTCATTTGTGGTACATAATATCGTATCTTGGAAAGGATTCTTACTGATTTGGAAATTTTCTTGGCTATGTGACGGGTATGGGACTGAAATTTAAGATTACAGTAAGGAAGAAGACCTAGAAATTTGCCCTCAGTGTGTCTTGATATAGGGGAACCATTTAACAGTATGTTAAGTTGGATATTTGAGGCTCTGTTGCCAAACAGTATAAAGTATGTTTTGTCTATGTTGATAGTGAGTTTATTGGTCATCATCCAAGCATATATCTTTAGCAGTTCATTGTTTACAGTGCTTCCAAGCACAGCTGGGTCTGAATGGGAGTAGACATATGTAGTGTCATCTGTGAATGGAACTGGTTCAAGGAGTTGGGATGCATTGGGGAGATCATTGATGTAGATGAGAAAGAGGAGTGGGCCTAGGACACTACCCTGGGGTACTCCTACAGCTACAGGTTGGATATATGAAAATATATACCTAGGATTCCATTATTGAAGCCTTTCAGACCATGACCTAAAGGTCTTCAGTAAAGAAGTTTTAAGAGTATGCATCTGAAATCATTTTCTTTGCTTTTCCTATTTGAATTCTGTAGATTTCTTTCTATCCCATTTGGTGCCCAGATTCCTTTTTTGACAGGTGTAACACAACACACCTTTGGAATAAATTATCATTAGTTTTAGTGTTTTTTCTGTTGCCCACACTTTTATTACTTTTATTCATTTATACAAAACAATATAAAAATAATGCAATCACAAACAAAACTGTCCAATCTCCCATATTTTTACCATCAGTATCAGAATCGTCCACTCCATGTAAACGAGCTTCTACCTTATCAGCAAAGTTTTCTAGAATCTTCTTCCAAAGTTTAGTGTTGACTAATCTCTTGGCTTTGGCAGTATGGCGTACCCACACACTAATTCTGAAAGTTAATTTGAAGTGTTAAAAATTCTGAAAGTATTCTACCTTAACATTACATTTCTAATAAAAAAATATTAAAAATTTTAATATAGCTACTAGGTTATTATTTTATCTATCTTACTTACAGTATATTCTTTACTATAATATTGCTTAATAATGAAAAAGACTGATGCATCCAACTTCACACTGCTCACCCAATATTTCACACTTACCTATCCATTCATTCTAATCCTCAACCTTACTAAAAATGAAAGCCCGAGTTGTAAATGTTGCAGGGAGGAGGAGGCTGGAAGTAATGAAGATGTTGTCTGAGGGCAATGTGTGGTGCCAATATTATGCAGGGAATTCATAGACTGGAGATAAGAAAGGGGTGCGGGGTTACTAAAAGTATTATTCAGACGGCTGACAATGGGTTGTTGACGTGGTTTGAACATTTAAAAAAGATGGATTAAAACAGAATGACTTGGAGGGAAGGCATGGTAGGGGTCACCCTAGGAAGAGGGGGTAAAGATTTTTGTGTGTGAGGCTTGGGCATCCAGCAGGCATGTGTGAGCATGTTAGATAGGAGTGAGTGGAGGCAAATGGTATTCAGGACTTGATGAACTCTTGGAGTGTGAGCAAGGTAAGATTTGTGAAGGGATACAGGTAAACCAAACTTGAATCCTGGAGATTGGAAGTACAGTGCTTGCACTCCAAAAGAGGGGTGGGGATATCTGCATCTCTGGCAAGGCAATGATAGAGTGTATGATGGTGAAAGTGTTCTTTATTTGGGCCACCCGCCTCTGTGGGAGAAGGCAGGTGATATTAAAAAAAGAAAAAATAACCACTTGGTGTATGTGTAGTGAGCTGATATTTTTTGAGTAAACACTAGTGAAGAAATGTGGAATTTGCAAAGTTTCTGAATGAATGAAACAACCAATCTTGATAGCATCCTCAGATGACACACCAAGCATCTGGCATTAATCCTGGCACAAGTAAAACATTGGGTATGTTTCCTTACACTTACTGCCCCTATTCACCTAGTAGTTAGTACCTGGGTGTTAGTAGACTGTTGTGGGTGGCATCCTGGGGACAAAATTAACCAAAGTTGGTCAAAATGTTAATAATAATATAACAATAATCTTTATTTCTACAAGTACATGAACAAAGTATACAGGCCTAGCTGACATCAATGACATACTACTGGAGTTTACCTGGAGAGAGTTCCGGGGGTCAACACCCCAGCGGCCCGGTCTGTGACCAGGCCTCCTGGTGGGTCAGAGCCTGATCAACCAGGCTGTTACTGCTGGCTGCACACAAACCAACGTACGAGCCACAGCCCGGCTGGTCAGGAACCGACTTTAGGTGCTTGTCCAGTGCCAGCTTGAAGACTGCCAGGGGTCTGTTGGTAATCCCCCTTATGTATGCTGGGAGGCAGTTGAACAGTCTCGGGCCCCTGACACTTATTGTATGGTCTCTTAACGTGCTAGTGACACCCCTGCTTTTCATTGGGGGGATGTTGCATCGTCTGCCAAGTCTTTTGCTTTCATAGTGAGTGATTTTCGTGTGCAAGTTTGGTACTATTCCCTCTAGGATTTTCCAGGTGTATATAATCATGTATCTCCCCCGCCTGCATTCCAGGGAATACAGGTTCAGGAACCTCAAGCGCTCCCAGTAATTGAGGTGTTTTATCTCCGTTATGCGCGCTGTGAAGGTTCTCTGTACATTTTCTAGGTCAGCAATTTCACCTGCCTTGAAAGGTGCTATTAGTGTGCAGCAATATTCCTGCCTAGATAGAACAAGTGACCTGAAGAGTGTCATCATGGGCTTGGCATCCCTAGTTTTGAAGGTTCTCGTTATCCATCCTGTCATTTTTCTAGCAGATGCGTTTGATACAATGTTATGGTCCTTGAAGGTGAGATCCTCCGACATGATCACTCCCAGGTCTTTGACGTTGATGTTTCGCTCTATTTTGTGGCCAGAATTTGTTTTGTACTCTGATGAAGAATTAATTTCCTCGTGTTTACCATATCTGAGTAATTGAAATTTCTCATCGTTGAACTTCATGTTGTTTTCTGCAGCCCACTGAAAGATTTGGTTGATGTCCGCCTGGAGCCTTGCAGTGTCTGCAATGGAAGACACTGTCATGCAGATTCGGGTGTCATCTGCAAAGGAAGACACGGTGCTGTGGCTGACATCCTTGTCTATGTCAGATATGAGGATCAGGAACAAGATGGGAGCGAGTACTGTGCCTTGTGAACAGAGCTTTTCACCATAGCTGCCTCGGACTTTACTCTGTTGACTACTACTCTGTGTTCTGTTAGTGAGGAAATTATAGATCCATCGACCGACTTTTTCTGTTATTCCTTTAGCACGCATTTTGTGCGCTATTACACCATGGTCACACTTGTCGAAGGCTTTTGCAAAGTCTGTATATATTACATCTGCATTCTTTTTGTCTTCTAGTGCATCTAGGACCTTGTCGGAGTGATCCAATAGTTGAGACAGACAGGAGAGACCTGTTCTAAACCCATGTTGCCCTGGGTTGTGTAATTGATGGGTTTCTAGATGGGTGGTGATCTTGCTTCTAAGGACCCTTTCAAAGATTTTTATGATATGGGATGTTAGTGCTATCAGTCTGTAGTTCTTTGCTATTGCTTTACTGCCCCCTTTGTGGAGTGGGGCTATGTCTGTTGTTTTTAGTAACTGTGGGACGACCCCCATGTCCATGCTCCCTCTCCATAGGATGGTAAAAGCTCGTGATAGGGGCTTCTTGCAGTTCTTGATGAACACGGAGTTCCATGAGTCTGGCCCTGAGGCAGAGTGCATGGGCATGTCATTTATCGCCTGTTCGAAGTCATTTGGCGTCAGGATAACATCAGATAGGCTTGTGTTAACCAAATTCTGTGGCTCTCTCATAAAAAATTCATTTTGATCTTCGACTCTCAGTCTGGTTAGTGGCTTGCTAAAAACTGAGTCATATTGGGACTTGAGTAGCTTACTCATTTCCTTGCTGTCATCTGTGTAGACCCTCTTGTTGAAGTAGGGCCCAATACTGGACGTTGTTCTCGACTTTGATTTGGCATAGGAGAAGAAATACTTTGGGTTTCTTTCAATTTCATTTATGGCTTTTAGTTCTTCCCGCGATTCCTGACTCCTGTAAGATTCCTTTAGCTTAAGTTTGATGCTTGCTATTTCTCTGACCAGTGTCTCCCTACGCATTTCAGATATATTGACCTCTTTTAGCCGCTCTGTTATTCTTTTCCGTCGCCTGTAAAGGGAGCGCCTGTTTCTTTCTATTTTACATCTACTCCTCCTTTTTCTTAGAGGAATAAGTCTTGTGCATACATCGAGTTAATCTGTTCTAGGCATAAGTTGGGGTCTGTGTTGCTTAATATATCTTCCCAGCTTATATCGGTTAGGACTTGGTTTACTTGGTCCCACTTTATGTTTTTGTTATTGAAGTTGAATTTGGTGAATGCTCCCTCGTGACTAATCTCATTATGTCGGTCTGGGGCTCCATGCATACATGTCTGAACCTCAATTATGTTGTGATCTGAGTATATTGTTTTTGATATGGTGACATTTCTTATCAGATCATCATTGTTAGTGAAGATGAGGTCTAGTGTATTCTCCAGTCTAGTAGGCTCTATTAACTACAACATCAGGTCCTTAAGCAAACACTATGATGACCTCCTGGCACTCCTTGAATCACTAAAGACACCCTTCTCCTGCATTATTCTTACTGAGACCTGGCTTAAGCAGGACACAATAGATATCTACCCTCTACCAGGATACACAGCAATTCACAACTGCAGACCAAACCAAGTTGGGGGTGGTATTGCAATCTATTACTCTAACCAATTATCTTGTATTAGCACCACTTGCTTTAGTGATGAATATGGGGAATACATTTTTGCTAATTTTACTGTAAAAAACCTTAAGACACCTATAACAATCGGTGCCATTTACCGGATACCTCACACAAACATCCCAAATTTCAGTGAGAAATTAAAGTCACTAATAACAAACAGACAAATGAATAAGCACCACCTTCTCTTAGCTGGAGACTTCAACATCAACCTTGGCTTACTAGATGATCAGCCTGTAACTGATTTCATCAACAATATGAACAACACACTTCTCATACCAACAATAACTAAACCAACCAGGCTCACTGAGACAAGTGCAACCATAATAGACAACATATGGACCAATATACTAGCCCCCCTTAAATCAGGGATAATCACAGATAGCACTACAGACCACTACCCTACCTTCCTCCTGACAAATATTAATAAACCACCACTTGAATACAACAAAGTCTCATTTAAACTCCATGACGAGGCCTCAATAAGGAAGTTCACAACTGACCTAGAGATTGTTGACTGGCCTACAGAATTCTCCAAGGCCAATGGTATTGATGACTGGACAGACATTTTTCTTAACAAATTACTTAGACTATACAACAAACATTGTCCTATAAAAACGAAACAGATCACAAACAAACGGCTTGGTTGCCCATGGCTAACCAGCACCATTCTGAAATCCACTGACAAGAAACACCAATATGAAAAGCAATATAGACAGGGCTTAATACACAAAGATATTCTTAAACACTATTCATCAGTTCTCACCAAAGTAATAAAGAAAGCCAAACAACTATACTACTCCAGTAGATTCACAGACACTAGAGGAGATATAAAAAAGACCTGGAAAATACTCTCTCAGATTCTAGGGACCCACAAACTGAAAAAAACCAAGAATATTGTCCTAACTAAACCTAATGAAACACCACTACATCCCACTGACACAGCTAACAAGATAAACGACTTCTCAACCATAGGATCTAATCTCGCCAATAAAATCCCACATACTAATGCCCATGCCGGGGACTACCTAGATGGGAATTTCCCAAATTCTTTCTATCTTGCACCAACTGAGCCCTCGGAAGTCACCGAGATTATAAAGTCACTTAAAAACAACTCAGGGAATCTGTCTAATGTCCCACCATTACTGTACAAGCGAGCGGCCCATATCCTTTCGCATGCTATTTCATTACTTTTTAACAAGTCACTAGAAACTAGCACCTTCCCGAAACTACTCAAGATGGCAAGGGTTACAATAATACATAAAGGTGGTGACCCTACAGACTTAAACAACTATAGGCCAATATCAAACTTACCATTGCTATCCAAAATCTTTGAGAAACTCGTGCACAGGAGACTATATTCATTTATAACAGCACAAAGCATACTCAACCCCTGCCAATTTGGATTTAGGAAAAATAAAAGCACTAATGATGCAATCATAAAAATGCTAGATCTGCTTTACACAGCATTGGAAAATAAGGAATATCCACTAGGAATTTTTATTGACCTAAGAAAAGCTTTTGACACAGTAGACCACGACATCCTACTCCACAAACTTGACCATTACGGTATAAGAGGCCATGCGCTTCCTTATTTCAAATCTTACCTTACTAATAGGTATCAGTATGTTACCATTAAAGACACAGCATCAACAACACGGCCACTTGATACTGGAGTTCCGCAGGGGAAGTGTCCTTGGTCCCCTGCTCTTCCTCATATACATCAATGATCTTCCAAACGTATCCCAACACCTGAAACCCATTCTCTTTGCTGACGACACGACTTATGTCATCTCTCACCCTAATCTTGCCACCCTCAACACCATTGTTAACGAGGAGCTGATCAAAATATCGACTTGGATGACAGCCAATAAACTTACGCTTAACACTGACAAAACCTACTATATTATGTTTGGTAGCAGAGCAGGAGATGCACAAATTAACATTAAGATCGACAACACTCTAATTACCAGACATAATGAGGGCAAATTCCTAGGCCTATACCTTGACAACAACCTGAATTTCAGCACCCATATCCAACACATAACCAAAAAAGTATCCAAAACAGTTGGGATCCTCTCCAAGATACGATACTACATGCCGCAAAATGCCCTTCTCACACTATACCACTCACTTATTTATCCATACCTCATCTATGCTATTTGTGCTTGGGGATCAACTGCAGCAACACACCTAAAGCCAATAATAACCCAATAAAAAGCTGCAGTAAGAATAATCACTAAATCCCATCCCTGGCAACACACCCCCCCACTCTTCATATATCTAATCTTACTCCCTGTTCAGTACATCCACACTTACTACTGTGCAATCTATATCTACAGGACCTTAAACTCCAATATCAACCTTGACCTAAAACGCTTTCTTGATAGTTGTGACAGAACCCACAGGCATAACACCAGACACAAACATCTCTACGACATTCCCCATGTCCGACTAAACCTTTACAAAAATTCAATGTATGTCAAAGGCCCTAAAATCTGGAACACCCTACCTGAGAACTCTAGAACTGCAGACACATTCATCACCTTCAAAACTACCATTAGAAAACATCTTATCTCCCTGATAAACCCCATCAACTAACTACACGAATACCACCTGGTGGTTCACACTTACACTCACTCACCCATTTGACCATAAACAGAAATATTAATCTCAATCTTAAAATAATGAATCCTATGATACTCCAATACTGAAACTATGTACTGTGCCAAAACAAAAGCATTCACATTGCTAAACTCACAAACTAGTATTTAGTCACTTAGCCATAATACCAACTTACCTCATAATTTGTAATATTTTAAAATAATGAATTAAATTAAGTCTGCCCGAAATGCCTAGCCATGCTAGGCGTTCTAGTGGTACACTCTGTAATCATTATTTAACTACATGTAAACCACACAACAACCAAATTCTGTAAATTCAACATTGTAATCTTTATAGAGAATAAACTTTGAATTTGAATTTGAATTTGAATTATTTGCTGGTTTAAATTGAATTCTGTGCAGAGATTTAAAAGCTCGTGTGAGTATGAGTTTTCATCAGAGCTGCCTCCTGGTGTTATTACTGCAACAATATTATTTGCTATATTCCTCCATTTTAGGTGCCTTAAGTTGAAATCCCCCAGGAGCAAGATGTTGGGTGCAGGAGCTGGAAGATTTTCCAGACAGTGGTCAATTTTTAACAGCTGTTCCTGGAATTGCTGGGATGTATAAAATATCATTATACAGCAGGTTAGGTTCAGGGCTACCACTGTAAAGCAAAACAAATGTTTTTTCACTCTCAAAAGTATATAAAAGCCTGATAACATGTTTATGCTATCATATATTAAGTGAGCAATAGAGCTAGGCCTAAAAAATTGCATATGCAGTACACATATTACTCACCTTAAAATACTTTCATCCTTAGCTTATAGCGAGTCGTGAATATATTTATTATACAAAGTCTGAATTAATGAAAAATGGCTACAAATGAAAATTGCTGCATTAGCAAAATGCTGTAAAGTGAAGCACTGTAAAGCGGGGGCCCCTCCTGTACCTGTGCCTAAATAATTTTATTTATTCCAGTCTTTTAGTAGTATAATAACAGGTGTTTGCGGCCTGGCCACTGGTAAGTACTGCACTCCTGCAATAATGGTTAAAGTTGCTAACCTTAACAAAAAAGTCTATTAGTAAGTTTATTTATGCAAGGTACACTTAAGTACAAATATCAAGACAGTAAGATAGTAAGTAAACTTATTCAGATATACACATATACAGTTACATGGATTATCATATATAGCAGCATATATGTAGAGAACCGAAGATAACCCCCCCCCCCCCCCCAAAAAAAAAAAAAATAGACAAAGTGACTTATTTCCAGTGCGGTCATTTAGGCACGTAAACGAGTTAATGGGGCAGATATAAGTCATACATTACCTTCGTCTGCATATTGGACATTCTAGGGAAGTCTTGGCTAGATGTTGGTTGAAACAAGGCCTACACAGGGAGTGTGAACAAGGCAGTGTCACCGGCTCTACCAATATTGACAGACATATTGGACACATAACATCAGCGAGGGATAACTGTGTCTTAGCAAGTGTAGAAGACAGTGAAACATCAGTCAGTGTGGCCATCACTACACTGTGTCTTCAGGATACTTGTAACAATCTTCATCAACTCTCACTCACTCTCCGCCAAATTCTTCTTGTTAGTGTTTATAGGGTCAGTGACGGCATCACACTCTTCTTCTTCTTCTTTGTAACTTGATTTAGGTAAGTAAGTTTTTATTCAGGTACACTTAAATACAGTTACATAAATTATCATACATAGCAGCATATGTGTAGATTACCTAGGATAACTCAAAAGTCAAAGTGACTTATTTCCACTGAGGTCTTTGACAGGTGCACCTCAGATAGTTTATCTATAACTGGCTTCCTTTCTTCACTGTTAATGTATTATCACTAGAACTAGAGTCCTGCAGCTGTACTATAATCAGAACTAGAGTCCTGCAGCTGTACTATAATCAGAACTAGAGTCCTGCAGCTGTGCTATCATTAGAACTAGATAATAAATAACAAAAAGGCACAATACCGTGACTGGAACGATACACAAATAACCCGCACATAAAAGAGAGAAGCTTACGACTACGTTTCGGTCCGACTTGGACCATTGACAAAGTCAATGGTCCAAGTCGGACCGAAACGTCGTCGTAAGCTTCTCTCTTTTATGTGCGGGTTATTTGTGTATTAGAACTAGAGTCATGCAGCTGTACTGTCACTATAACTAGAGTCCTGCAGCTGTACTATAATCAGAACTAGAGTCCTGCAGCTGTATTATCACTAGAACTAGAGTCGTGCAGCTGTACTGTCACTATAACTAGAGTCCTGCAGCTGTACTATTACTAGAACTAGAGTCCTGCAGTAAATGGTTACTAGATAAAAAAAAAAAACTATCGCTGCACCTCGGGAAGATAGAAGTCATACTCTTCGGCACGAAAAGTGCACTGAAAAGGTGAAATACTTTCAAAGTCTAGTGTAATGGGGCAGCCATCATTGCAGTATCTTCAGTGAATTATCTGGGAATCTCCTTTGACCCAAACATGTCAGTAGAATTGATAGGGAACAATGTAGTGAAGAAATAGAATACCAGGCACAGTGTCTACCTAATGAGGCTCGTATGACCCTATGTCTAGCTCTTATATAGTGCCATATACATTATTCTTGTTCTTCATGGTACTCTGCCTTAACAAATACAATGAAAAACAGCCCACAAATCACCCAGGACAAAACGTTGAGATTCATCTTTGGTTCAAGAGAGCCGTATGGGGTCCAGTTCCTGGACCCATTATGTACCTTTGTAATCTTTTGACTACCTCCCACAGGATGGGTATGGGGTGCATAATAAACATATTAATTAAACTAACTTCAAGAGAGCATGTAGATCAAGATGAATTACAGCCACCTACAGTAGATGGTCAGGCTTCAAACACCTTATATTGTACAGCAATAATGGAGTGGAAGGTAGTGCCTGTACCTGTCCAAGAATGTCTTATAGCATGAGCTACAATGACCTTAATATAATACACCAAAGTTAACTATATATGTAACTAAATTCATTTTCTTTGGTTGTGTCGTTGTTGCCACCAACCATCGCTGTCATCGTTGTCTCTGCTACCGTCGTCGTCACTGCCACCGTCGTCGTTGTCGTCGTTGCTACCATCGTTATCTCTACTACCGTCGTCGTCACTGATACCGACGTCGTCGTCACTGCTACCGTTGTCGTTGTAGTCGTTTTTATTGTCGCCGCTACCACCGTCACTGCTACCGTCGTTGTCGTCGCTAGTATCGCCATCCTCGTGGTTGTCGTCGTCGCTGGTGGCGATATCGTCGTCCTCATGGTTGTCGCTGTCGTCCTGATCATGGTCGTCGTCGCTGGTGTCGCTGTCGTTTTCATCATCGTCGTAGCTGTCCTCATCATGGTTGTTGTCGTTGCTGGTGTCGTTGTGCTGATCATGGTCGTCGTCGTCTTCGCTGGTGTCGCTGTTGTCCTCATCATGGTTGTCGTCATCATGGTCGTTGCTGATGTCGCTGTCGTCGTCCTGATCATGGTCGTCGCTGGTGTCTCTGTCGTAGTCCTCATGGTCGTCGTCGTCGCTGGTGTCGTCCTCATAGTTATCATCGTCGCTGGTGTCGCTGTCGTCGTCCTGATCATTGTCGGCATCCTTATCATGGTTGTCGTCGTCGCTGGTGTGATCGTGTTGATCATGGTCGTCGTCACTGGTGTTGCTGTGATCATGGTTGTCGTCATCGCTGTCGTCCTCATCATGGTCGTCGTCGTCGTCGCTGGTATCGCTGTCATCATGGCTGTCGTCGTCCTCATCATGGTTGTCGTCGTCGTCGCTGGTGTCATCTAGTTATCGTCGTCACTGGTGTCGCCGTCGTCGTCCTGATCATTGTCGTTGTCGCTGTCGTCATCTTTATCATGGTTGTCGTCGTCGCTGGTGTCGTCGTCCTCATCATAGTTATCGTCGTCACTGTCGTCGTCCTGATCATGGTCGTCACTGGTGTCGTCGTCCTGATCATGGTCGTCATTGGTGTCGTCCTGATCATAGTTATCGTCGTGGTCCTGATCATGGTCGTCACTGGTGTCGTGGTCCTGATCATGGTCGTCACTGGTATCGTCGTGGTCCTGATCATGGTCGTCACTGGTATCGTCGTCGTCCTGATCATGGTCGTCACTGGTATCGTCGTGGTTCCCGATCATGGTCGTCACTGGTATCGTCGTGATCCTGATCATGGTCGTCACTGGTATCGTCGTGGTCCTGATCATGGTCGTCACTGGTATCGTCGTGGTCCTGATCATGGTCGTCACTGGTATCGTCGTGGTCCTGATCATGGTCGTCACTGGTATCGTCGTGGTTCTGATCATGGTCGTCACTGGTATCGTCGTCGTCCTGATCATGGTCGTCACTGGTATCGTCGTGATCCTGATCATGGTCGTCACTGGTATCGTCGTGGTCCTGATCATGGTCGTCACTGGTATCGTCGTGGTCCTGATCATGGTCGTCACTGGTATCGTCGTCGTCCTGATCATGGTCGTCACTGGTATCGTCGTCGGCCTGATCATGGTCGTCACTGGTATCGTCGTGATCCTGATCATGGTCGTCACTGGTATCGTCGTCGTCCTGATCATGGTCGTCACTGGTATCGTCGTGGTCCTGATCATAGTCGTCACTGGTATCGTCGTCGTCCTGATCATGGTCGTCACTGGTATCGTCGTCGTCCTGATCATGGTCGTCACTGGTATCGTCGTCCTGATCATCGTTATCGTTGTGGTCCTGATCATGGTCGTCACTGGTATCGTCGTGGTCCTGATCATGGTCGTCACTGGTATCGTCGTGGTCCTGATCATGGTCGTCACTGGTATCGTCGTCCTGATCATCGTTATCGTTGTGGTCCTGATCATGGTCGTCACTGGTATCGTCGTCGTCCTGATCATGGTCGTCGTCGTCGCCACAACAATAACAACAAAGATGGCAGCAAATTCAAAGCAACAATGGGAAATTATCAAAAAATCCTTCTTTATTGAGGGAAATTTTGGAGATGTGAGTATGAGACTTTGTGCATGATGATGAACCTTTCCTGGTGTGTCATCATGATGATGATATACCAGGATCTTGATTCAGGGAACTGGAGCTGATCAAGCCAGAGTATCACTGCTCAACTTTTGTATCAGCCTCACTGGTTTGGCTCCTTCAAGTAGCTGCTGAAGGGCTTCTGATCCAAGGGTTTGGGGCTCTCCACCCTTGGATCAAACCTGATTACCTCCCATTTCCCCAAGCGCTGTTTTACCCGAATGGGTTTAGCGCTTCCCCATGAATGTAATCTATGACGTAAAGGTTTAGCGCTTCCCCAGTTGACTAACACCCAGGCACCTACTTACAGGTGAACAGGGACAGCAGGTGTTAAATGACTAACACCTAGGTACCTACTTACAGGTGAACAGGGACAGCAGATGTAAGGAAACATATCTAAGTCACTTTGTATGACCTTTTTGGGTTATCTTAGGTAATTTACACTATATATGATAACTGTACTTCAAGGCTGGCAACATTGCAGACCTGGAGAGTGTACAAAGAACTTTCATGGCACACAAAAGTACAATAAGGAACCTAAATTACTGCGAATGGTTGAAGGTCCTTGATCTGTATTCCCTGGAATGCAAGCGAGAGAGATACATGATAATATACACTTGGAAGGTCCTGGAGGGATTGGTACCAAACCTGCCTGGAGTTTACCTGGAGAGAGTTCCGGGGGTCAACGCCCCCGCGGCCCGGTCTGTGACCAGGCCTCGTGGTGGATCAGAGCCTGATCAACCAGGCTGTTGCTGCTGGCTGCACGCAAACCAACGTACGAGCCACAGCCCGGCTGTCTACTACTCCCAATGAAAGCAGAAGACTCGGCAGGAGAGGCAACATTCCCCCAATGAAAAGCAGGGGCACCAGGAGTACATTGAGAGACAACACAATAAGTGTCCGGGGCCCAAGACTGTTCAACTGCTTCCCAGCATACTTAAGGGGGATTACCAGTAGACCCCTGGCTGTCTTCAAGAAGGCACTGGACAGGCACCTAAAGTCAGTACCTGACCAACCGGGCTGTGGTTCGTACGTCAGCTTGCGTGTGGCCAGCAGTAACAGCCAGGTTGATCAGACCCTGATTCACCATGAGGCCTGGTCTCAGACCGAGCCGCGGGGGCATTGACCCCCAAAACCCTCTACAGGAAACTCCAGGTATGTGTACCTGTGCCTAAATAACCCTTCAAAAAAGGTTCCTTGATGTTTGTGAGGGGCTCTTGATCTACGGAATTGGATCTATACTCCAGTTCCCTGAATTAAACCTGAATACCTTCCACATACCCCCCTCCCCCCACAGGCAGTGTCCTCCATTGAAGACACTGCAAGGCTCCAGGCGGACATCAACCAAATCTTTAAATGGGCTGCAGAAAACAACACGAAGTTCAGTGATGAGAAATTTCAACTACTCTGATACAGTAAACGTGAGGAAATTAAAATTTCATCGGAGTATAAAACAAATTCCAACCACACAATAGAGTGAAAAACTAACATCAAAGACCTGAGAGTGATCATGCCGGAAGATCTCACCTTCAAGGACCATAATATTGTATCAGTCGCATCTGCTAAAAAGTGACTGGATGGATAATGAGAACCTTCAAAACCAGGGATGCCAAGCCCATGATGACACTCTTCAGATCGCTAGTTCTATATAGGCTGGAATATTGCTGCACCTACCAGCACCTTTCATGGCAGGTGAAATTGTTGACCTAGAAAATGTACAGAGAACCTTCATGGCACACATAACCGAGATAAAACACCTCAATTACTGGGAATGCTTGAAGTTCCTAAACCCGTACTCCCTAGAATGCAGGCAGGAGAGATACGTACATGATTATATACACTTGGAAAATCCTAGAGGGATTAGTACCAAACTTGCACACGAAAATCACTCCCTACGAAAGCAAAAGACTCAGCAGATGATGCAACATCCCCCACAATGAAAAGCAGGGGTGCCACTAGCACATTAAAAGAGACAACACAATAAGTGTTAGGGGCCCAAGACTGTTCAGCTGCCTCCCAGCATACAAAAGGGGGATTACCAATAGGCCCCTGGCTGTCTTCAAGCAGGCACTGGACAAGCACCTAAAGTCAGTACCTGATGAACTGGGCTGTGGTTTGTTCTTTAGATTGTGTGTGGCCAGCAGTAACAGCCTGGTTGATCAGGCCCTGATCCACCCTGAGGCCTGGTCACAGACCAGGCCACGGGGGCGTTGAACCTCGGAACTCTGTCCAGTACTCCAGGTAAACTGTATAATTCTGCGGGTTTAGTGCTTCTCCCTTGATTATAATAATAATGTGCCTAAATAAAATTAATATTTGACCTGTGCCAAGGAGTGATCCTGGACCCTCAGTGTCATTGCTGTATGACCCTGGTGGTTTAGCGCCTAGTTTGGTTATAATAACAATGGACCCTCATTGTGTGAGCCGAGGACACTACTAGTTATGAGTACATGAGTGACTGAGTTAGACCTGCTTAGCATGGGTCAGTAGGCCAACTGCAGTGTTCTCGTATTTATGTTCTTGTGTTAATGATGCATGTTAAAAATTATTTTGACTATTATAAAGTTTTAAAACTGCCTCTATTAGAGAGTCATCAATCCAGAATCCTTTTCAGTTTTATTTACTGCATCTTTTTTAAACAGTTTACTGGTTTAACACTTTCTTTCCCTCCATTACTCTTGAAGGCTATAATGCTAGACATAAGTCTATTAGAGGCTTAATAACAAACTACGTTTTGCATATTGCAGAAAAGAAATAAAGTTGCATTGTATGCGGTGGCTCATAAGACGTGTGCACAAAGTTCAATATATTGTATACAGTTCATTACTGTGATAGTTGATGTTTTACCTGATCACTTCCTGTACAACTGTCAATCTTGATTATACTTCCAGCAGTTAGGAAACTAAATACAAAAAGTATACGTATTTCTGAAGTGTCAGGACAAGTCTCTGACGTCAGCAAGCCGTCCGGGTAGCTGATTTGGTAGCTTATTAAAATATATAACCACATGTTAATCAACAGCAAAATTTAGGGTTAGATATACCTGGAGGATGTTCTGGGGGTCAGTCCCCCCCATGACCTGGTCCATGACCCCCCATGGGGGTCAGTGCCCCCATGGCCTGGTCCATGACCAGGCCTCGCAGTGAATCAGGGCCTAATCAGCCAGACAGTTACTGCTGGCTGCCTGCAAATTGACATACGAACCACAGGTTAGGTTAAGCTAGAATAGGTTAGATTTAGTTATTGCTAGCCAATAATTTTACTAAATTCTCCCAAGTAATTAACGAGTTTGGATATTATTGAGGTCAAAAGCATTCATTCTTATCCTGATCATAGTACAATATTGTAATAATTAATAATAGGGATCAGTATAAGAATTACCAGCCCTCTAGTATGTAAAAACTGATTATCTAGATGCTGCCATTGAGAGTGTGTTCACAGATAAAAGAAAAAGTGTTGTACTACTGTAACCCATACCTACACAATTTAATACATGTAGCTAGAAGGACTGGTGAAACATATTGTGAGTGTAGAACCCCTGACATAGTCCAGGTAAGGAATAGGAAAGAAAAGTTCAGGCAAAATGAATGGAAAAATTTGCTAATGGGTTAAACAGATCTGCCCCTTTCAGTCTATCCTGAAAAGGTATACATAAATAAAATAACCAGGAAAAAGGAGCAGTAATATTGCTCATCCTTATCCTCTTGAAAAAGTTCATGACCTTATTAATAAATGAGCCTAAACATCCAGTCATGATAAGCTTCCAGTAGAACAAACCTAGAAAGTTCTGAAGAAACACTGAAATTTATTTATTTCATGAACCAAAACATTGGCTTCCAAATTTAGAAAGTCCTTGGAATACATCCTTATTTTTTTCATGTTCTTCACTTCACATACAGCAAATTTCCATACAGCACCAATTTTCAGGAACACATCCCTGTGTTATGAGAGGATTTACTGTACTACAATACAGCAATAATAAATAAATGTAATAATAAATGGTATAAAAATGTAGATAATTAGTACGATTTGTTATAGTTATTGACTTTTCTATTACATATATTCTTTGTGTGAGGTGCTAACCCACCATAAATGGTGGACACTTAATTCTCCGTCTTCTAAGCATGAGCCTGTACACTAACTGTGATCACTTAGTGCCCTTACTTCTGTTACTCACATGTTTGTGATATGTTTTGAGAGTAAAATGTGTTTTGACTTGCAGGTGGGTGATGGTGATGAACTGGAGCTAGTAATGAGACTGGTACAACAGCTTGGAGTTGGCCAACTTGTTCTTGACCTGGCTCTAGATGCCATCTGGGTTACTATCAGGTACCAATACATTATAAGCTTATAAAAAGGCACTTTTCAGGATGGAAGAGGTATTGGACTTGGACTGATTCCCTGTCCATGGGAGTATGAGGAAATGCTAGCACTGCACCAACACTCAAAAACAATTTCGACCACATTTCTCTCTTGTGTCTATGGGTTATGATAGGCCCCTTTGCTGCCTTAAATTATTTTTGACATGACTTCCAATGACAGCTTGGATGCATAGTAATAGTGGATGAGAGTGCAACCTCTCCTCACTTAACGACGGAGTTCTGTTCCTAATACAGTGGACCCCCGGTTAACGATTTTAATCCGTGCAAGAGGGCTCATCGTTATGCGAAATAATCGTTATGCGAATGAATTTTCCCCATAAGAAATAATGGAAATAAAATTAATCCGTGCAAGACGCCCAAAAGTATGAAAAAAATTTTTTTTTACCACATGAAATGTTAATTTTAATACACACAAACTGAAAAAGGCATGCACAATTACATGACACTTACTTTTATTGAAGATCTGGTGATGATTGATGGGATGGGAGGAGGGGAGAGCATTATCTTCTTACTGTTTAGAAGGGGAATCCCCTTCCATTAGGACTTGAGGTAGCAAGTCCTTTTCTGGGGTTACTTCCCTTCTTCTTTTAATGCCACTAGGACCAGCTTGAGAGTCACTGGACCTCTGTCGCACAACAAATCTGTCCATAGAGCTCTGTACCTCCCGTTCCTTCAAGACTTTCCTAAAATGGGCCATAACATTGTCATTGAAATAGTCACAAGCACGGCTTGCAACAGCTGTGTCAGGGTGATTTTCATCTATAAAGGTTTGCAGTTCAACCCACTCTGCACACATTTCCTTAATCTTTGAAGTAGGCACAATGGATTCCACAACTGGCATAGGCTTCTCAGGGTTAGCCCCAAACCCTTCAAAATCTTTCTTAATTTCCATACTAATTCTCACCCTTTTTACCACAGGGTTGGCACTAGAAGCTTTCTTGGGGCCCATGGTCACTTATTTTCCAGAAACAGCACCGAAAATACTGTAATAATACGAAATATTCCGAGTGTATGCTTGGATGTTACCGCGGAGGCTGGCTGGTAAACAATGGGACGGAGCGGCACATGTGAGGCTGGCTGAGGGCACATTGGACGCGTCTCGGACGAAAATCGGTATGCGGGTTTTTAATCGGTATGCGCGGCAAAAATTTTGCGATAAAAGTAATCGTTATGCGGAAAAATCGCTATGCGATGCCATCGTTATGCGGGGGTCCACTGTACCATGTCGGTAAACGAATTCGTCGCTAAGTGAGGAGCATACTATAATGGTAGTGGGTTTGTGTCAACCATCTTTGATATTGTTTTAATGTCATCTTTGCACCATTTATAACATTTATGGTATTTTTTAAATGTTTATACAGTAGTTTACTGTATATTGTAATAAATACTAGAATAGAGGAAATCAACTCTGATATGCATTATTTAGGTATGCATAGTGGTCAGAGAGCCCGTTGTAAGTCCGAGTCGTCAGTAAACGAGTATTTCGCTAGATGAGGAGAGGCTGTACTGTACTTGGTATCCCTGTCAACACCAATTTACTGTACCTTTCAGCACTTCATCCATTAAACATACATGTTGAGCCTTTGTCCAGACAGATTTTTTTTGTCTGTTTTTAACAGACTTTTGCTTTATGGGGTCTCTCTTATTTGACCTTTACTGTATTAAGGGTAACTGTTTTTTACCATTGGTATTTTTTCAGACAGTCAGTTGTGCCAAAATTCTGGAGCCACTTTGTTACCTACAACACTGAGGAGAGTGGCAGATATGAGGGAGCGAGTGAAGGGAGTGTGGAGGTGATGTCAAGAGTAACAACTGCTGTTAGTGAGCTTTACAGCAGTGCTGTCACATTTTTGCCTCAAATACATAGGTAAAGTAGCTTTTGTGCAGATTTCATTTTACCAATAAAATAAAATTGTTAAGCTTCTTTCAATATCTTAATTATTTTTATTAAAAAATGCCCTAGATGCTTGTGGTATTTAAAAATGTGAAAGGCCAAATAATGTTAATACACTGTACTGTACTTTATTGGTACTGGTAGATGAAATTACCCAGTACTGCACTGAAGAAATGACCAGTCAAAAATGTGACTAGATTATTTTTGTTTTTTCCTCTTTTAATTATTTTCTGTATTATCAGTGATTTGAATTTCTTTCTCTGCTTCAAAAGGTGTGAAATGTTATGTGAACATTGTGGAGCCAAGTTTGAAGATTGTATCCCTGGTGGTCTGATGGAACATTTCAAATTACATTTACGAGCTACCTTACACAGCCAGATGCCAACCTCATTTACGAACCTTCTTCAAAAATTTTATGCTGCAGCTTTCAAGGTCTTTTATAATGCTGAAGGTGGCAACCAGGGTGAGTTTCATATTACTGTATTGTATGTAGTAGAATCCTCTCATAAAAATCTTGCATCAATGATGACATTGGTAATATATTGCTTATTTGATCACCAGGAGAAGCCATGGGTATCTTTCAGAGCTGCCTCATAAATTTAGAGATATTAAATAGCTGATTAGTTTGTAAACTTAAATGTATTTATGATATTTAAGTTCATGAATATTATTTCTTTTAAATGTTATATTTATAGTAAGCCTAGGTAGTAGGTTGGTAGACAGCAACCGTCCAGGGAGGTACTACCGTCCTGCCAAGTGAGTGTAAAACGAAAGCCTGTAATTGTTTTACATGATGGTAGGATGCTGGTGTCCTTTTTTTATGTCTCATAAACATGCAAGATTTCAGGTATGTCTTGCTACTTCTACTTACACTTAGGTCACACTGCACATACATGTACAAGCATATATATACACATCCCTCTGGGTTTTCTTCTATTTTCTTTCTAGTTCTTGTTGTTTATTTCCTCTTATCTCCATGGGGAAGTGGATCAGAATCCTTCCTCTGTAAGCCATGCGTGTTGTAAGAGGCGACTAAAATGCCGGGAGCAAAGGGCTAGTAACCCCTTCTCCCGTATAAATTACTAGATTTAAAAAGAGAAACTTTCGTTTTTCTTTTTGGGCCACCCTGCCTTGGTGGGATACGGCCAGTTTGTTGAAAAAAAAAAAAATTGTAGTAAGATGATCAACAGAAGTAGGTGTGAGAATATATGATAAAAGAGCTAAGGATGCCTTTAGTAATAAAGTTAACATCTACTGGACTAGCTTATTAATATCAAATATATAATCCTGCAGTATACAACTAAACTGGTTGTGCAGTCACCCCCAGCTATCTTGCTCTGGCCTTTTTTTTTTTTTTTTAAATTCCATACCCATATGTCTTTTGTTCTTATTATCTCTGTCTTTAGCCCTCTGAGACAACCACCTTATCATTAGTAATAATGGTAGAATTATTGACAAATTGTTAGATAAATGGACACAGATGCAACTAGTGTGACATTTTATTGTAGCAACATTTTTTTCTCCATGAGCCTTGTCAGACTCTTGCATAATGTCACCACAATAAAATGTCACATTAGTTGCATCTGTATCCATTTACCTAACACCTTATTATTGTTGGGAGGAATGGACTTGTGTATTGCTCTTTGTGTTTCATTAGGCAGTGTCAGTAGGTGCTCTTGGGTAGGAATGCTTCATAGGGCCTACCTTGTTGCTTTGGCTGCTAGCAGGGGGTCAGACCAATATGATAGTTACCACCAAGATGCAAAAATTAGGGGGCAAGTACTTACTTTGACTTTTCTGTTGTTTCCTGACAATACTAGTGTGGAATTAAATAATTAATGAAAAGGCAGATACTGTGAGGCTTCACTTCTTGGGCTTCTCAGGTTAGGGTTGTATTTGTCTTCTGACTTTCCTCAATCCAAACCCATATGAGATTTCATCTCTCATACTGGTGATCTGTATAATGTTCCATTTATACTCCTTGAAGAAATGGACATTTTATTCTGGATATTAATCTACAGTGATTAGGCCAGATGACATGCTACATACCACAACACTTTCACCCATCATCACTGAGTTTCCTAATGATTCCTCTTCCTGTTTCTTCTTTCTACCTTTTCCTCCTACCTCCTCTTCCTCCCTCCTCATTCCTCCTTGTCTCCTCTTCTTTGTACTCTTTCTCCCTCTTGTAATGTTTTTAATGCTGTTTCAGGGGAAGAATGTGATGAAGGAGCAGATGAGGTTGTAAAGTGTGGCGGTTGTGATGCGCCGACTGATGCTTGTCATTGCCATGCTATAACTAACACTTTTTCTCAAGTTAATAAGTAAGTGACCTTTCTAGCTACAAGAATTCTACTATTGTAATTGATGTGTTTAAGGATTTTCGTATTATCACTTATACTATATACTTATATACTTGTAATCTTGTACACATACAGAAAATAAAATAATAACTGACTGCAGTTATTTATGGAATTAATGAAAAAGAAACAGAAAAAAAGTGACATAAAGAAGAAACAAGAGATGAGAGGTAAGAGGAGAGAAAGATGGAGGCCAAAGATATAAGGATAAGGTGTAATGTAAGTGAAGGAGAATGTTCTTTAAACCAATTTGTGGTTGAGTCTCATCATGGTCCAGAGGTTGAGTCTCATCATGGCCCAGAGGTGGAGTCTCAGATTATGGCCCAGAGGTGGAGTCTCAGATTATGGCCAAGAGGTGGAGTCTCAGATTATGGCCCAGAGGTGGAGTCTCAGATAATGGCCCAGAGGTGGAGTCTCAGATCATGGCCCAGAGGTGGAGTCTCAGATCATGGCCCAGAGGTGGAGTCTCAGATCATGGCCCAGAGGTGGAGTCTTAGATCATGACCCAGAGGTGGAGTCTCAGATCATGGCCCAGAGGTGGAGTCTCAGATCATGGCCCAGAGGTGGAGTCTCAGATCATGGGCCAGAGGTAGAGTCTCAGATCATGGCCCAGAGGTGGAGTCTCAGATCATGGCCCAGAGATGGAGTCTCAGATCATGGCCCAGAGGTAGAGTCTCAGATTATGGCACAGAGGTGGAGTCTCAGATCATGGCCCAGAGATGGAGTCTCACATCAAGGCCCTGCTTCTTAACTTGCCACTCTTCAGGTTCACTCCCTCTTAGCCTTATGGGCACTATTATACCTGCTCTTAAAACTATGTATGGAGCCTTTCTCCATCACTTCCTCACCAAGATCATTCCACTTTCCAAAAACTCTTGAGACTGAATAAATACTTTCTAACATCTCTGTGGCTTGTCTGTTAATTTAACTTCTATCAGTGTTCCCAAGTTTCTGTTTCTTGCCTCAAACAGCCTATCCTTGTTTAATTTTATTTTGTATGTTGTCATGTTTGTCATGTCCCCCATGGTTCTTCTGTCCTCCAGTGTCAATATGTCAAGTTCCATTAGCTGCTTCTCCTAGCTCATGCTCCTTAGCTCAGGAAAAATGCTTTGCTGCAGACTTTTGTACTTTCTCCAGTTTCTTAACATGCTTTTTCAGATGTGGGTTCCATACTAGTGATGTATACTTCAAGATGGGCCTAATATATGTTATATAAAGGACCCTGAATAACTCTTTGTTGAGATTTCTGAAGACTATTCTTAGAGTTCCCAGACGAGCACTGGCTGCAGACTTATTCAGCTGATGTGAGTTTCTGGTGTTATACTGAACACCATGCTCACACCTAGAGTGCAAGCAGAAATACTGGAGCAGGCTCTTGCTGACATTTTCCACAAATTAAAAGAAAAATACTGTGATTGAAACTAAATATACTTAAAATATATATATAGTATTGTGAATGTTACACATGTAGTGATTATCTTTTAAAAAGACATCTAAAATAGCAGTGCCAGATGATCAGTTTTCAGTTTTTTTTTTTTTTTTTTTTTTTTTTTTAACTCTTGCATTCTCCCACTAAGGTAGGGTATTTTGTTTATCACAAGTTCAGTCTTTTGTCTTTGTTAATTGGTAAAATATTCAGTCCAGAGCTGCTGTTCCTAAAAGTTTAGGTTGCCTTCATTTATGAATTTACAATTCATCGTTACAGTATACCAGTACATATTAGGAGTGTATCATTGTACTGTACTGTATATTGTATTTTGTAATGTTTATTTCAGTTTTAAGGTTTTAATATTGTTTAGTGCGTAGTTTTAATTATAATAATAATAATGTTTTAATAAAATGTGAATACTAATATGTGTTTGTGTACCAGACAGTTGCTGGAGTTAGACTTGCTAGAGAGACTTGCTGGTGACATTATATCATCACTGTTGCTCACTGTCATCACTGATCATGTCACTGCCACTTGCCGAGACTCGTATGACCAGTCACGTATTAGCCAGCTTGAGAAGGTTGGTTATATTAGTATTCTGTGAAGGCATGAGGAAGTCTACAGTAATAATTCTTTATTTTCCCCTTTAATTTACTTCAGTCATCTCACTCTGTATGACTCTAGTGGGTTTATCACTTTTTTTTTTTTTTTTTAACCCTTAAACGGTCCAAACGTATATATATATTCTCTCGTGTAGTGCCCCAAATGTATATATATGTTTCATTTGTCATTCATTCAACATTGGCACAATAGGCCTGAGTTGCCTAGACATGAGAGAATGGGTGTGCGCACTCAATGTGTGCCATATGAAAAAAATTCGGGACGCCTGGGTATATATACGTTGGGACCGTTTAAGGGTTAACAAGTCAGCCGTCTCCCACCAAAGCAGGGTGGCCCAAAAAGAAAGAAAATCCCCGAGAAGAAAATACTTTCATCATCATCATTCAACACTTTCACCTCACTCTCACACAATCACTGTTTTTGCAGAGGTACTCAGAATACATCAGTTTAGAAGCATATACATATGAAGATGCACAACATATCCCTCCAAACTGCCAATATCCCAAACCCCTCCTTTAAAGTGCAGGCATTATACTTCCCATTTCCAGGACTCAAGTCCGGCTAAATAACGGGTTTCCCTGAATCCCTTCACTAAATATTACCCTGCTTACACTCCAACAACTCGTCATGTCCCAAATACCATTCGTCTCCATTCACTCCTATCTAACATGCTCATGCATGCTTGCTGGAAGTCCAAGCCCCTTTCCCACAACACCTCCTTTACCCCCTCCCTCCAACCTTTTCGAGGACGACCCCTACCCCGCCTTCCTTCCCCTACAGATTTATATGCTCCCCATGTCATTCTACTTTGATCCATTCACTCTAAATGACCAAACCACCTCAACAACCCCTCTTCTGCCCTCTGACTAATACTTTTATTAACTCCACACCTCCTAATTTCCACACTCCGAATTTTCTGCATAATATTTAGACCACACATTGCCCTTAAACAGGACATCTCCACTGCCTCCAACCATCTCCTCGCTGCAGCATTTACAACCCAAGCTTCACACCCATATAAGAGTATTGGTACCACTGTACTTTCATACATTCCCTTCTTTGCCTCCATAGATAACGTTTTTTGTCTCCACATATACCTCAATGCACCACTCACCTTTTTTCCTTCATCAGTTCTATGATTAACCTGATCCTTCATAAATGCATCCGCTGACATATCAACTCCCAAATATCTGAAAACATTCACTCCTTCCATACTCCTCTCCAATTTGATATCCAATTTTTCTTTATCTAAATCATTTGATACCCTCATAATAATGCACAAAAATGTAAACTCAAATTTTTCTTCTTTCAGCTCAGATTTTTACTATTTTATATTGTAGAGTAATGTACCATACTGTATTCTATTAAACTGAATAATAACCATAGGCAGTAGGTTGGTAGACAGCAACCACCCAGGGAAGTACTACCGTCCTGCCAGATGCCTGTGAAACAGAAACCTGTAACTGTTTTGCATGATGGTAGGATTGCTGGTTTCTTTTTCTGTCTCATAAACACGCTAGATAACAGGGATATCTTGCTACTCCTACTTACACTTTGGTCACACTTCACAGACACGCACATGCATATACAGTGGACCCCGGGTTAACGATATTTTTTCATTCCAGAAGTATGTTCAGGTGCCAGTACTGACCGAATTTTTTCCCATAAGGAATATTGTGAAGTACGTTAGTCCATTTCAGACCCCCAAACATACACGTACAAATGCACTTACATAAATACACTTACATAATTGGTCGCATTTGGAGGTGATCGTTAAGCGGGGGTCCACTGTATATATACATACATCTAGGTTTTTCTCCTTTTTCTAAATAGCTCTTGTTCTTCTTCATTTCTTCTATTGTCCATGGGGAAGTGGAAAAGAATCTTTCCTCCGTAAGCCATGCGTGTCGTATGAGGCGACTAAAATGCCGGGAGCAATGGGCTAGTAACCCCTTCTCCTGTAGACATTTACTAAAAAAGAGAAGAAGAAAAACTTTATAAAACTGGGATGCTTGAATGTGCATGGATGTAGTGCGGATGACAAGAAACAGATGATTGCTGATGTTATGAATGAAAAGAAGTTGGATGTCCTGGTCCTAAGCGAAACAAAGCTGAAGGGGGTAGGGGAGTTTCGGTGGGGGGAAATAAATGGGATTAAATCTGGAGTATCTGAGAGAGTTAGAGCAAAGGAAGGGGTAGCAGTAATGTTGAAGGATCAGTTATGGAAGGAGAAAAGAGAATATGAATGTGTAAATTCAAGAATTATGTGGATTAAAGTAAAGGTTGGATGCGAAAAGTGGGTCATAATAAGCGTGTATGCACCTGGAGAAGAGAGGAATGTAGAGGAGAGAGAGAGATTTTGGGAGATGTTAAGTGAATGTATAGGAGCCTTTGAACCAAGTGAGAGAATAATTGTGGTAGGGGACCTGAATGCTAAAGTAGGAGAAACTTTTAGAGAGGGTGTGGTAGATAAGTTTGGGGTGCCAGGTGTAAATGAAAATGGGAGCCCTTTGATTGAACTTTGTATAGAAAGGGGTTTAGTTATAGGTAATACATATTTTAAGAAAAAGAGGATAAATAAGTATACAAGATATGATGTAGGGCGAAATGACAGTAGTTTGTTGGATTATGTATTGGTAGATAAAAGACTGTTGAGTAGACTTCAGGATGTACATGTTTATAGAGGGGCCACAGATATATCAGATCACTTTCTAGTTGTAGCTACACTGAGAGTAAAAGGTAGATGGGATACAAGAAGAATAGAAGCATCAGGGAAGAGAGAGGTGAAGGTATATAAACTAAAAGAGGAGGCAGTTAGGGTAAGATATAAACAGCTATTGGAGGATAGTTGGGCTAATGAGAGCATAGGCAATGGGGTCGAAGAGGTATGGGGTAGGTTTAAAAATGTAGTGTTGGAGTGTTCAGCAGAAGTTTGTGGTTACAGGAAGGTGGGTGCGGGAGGGAAGAGGAGCGATTGGTGGAATGATGATGTAAAGAGAGTAGTAAGGGAGAAAAAGTTAGCATATGAGAAGTTTTTACAAAGTAGAAGTGATGCAAGGAGGGAAGAGTATATGCAGAAAAAGAGAGAGGTTAAGAGAGTGGTGAAGCAATGTAAAAAGAGAGCAAATGAGAGAGTGGTGGAGATGTTATCAACAAATTTTGTTGAAAATAAGAAAAAGTTTTGGAGTGAGATTAACAAGTTAAGGAAGCCTAGAGAACAAATGGATTTGTCAGTTAAAAATAGGAGAGGAGAGTTATCAAATGGAGAGTTAGAGGTATTGGGAAGATGGAGGGAATATTTCGAGGAATTGTTAAATGTTGATGAAGATAGGGAAGCTGTGATTTCATGTATAGGGCAAGGAGGAATAACATCTTGTAGGAGTGAGGAAGAGCCAGTTGTGAGTGTGGGGGAAGTGCGTGAGGCAGTAGGTAAAATGAAAGGGGGTAAGGCAGCTGGGATTGATGGGATAAAGATAGAAATGTTAAAAGCAGGTGGGGATATAGTTTTGGAGTGGTTGGTGCAATTATTTAATAAATGTATGGAAGAAGGAAAGGTACCTAGGGATTGGCAGAGAGCATGCATAATTCCTTTGTATAAAGGCAAAGGGCACAAAAGAGAGTGCAAAAATTATAAGGGGATAAGTTTGTTGAGTATACCTGGTAAAGTGTATGGTAGAGTTATTATTGAAAGAATTAAGAGTAAGACGGAGAATAGGATAGCAGATGAACAAGGAGGCTTTAGGAAAGGTAGGGGGTGTGTGGACCAGGTGTTTACAGTGAAACACATAAGTGAACAGTATTTAGATAAGGCTAAAGAGGTCTTTGTGGCATTTATGGGTTTGGAAAAGGTGTATGACAGGGTGGATAGGGGGGCAATGTGGCAGATGTTGCAGGTGTAAGGTGTAGGAGGTAGGTCACTGAAAGAAGTGAAGAGTTTTTACTAGGATAGTGAGGCTCAAGTTAGAGTATGTAGGAAAGAGGGAAATTATTTCCCAGTAAAAGTAGGCCTTAGACAAGGATGTGTGATGTCACCGTGGTTGTTTAATATATTTATAGATGGGGTTGTAAGAGAAGTAAATGCGAGGGTCTTGGCAAGAGGCATGGAGTTAAAAGATAAAGAATCACACATAAAGTGAGAGTTGTCACAGTTGCTCTTTGCTGATGACACTGTGCTCTTGGGAGATTCTGAAGAGAAGTTGCAGAGATTGGCGGATGAATTTGGTAGGGTATGCAAAAGAAGAAAATTAAAAGTGAATACAGGAAAGAGTAAGGTTATGGGGATAGCAAAAAGATTAGGTGATGAAAGATTGGATATCAGATTGGAGGGAGAGAGTATGGAAGAGGTGAATGTATTCAGATATTTGGGAGTGGACGTGTCAGCGGATGGGTCTATGAAAGATGAGGTGAATCATAGAATTGATGAGGGGAAAAGAGTGAGTGGTGCACTTAGGAGTCTGTGGAGACAAAGAACTTTGTCCTTGGAGGAAAAGAGGGGAATGTATGAGAGTATAGTTTTACCAACGCTCTTATATGAGTGTGAAGCATGGGTGATGAATGTTGCAGCGAGGAGAAGGCTGGAGGCAGTGGAGATGTCATGTCTGAGGGCAATGTGTGGTGTGAATATAATGCAGAGAATTCATAGTTTGGAAGTTAGGAGGAGATGCGGGATTTCCAAAACTGTTGTCCAGAGGGCTGAGGAAGGGTTGTTGAGGTGGTTCGGACATGTAGAGAGAATGGAGCGAAACAGAATGACTTCAAGAGTGTATCAGTCTGTAGTGGAAGGAAGGCGGGGTAGGGATCGGCCTAGGAAAGGTTGGAGGGATGGGGTAAAGGAGGTTTTGTGTGCGAGGGGCTTGGACTTCCAGCAGGCATGCGTGAGCGTGTTTGATAGGAGTGAATGGAGACAAATGGTTTTTAATACTTGACGTGCTGTTGGAGTGTGAGCAAAGTAACATTTATGAAGGGGTTCAGGGAAACCGGCAGGCCGGACTTGAGTCCTGGAGATGGGAAGTACAGTGCCTGCACTCTGAAGGAGGGGTGTTAATGTTGCAGTTTAAAAACTGTAGTGTAAAGCACCCTTCTGGCAAGACAGTGATGGAGTGAATGATGGTGAAAGTTTTTCTTTTTCGGGCCACCCTGCCTTGGTGGGAATCGGCCGGTTTGATAATAAAAAAAAATAATAATTTTTTTTTATTATTATTTTTTATTATTATTATTTTTTTATTATTATTAACTACTGAGTGTTGCTGCTTGAATGAGAGCAAAAATTCTTTCAGTTCTGATCCAGGCACATTATCGCATTACAAACATTCATTACATTTCTTTACAATGCTATAAAATACCTAAATTTGATATATAATAAGTATATGCCAAAGACACACCAAAGTAGGGTGCCTCCAAAAAAGAAGAAAAACTTCATCTTTCACTCAGTCACTATCTTCCCAGAAGCATGCCAACATTACAGCTCAGATGAGCTTCAACAAGCCCACCACCCCTCCTTCAGAATGCAGGCACTGTACTTCCCATCTCCATAACTCATATCTGGCTGACTGGATTCCCTGGATTCCTTCATAAGTGTTCCTTGGCTCACACACCAACAACACATCAAATCACAAAACTTATTGCCTCCTCTCACTTCTAACACGCTCACACATGCCTGTTAGATGTCCAAGCTCCTCGAACTCAAGCCTATTTTTACTGGAAAATAGTCCTCTTTTTTTTTTTTCTCTTCCTACTAACCCTAACCAGAACCTTGCTCTCCTAATAAAAACTACAGCTTTTAATAACCCACTACCTATTTCATACATTTCCAGTGCCTGGCATACTGCTTCTTCTCTATCCACCCAATCATATGCCATTTTTAAATCCATAATTGCAACAAAAAAGCTCCTTACAGGTTTGCATATGGTTATTGATAACTTGTGTGACTTGTGGAGGTGTATCTTGCAGGCATTTTTACACTTTCATTAATTATTTACTGATTATTTTAACATGTACTGTATATTCCATTGTATACCTTGATGTATTTCCCATTATTATTAAAATGTTTGCCTTTGGACAATAATTATATTACAGGAAATTCTGTTATTGGCAGTGGGTGGAGAGTGTGGTGATAGGATGGCTGGAAGTGGTGTACTGTGGTGGTCGTGGTCAACTCTCTTCAGCTGATTCTGTAGTACAGACTATGGTGGCTAACAACCTTAACCAGACCTATATGACAGCTCTTTATCATACTTATACAACAACACGGATAGACCAGCTCTTTAATATTGTCATTGGTTAGTATTTTTATATTTTGTTGAATATTAATTTACTTAAAAGAAATCAGAGATCCCAATGCAGTGAAGAGTCTTGTTGTGTTCCCAGACTATTAGAAGATAGGAGATGATCTCTCCAAGGCACTTGACATTTTGCTCACCTTTCTTAGATTAATATACTCAGTGACAGTCACCCAAGTTGTTACAGTATTAATTTTTTATGTAACTCTAGATCTTAATAATATTTTGTAGACTTGTTTCTCATCAAAATTTTCGTATTTTTTTTCAGAATACCCAGAGTCTCAGCCAGCTCTAGAAGATATCCGAGAATGTTTAGATCGTACTCACTTAAGGAATCACCTTGTAGACTCCCTGAGATCAGCAATACAGGTAAGTAGTAAGCAGTCCATAAGTACTAGTTTTAATCTGCCTGAAATTCTTAGCAGAACAAGAGGCTTTCCTTTGAATGTACAAAATAAGATGTAATCCTAGAGCTGAATCAGTGCTCTGTAATTCTTTGAAATAGAATTTGACTTTGAAATACGTATTGAAAACTGCATTTGCCATACAGTATATTGCTATAATTAAATTACATCATAAATGTATACTAAAGCATTCAGATATACAGTTTACCATGGATTTAATGAACTGTGGAAACATGAAACAAAGATCTACTGGGTCATTTCGATTCGGAAACAGTAAACAAAGTTCATTGGTTACAGAATTGCACTTTGTTACTACAATCATGACAACAAATCTCAAGTCTGTCCACCACAACTGTCATTACTGGCCACTCACTTACCTCTGTTAGTCTCTAAAATCTAACCTACTTTGACCTGAAGCCATTTTTGTATTACTCATTTGAGTTACTTTCAGTACACTTCATTTTTCTCAGTTACTACCAATGACAACAAGGTAAGTAGAACTGGGAAGGGTGTCTGTTGCAAAATTACCAGATGGAGCATCCAGCCTCTAATACTACTTATGCTGAATCACCAGCAACCTGCACAGTTTAATTTTTTTTTTATTACACATCGTCCGTAAATAAATACATTCTTCTTTCAACAAACAAGCCATATCCCACCAAAGCAGGGTGGCCCAAAAAGAAAAGCAAAAATTTCTCTTTGACTTTAGTGATGTATACAGGAGAAGGGGTTACTAGCCCCTTGCTCCTGGCATTTTAGTTGCCTCTTATGACACACATGGCTTATGGAGGAAGAATTCTGTTCTACTTTCCCATGGAGATATGAGGAAATAAGCAAGAAGAAGAACCAGTAAGAAAAAAGAAAACCCACAGGGGGGTGTGTATATATATGCTTGTACATGCATGTGTAGTGTGGCCTAAGTGTAAGTAGAAGTAGCAAGACTTACCTGAAATCTTGCATGTTTATGAGACAGAAAAAAGAGACACCAACAATCCTACCATCATGTAAAACAATTACAGGCTTCCATTTCACATTCACTTGGCAGGATGACAGTGTGTACTTCCCTGGGCAGTTGCTGTCTACCAACCTACTACCTATAAATAAATACATACAATATATAAATTCTGTTAATAATTACATAAAATACTCCATGGGAAAGTGGAGAAGAATCCTTCATAAGCCATGCATTCTGTAAAAGGTGACTAAAATGTCCGGAGCAAAGGGCTAGTAACCTTCTCTTGTGTATAACTTATTAACTGTAAAAAGAAGAAAAACTTGATTTTCTTACAATTTTGTCTTTATCACGTTTGTCTTTATGCCTATTTTATCCGTTTTATTGTAGCAGTCAATTTTTTTGGTAACAGCTGTCAACATCACTTGTTTTTTGATCCCCTAATACAGCTGTGATGCCTAGCGTTCTTGTAGCAAAGTGATATCAGCAAGTATTGTGAGGTTCATTGTGATGATTAGATCATATGCACACTATTCCTCCCAGAAATCAAAGGACAGTCTATAATCTTTGGCAGAGGTTCATTCATATATAAACTAGCTTAACCCTTTGACTGTTTTCAATGTATAAATACGTCTTACGAGCCAATGTTTCTGACGTATATATACTCAATAATTCTAGCAGCTTCAAATCAAGCGGGAGAAAGCTGGTAGGCCCACATGTGAGAGAATGGGTCTGTGTGGTCAGTGTGCACCACATAAAAAAAATCCTGCAGCACACATTGCGTAATGAGAAAAAAAAACTGATCGTTTTTGTGGAATAAAACGCCGACTTTGAGGTGTATTTTCGTATAGTCTTTATCGTTGTATTCGCGTTTTCATGGTCTTAGGTGATAAAATGGAAAACATATTACAGAAATAGAGATGATTTTCATTAATTTGACGATGAAAACGACCTTGAAACTGAGCTCAAAGTAGCGGAAATGTTCGATTTTTACCAATGTTCAGGAGTAAATAAATCACACCACACGTCCAATACACGTCAACTGAGAAGTCTAATATTCTTTCACTAGTGCACTGATATTATTTATACCATTTTTTACAATAATGCAGTAGTCTGCATAGCAGTAAATTTTGTATTTTTTTGTATGAATAAAAAGTCAAAATAGAAAGCAATAATAATATAAGAGGAGCCTAGAGATGTGACTAATGAACAGAGCATATGTTATTTTAGTGCCACGAATGTCTACCTTGTTTATTCTGGACCCTATTTTGAAATTGGCATCTTTTTTAGTTTGCGTGAAATTGGCCAAATTGCCAATTTCTGACCACGATATTGGGTAGTCCAAATTAGTAAATGGGAGGTTTCTTGTACTCAGCTGATAGACAAAATGGAGTTCTAAAGAAATAGCTATGAGTTTGGTGAACTGGAACAATGGAATTGGCTGAAAATAGGGCTCAAAGTCGGCAAAATCGCCAATACGCTTATATCGCCGAGACCGCTAAATTCGCGGGAGCATAATTCCATGAGTTTTCGACCAAATTTCGAACTTTTGGTGTCATTACCATTGGGAAAAGATTCTCTATCATTTCATAAGAAAAAATAATTTTTTTTTTTTCAAAAATTGAGCGACATAGAATGACAGTTTCAGAGAGGGGCCTGAAACAGTCAAAGGGTTAATGACTAAGCAGGTTATTATTACTGTTTTAGAAAAGATTCTCAAACTTGTATGCAAAATACTTTGAAGTTTTCATTAATAAATAAAATGTTAACCCTTGTTGTGGGCTCACTATTATGAGTGCATGTATTAAACCTTCTCATAGACACGTCATTCACCATAGTGATTATGAACCAATCCTTGTCATAGAAAAATCATTCACCAAAGTGTATTAGTGAATTCCTAAGCCCTGCTCATGTCTTGCACAATATATGTAATCACTTGAAGCCAACTGGCAGATCAGACTGTGTTCAGAGCCACGTTTTATTCATCACAACCATTGCCATTTCACAAGACTTGGGATCATTCACCATCTCTGAGGTTTTAGCAAACTTAGTCCTGCTTACAACCAATACTGCTATCACCTAACACCTCACCCCATTACCATAGACCATATTGAACTCACTCTACACCTCACAGACCTATCCTTAGTTACTATTGTAACCTAGTGTTTTTCTTGTTTTGGTGTGTATTGATCAGTGTAAAGCTGGTGCTGTTTCTGGTGTATGTGAATGACATGATGGAAGGAATAGACTCAGAAGTGTCCCTGTTGGCAGATGATGTGAAGTTTTATTATTTTTTTTATTAACACACTGGCCGATTCCCACCAAGGCAGGGTGGCCTGAAAAAGAAAAACTTTCACCATCATTCACTCCATCACTGTCTTGCCAGAAGGGTGCTTTACACTACAGTTTTTAAACTGCAACATTTACACCCCTCCTTCAGAGTGCAGGCACTGTACTTCCCATCTCCAGGACTCAAGTCCGGCCTGCCGGTTTCCCTGAACCCCTTCATAAATGTTACTTTGCTCACACTCCAACAGCACGTCAAGTATTAAAAACCATTTGTCTCCATTCACTCCTATCAAACACGCTCATGCATGCCTGCTGGAAGTCCAAGCCCCTCGCACACAAAACCTCCTTTACCCCCTCCCTCCAACCTTTCCTAGGCCGATCCCTACCCCGCCTTCCTTCCACTACAGACTGATACACTCTTGAAGTCATTCTGTTTCGCTCCATTCTCTCTACATGTCCGAACCACCTCAACAACCCTTCCTCAGCCCTCTGGACAACAGTTTTGGTAATCCCGCACCTCCTCCTAACTTCCAAACTATGAATTCTCTGCATTATATTCACACCACACATTGCCCTCAGACATGACATCTCCACTGCCTCCAGCCTTTCCTCCGCTGCAACATTCATCACCCATGCTTCACACCCATATAAGAGCGTTGGTAAAACTATACTCTCATACATTCCCCTCTTTGCCTCCAAGGACAAAGTTCTTTGTCTCCACAGACTCCTAAGTGCACCACTCACCCTTTTCCCCTCATCAATTCTATGATTCACTTCATCTTTCATAGACCCATCCGCTGACACGTCCACTCCCAAATATCTGAATACATTCACCTCCTCCATACTCTCTCCCTCCAATCTGATATCCAATCTTTCATCACCTAATCTTTTTGTTATCCTCATAACCTTACTCTTTCCTGTATTCACCTTTAATTTTCTTCTTTTGCACACCATACCAAATTCATCCACCAATCTCTGCAACTTCTCTTCAGAATCTCCCAAGAGCACAGTGTCATCAGCAAAGAGCAACTGTGACAACTCCAACTTTATGTGTGATTCTTTATCTTTTAACTCCACGCCTGTTGCCAAGACCCTCGCATTCACTTCTCTTACAACCCCATCTATAAATATATTAAACAACCACGGTGACATCACACATCCTTGTCTAAGGCCTACTTTTACTGGGAAATAATTTCCCTCTTTCCTACATACTCTAACTTGAGCCTCACTATCCTCGTAAAAACTCTTCACTTCTTTCAGTAACCTACCTCCTACACCATACACCTGCAACATCTGCCACATTGCCCCCCTATCCACCCTGTCATACGCCTTTTCCAAATCCATAAATGCCACAAAGACCTCTTTAGCCTTATCTAAATACTGTTCACTTATATGTTTCACTGTAAACACCTGGTCCACACACCCCCTACCTTTCCTAAAGCCTCCTTGTTCATCTGCTATCCTATTCTCCGTCTTACTCTTAATTCTTTCAATAATAACTCAACCATACACTTTACCAGGTATACTCAACAGACTTATTTTTATTTTATTATCACACTGGCCGATTCCCACCAAGGCAGGGTGGCCTGAAAAAGAAAAACTTTCACCATCATTCACTCCATCACTGTCTTGCCAGAAGGGTGCTTTACACTACAGTTTTTAAACTGCAACATTAACACCCCTCCTTCAGAGTGCAGGCACTGTACTTCCCATCTCCAGGACTCAAGTCCCGCCTGCCGGTTCCCCTGAACCCCTTCATAAATGTTACTTTGCTCACACTCCAACAGCACGTCAAGTATTAAAAACCATTCGTCTCCATTCACTCCTATCAAACACGCTCACGCATGCCTGCTGGAAGTCCAAGCCCCTCGCACACAAAACCTCCTTTACCCCCTCCCTCCAACCTTTCCTAGGCCGACCCCTACCCCGCCTTCCTTCCACTACAGACTGATACACTCTTGAAGTCATTCTGTTTCGCTCCATTCTCTCTACATGTCCGAACCACCTCAACAACCCTTCCTCAGCCCTCTGGACAACAGTTTTGGTAATCCCGCACCTCCTCCTAACTTCCAAACTATGAATTCTCTGCATTATATTCACACCACACATTGCCCTCAGACATGACATCTCCACTGCCTCCAGCCTTCTCCTCGCTGCAACATTCATCACCCATGCTTCACACCCATATAAGAGCGTTGGTAAAACTATACTCTCATACATTCCCCTCTTTGCCTCCAAGGACAAAGTTCTTTGTCTCCACAGACTCCTAAGTGCACCACTCACCCTTTTCCCCTCATCAATTCTATGATTCACTTCATCTTTCATAGACCCATCCGCTGACACGTCCACTCCCAAATATCTGAATACATTCACCTCCTCCATACTCTCTCCCTCCAATCTGATATCCAATCTTTCATCACCTAATCTTTTTGTTATCCTCATAACCTTACTCTTTCCTGTATTCACCTTTAATTTTCTTCTTTTGCACACCATACCAAATTCATCCACCAATCTCTGCAACTTCTCTTCAGAATCTCCCAAGAGCACAGTGTCATCAGCAAAGAGCAACTGTGACAACTCCAACTTTATGTGTGATTCTTTATCTTTTAACTCCACGCCTGTTGCCAAGACCCTCGCATTCACTTCTCTTACAACCCCATCTATAAATATATTAAACAACCACGGTGACATCACACATCCTTGTCTAAGGCCTACTTTTACTGGGAAATAATTTCCCTCTTTCCTACATACTCTAACTTGAGCCTCACTATCCTCGTAAAAACTCTTCACTTCTTTCAGTAACCTACCTCCTACACCATACACCTGCAACATCTGCCACATTGCCCCCCTATCCACCCTGTCATACGCCTTTTCCAAATCCATAAATGCCACAAAGACCTCTTTAGCCTTATCTAAATACTGTTCACTTATATGTTTCACTGTAAACACCTGGTCCACACACCCCCTACCTTTCCTAAAGCCTCCTTGTTCATCTGCTATCCTATTCTCCGTCTTACTCTTAATTCTTTCAATAATAACTCAACCATACACTTTACCAGGTATACTCAACAGACTTATCCCCCTATAATTTCTGCACTCTCTTTTATCCCCTTTGCCTTTATACAAAGGAACTATGCATGCTCTCTGCCAATCCCTAGGTACCTTACCCTCTTCCATACATTTATTAAATAATTGCACCAACCACTCCAAAACTATATCCCCACCTGCTTTTAACATTTCTATCTTTATCCCATCAATCCCGGCTGCCTTACCCCCTTTCATTTTACCTACTGCCTCACGAACTTCCTCCACACTCACAACTGGCTCTTCCTCACTCCTGCAAGATGTTGTTCCTCCTTGCCCTATACTCGAAATCACAGCTTCCGTATCTTCATCAACATTTAACAATTCCTCAAAATATTCCCTCCATCTTCCCAATACCTCTAACTCTCCATTTAATAACTCTCCTCTCCTATTTTTAACTGACAAATCCATTTGTTCTCTAGGCTTCCTTAACTTGTTAATCTCACTCCAAAACTTTTTCTTATTTTCAACAAAATTTGTTGATAACATCTCACCCACTCTCTCATTTGCTCTCTTTTTACATTGCTTCACCACTCTCTTAACCTCTCTCTTTTTCTGCATATACTTTTCCCTCCTTGCATCACTTCTACTTTGTAAAAACTTCTCATATGCTAACTTTTTCTCCCTTACTACTCTCTTTACATCATCATTCCACCAATCGCTCCTCTTCCCTCCCGCACCCACTTTCCTGTAACCACAAACTTCTGCTGAACACTCTAACACTACATTTTTAAACCTACCCCATACCTCTTCGACCCCATTGCCTATGCTCTCATTTGCCCATCTATCCTCCAATAGCTGTTTATATCTTACCCTAACTGCCTCCTCTTTTAGTTTATAAACCTTCACCTCTCTCTTCCCTGATGCTTCTATTCTCCTTGTTTTTCTTCTTCTCTTTTTTAGTAAATGTCTACAGGAGAAGGGGTTACTAGCCCATTGCTCCCGGCATTTTAGTCGCCTCATACGACACGCATGGCTTACGGAGGAAAGATTCTTTTCCACTTCCCCATGGACAATAGATGAAATAAAGAAGAACAAGAGCTATTTAGAAAAAGGAGAAAAACCTAGATGTATGTATATATATATATGCATGTGCTTGTCTGTGAAGTGTGACCAAAGTGTAAGTAGGAGTAGCAAGATATCCCTGTTATCTAGCGTGTTTATGTGAAGTTGATGGGAATTCAATTGGATGAGGACCAGGAGGTCCTTGTCCAACTGAATTCTTCTCATGTGTAATTAGGGTGTTAAAGGTACAGTTATGTGTAATCATGGGTTACTAACCTTCTCACCTCCTATGTTCACTACACAGCTCTTATTATCTCAAATTTCTTAGAAACCAACAAAATTTTGCATTGAATTTTCTTCTTTTTACCTCTAACATCACTAGTATTTCTTGAGGGTATCACAGTTAATATTTAGAGATGAAATGAATTGATGACAACTATGACAATGATTGAATAACACACAGCTGCATAAAGTCTGGTACATGTTCACAAGAAAATTGAAGCATGGGTGCTGTTTATATTACTGGGTGACATTAGGCCTCTCCTTAAAATGGAAGCTAACTGCAGCACAGATGAGAAATAGTGTATCCCCCAGTGTGTTCCATTGGGATTTAGTGTTCAATGTGAACTGATACTCGTTTTCCCCAAATTTATGGCTTGCCACAGTGTGCTTTACTGTTTTTTTCATGTTATGTGAAATTTGAAAGCAAAATTTTATTCATGTTTTGTTGAAAATGTGGTGTGGATGCATGTTATGTGAAAGTCTAGTGTGTGTAGTAAATATTAAATATGGTGTAAGTGCCTATACATATATTATTCCTCAGACACGTCTTCTTCACCCTGGAGTCAACACAACTGATGTTCTTCATGCATATATCTCAGCTATTAAGGCTTTGCGTGTACTTGACCCAAAGGGAGTTCTTCTTGAGCTGGTTTCAGAGCCTGTAAGGTAGGACTTAACACAAAACATAAAAACTTTTGTCCTCACAAAGCTATTCTTGATAAATTGTAAAAAAAAAAATTCAACCTCTGTGGGGCAGCGGGCCTCCAGCAGCAACAGCCTGGTTGACCAGGCAAGCACCAGATGAGCCTGGCCCATGGCCAGGCTCAGAGAGCAGAGAAACTCTCAAAACTCTTCAAAGGTATATCAAGGGTATCTGCCAAAGTAGGGTGACTCAAAGAGGGAAACAGTCATCATCATCATTCATTCAATCACTGTCTTGTTAGAGGTGCACTTAATGTCATAATTCAGATGACTCTCCTACAAAATCTCCACCCCTCTCTGAGTGCAGGTATTGCCCTTCCCACCTCCAGAACTTGAGTTTGCCTAACTGGTTTCCTTGAATTCGATCATAAGTGTTACCCTGCTCACACTCCAATAGCACATCCATTAAAACCCACTTATCTTCATTCATTCTTATCTAACTCACTCACACAGGCCTGCTAGATGCTCAGGTTCCCTAAGACTCAAAGCCTCCTTTCTTTCTCTCACTCTAACCATTCCTGGAAGAATCCAACCCCTCCTACCTTCCATTCCAAATTTTTACACCCCTTTTTTGCTATCCTATCTCTCTCTATCCTCTGTAAACACCCCAACCACCTCAGCAACCCCTCCTCAGCCCTCTGAATTATACCCTTTGTGACCCACACCATTTTTTAAGTATCTACACTTCAAACTCTCTACATAATATTCACACCACACATTGCTCTCAACCATGATATCTCCTCTGCCTCTAGCCTCTTCTCACTGCAACTTTCAAAGTCTATGCCTCACACTTCTTCTTCTTTCTTGCAACGTACCAGCCGTTTCCCACCGAGGTGGGGTGGCCCAAAAGGAAAAACGAAAGTTTCTCCTTTGAAATTTAGTAATATATACAGGAGAAGGGGTTACTAGCCCCTTGCTCCCGGCATTTTAGTCGCCTCTTACAACACGCATGGCTTACGGAGGAAGAATTCTGGTCCACTTCCCCATGGAGATAAGAGGAAATAAACAAGAACAAGAACTAGAAAGAAAATAGAAGAAAACCCAGAGGGGTATGTATATATATGCTTGTGCATGTATGTGTAGTGTGACCTAAGTGTAAGCAGAAGTAGCATGATGTACCTGAAACCTTGCATGTTTATGAGACAGAAAAAAGACACCAGCAATCCTACCATCATGTAAAATAATTACAGGCTTTTGTTTTACACTCATTGGCAGGACAGTAGTACCTCCCTGGGCAGTTGCTGTCTACCAACCTACTACCTAGAATGCCTCACACTTATACAAAAGTATTGATACCATTATTCTCTGGTACATTCCCTTAGACAGAAATGTAAATCATAGCTCTGTATCATCCTTTTCACATGATACTAGAATCCGTATGGGAGTGGCATACATTGAATACAGAAATTTTCAAACTGATATAAACCAGGTCTTTCAGTGGGCCATAGAAAATATTATGGTGTTTAGCAAGATCAGATTTTAGTTTGCAGTGGAAAGATTGAGGAAATAAAAACTGTATTGGAGTAAAAAATTGGATCAGAATATAAAACAAACTCAAACTACTCCACAAGGTGGAAGACTAATGCGAGGGAAATTTGGAGTGTTGTTATCAGAAGGTCTTACCCTTCAAGGATTACAAGTGTTGTTACAAATATGTTAACCTATAAAATCATCAGATGAGGCAGGTGCCTTAAGCAGTGCAAGTGTGTAGCAAGTGAAATTCAGACAAAGTACATTGGCATACTGTATATATAAAGCCATTACTGAAATGGTGACTATATACCTACCATATCCTGTAATTCTGCTATATGAGACAGTAGATAACTTTTGTTAGACCTCATATGTTAATTGTGCTGTCTATATGGTAGACTACTTATCTGTAATCTCAGCCTTGTTAAGCACTGCAGTAAGCAGAATAAACCAGTAGTTTATTGCTTGTTAAGGTCTGTGTATATTTTATAAATATTAAAAGTTGCTTCTTTTATTACAGACAGTATTTACGTGGAAGAGAAGACACGGTACGTTATATTGTAACAAGCTTGACCGACGAAAGTTGCTCGGAACTATCAGAAGAGTTGCTGGTTGCTGCACCATTGGTCTTGGATGATTCTCACAGTGATGATGACAATATGGATAACTGGGAGACATGGACACCTGATCCAGTACATGCACATAGTTGTATGTATCTCACAAAACAAATTCATCAAGAACGTTTTATCTTATTGGAAACATAGTACAGTGTAAATATAATAATTAAATTAGCTATACAGGTGTTGTGTATAAATTTCTGTTTATAATTAATGTTTGTAAATACCATGATATAAACTAAGGGAGGAGGAAGTTCGGGCGAGATATAAGCGACTATTGGCAGAAAGGTGGGATAGTGCAAAGATGAGTAATGGGGGGGTTGAAGAGGGTTGGAATAGTTTTAAAAATGCAGTATTAGAATGTGGGGCAGAAGTTTGTGGTTATAGGAGGGTGGGTGCAGGAGGAAAGAGGAGTGATTGGTGGAATGATGAAGTAAAGGGTGTGATAAAAGAGAAAAAGGTAGCTTATGAGAGGTTTTTACAAAGCAGAAGTGTTATAAGAAGAGCAGAATATATGGAGAGTAAAAGAAAGGTAAAGAGAGTGGTGAGAGAGTGCAAAAGGAGAGCAGATGATAGAGTGGGAGAGGCACTGTCAAGAAATTTTAATGAAAATAAGAAAAAATTTTGGAGTGAGTTAAACAAGTTAAGAAAGCCAAGGGAAAATATGGATTTGTCAGTTAAAAACAGAGTAGGGGAGTTAGTAGATGGGGAGATGGAGGTATTAGGTAGATGGCGAGAATATTTTGAGGAACTTTTAAATGTTAAGGAAGAAACAGAGGCAGTAATTTCATGCACTGGTCAGGGAGGTATACCATCTTTTAGGAGTGAAGAAGAGCAGAATGTAAGTGTGGGGGAGGTACGTGAGGCATTACGTAAAATGAAAGGGGGTATAAGCAGCTGGGTACTGATGGGATCATGACAGAAATGTTAAAAGCAGGGGGGGATATAGTGTTGGAGTGGTTGGTACTTTTGTTCAATAAATGTATGAAAGAGGGGAAGGTACCTAGGGATTGGCGGGAGAGCATGTATAGTCCCTTTATATAAAGGGAAAGGGGACAAAAGAGACTGTAAAAATTATAGAGGAATAAGCTTACTGAGTATACCAGGAAAAGTGTACGGTAGGGTTATAATTGAAAGAATTAGAGGTAAGACAGAATGTAGGATTGCGGATGAGCAAGGAGGTTTCAGAGTGGGTAGGGGATGTGTAGATCAAGTGTTTACATTGAAGCATATATGTGAACAGTATTTAGATAAAGGTAGGGAAGTTTTTATTGCATTTATGGATTTAGAAAAGGCATATGATAGAGTGGATAGAGGAGCAATGTGGCAGATGTTGCAAGTATATGGAATAGGTGGTAAGTTATTAAATGCTGTAAAGAGTTTTTATGAAGATAGTGAGGCTCAGGTTAGGGTGTGTAGAAGAGAGGGAGACTATTTCCCGGTAAAAGTAGGTCTTAGACAGGGATGTGTAATGTCACCATGGTTGTTTAATATATTTATAGATGGGGTTGTTAAGGAAGTAAATGCTAGGGTGTTTGGGAGAGGGGTGGGATTAAATTATGGGGAATCAAATTCAAAATGGGAATTGACACAGTTACTTTTTGCTGATGATACTGTGCTTATGGGAGATTCTAAAAAAAATTGCAAAGGTTAGTGGATGAGTTTGGGAATGTGTGTAAAGGTAGAAAGTTGAAAGTGAACATAGAAAAGAGTAAGGTGATGAGGGTGTCAAATGATTTAGATAAAGAAAATTGGATATCAAATTGGGGAGGAGGAGTATGGAAGAAGTGAATGTTTTCAGATACTTGGGAGTTGACGTGTCGGTGGATGGATTTATGAAGGATGAGGTTAATCATAGAATTGATGAGGGAAAAAGGTGAGTGGTGCGTTGAGGTATATGTGGAGTCAAAAACGTTATCTATGGAGGCAAAGAAGGGAATGTATGAAAGTATAGTAGTACCAACACTCTTATATGGGTGTGAAGCTTGGGTGGTAAATGCAGCAGCGAGGAGACGGTTGGAGGCAGTGGAGATGTCCTGTTTAAGGGCAATGTGTGGTGTAAATATTATGCAGAAAATTCGGAGTGTGGAAATTAGGAGAAGGTGTGGAGTTAATAAAAGTATTAGTCAGAGGGCAGAAGAGGGGTTGTTGAGGTGGTTTGGTCATTTAGAGAGAATGGATCAAGTAGAATGACATGGAAAGCATATAAATCTATAGGGGAAGGAAGGCGGGTAGGGGTCGTCCTCGAAAGGGTTGGAGAGAGGGGGTAAAGGAGGTTTTGTGGGTAAGGGGCTTGGACTTCCAGCAAGCGTGCGTGAGCGTGTTAGATAGGAGTGAATGGAGACGAATGGTACTTGGGACCTGACGATCTGTTGGAGTGTGAGCAGGGTAATATTTAGTGAAGGGATTCAGGGAAACCGGTTATTTTCATATAGTCGGACTTGAGTCCTGGAAATGGGAAGTACAATGCCTGCACTTTAAAGGAGGGGTTTGGGATATTGGCAGTTTGGAGGGATATGTTGTGTATCTTTATATGTGTATGCTTCTAGACTGTTGTATTCTGAGCACCTCTGCAAAAACAGTGATAATGTGCGAGTGTGGTGAAAGTGTTGAATGATGATGAAAGTATTTTCTTTTTGGGGATTTTCTTTCTTTTTTGGGTCACCCTGCCTCGGTGGGAGACGGCCGACTTGTTGAAAAAAAAAAAAAAAAAAAAAAAAAAAAAATACCATGGTTATAGGAGTACTGTTGTACTCTTCATGCACCATAGTGTGTATGTATGAATACAGCCTCTCCTCACTTAGCAGTGTACTCATTTACTGACAACTCGGACTTACAACGGGCTCTCTGACCAGTGTGCATGCCTAAATAATGTATATTAAAACTGATTTCCTCTATTCTGTTTATTTCAGTATACAGTACAGTATTGTATAAACATTTAAAAATATACCAGAAATGTTATAAATGGTGCAAAGGCGACATTAAAACAATATCAGAGATGGTTGACACAAACCCACTACCATTATAGTATGCTCCTCACTGTGCAACAAATTTGTTTACCGACATGGTCTTAGGAACGGAACTCCGTTGTTAAGCGAGTAGAGGCTGTATATACATGTATGTATATATCTGTATGCATGTGTGTGTAGTATGTTTGTACATATGTAGTATTAGGTATGGGACAATACCAGAATTTTTGCTGATACCAATATTCACTTATAGGCTGATACCGATACCACCAAAATTTGCCGATATCAGTGGTAGGGTGTGTGTGCGTGTGCGTGCGCGTGCGTGTGTGCATGCAGGGGGCGATGATGGGGATCATATCTTTCTTTCAACACACCGGCCGTATCCCACCGAGGCGGGGTGGCCCAAAAGGAAAAACGAAAGTTTCTCCTTTTACATTTAGTAATATACAGTATACAGGAGAAGGGGTTACTAGCCCCTTGCTCCTGGCATTTTAGTCGCCTCTTACAACACGCATGGCTTACGGAGGAAGAATTCTGTTCCACTTTCCCATGGAGGTAAGAGGAAATAAACAAGAACAAGAACTAGTAGGAAAATAGAAGAAAACCCAGCGGGGTGTGTATATATATATGCTTGTACATGCATGTGTAGTGTGACCTAAGTGTATGTAGAAGTAGCAAAACGTACCTGAAACCTTGCATGTTTATGAGACAGAAAAATGGACACCAGCAATCCTACCATCATGTAAAACAATTACAGGCTTTCGTTTTACACTCACTTGGCAGGACGGTAGTACCTCCCTGGGTGGTTGCTGTCTACCAACCTACTACCTAGTGGGATCATATATCTTTCTTTCTTTCAACACACCAGCCGTATCCCACTGAGGCAGGGTGGCCGAAAAGGAAAAACTAAAGTTTCTCCTTTTACATTTAGTAATATATACAGGAGAAGAGGTTACTAGCCCCTTGCTCCCGGCATTTTAGTCGCCTCTTACAACACGCATGGCTTACGGAGGAAGAATTCTGTTCCACTTCCCCATGGAGATAAGAGGAAATAAACAAGAATAAGAACTAGAAAGAAAATAGAAGAAAACCCAGAGGGGTGTGTATATATGTGCTTGTACATGTATGTGTAGTGTGACCTAAGTGTAAGTAGAAGTAGCAAGACATACCTGAAATCTTGCATGTTCATGAGACAGAAAAAAAGGACACCAGCAATCCTACCATCATGTAAAACAATTACAGGCTTTCGTTTTACACTCACTTGGCAGGACGGTAGTACCTCCCTGGGTGGTTGCTGTCTACCAACCTACTACCTAGTGGGATCATATATAGTATTTAAATATACATGCACACAAGTACGCACGCACGTGCATGCATACACACGTGTGAGAAGCTGAACATGAGATTTAAGGAACTATTTACAGTGGAGACAGAAAGGACTCTAGGAAGTCAGAACAGGATGGTACACCAACAAGGGATATACCAACAAGTGCCGGATAAGATACACACAACTGAGGAGGAGGTAAAGAAGCTGCTAAATGAACTTGATACCTCAAAGGCGGTGGGACTGGACATCATCTCTCCGTGGATCCTTAGAGAGGGAGCAGAGATGCTGTGTGTGTGCCACTAACAACAATTTTCAACACATCCATTCCAACTGGGCAATTACCTGAGGTATGGAAGACGGCAAATGTAGTCCTCATTTTTAAGAAAGGAGACAGACATGAGGCACTAAACTACAGACCAGTGTCATTGATGTGAATAGTATGCAAAGCCATGGAGAAGATTATCAGGAGAGAGGTGGAGCACCTAGAACGGAATAAGTTTATAAAAGACAACCAGCATGGATTCAGGGAAGGAAAGTCCTGTCACAAACCTAGTGGAGTTTTATGACAAGGTAACTGCAGTAAGACATGAGAGAGAGGAGTGGGTAGACTGCATTTTCTTGGACTGCATGAAGGTCTTCGACACAGTTCCTCACAAGAGATTAGTGCAAAAGCTAGAGGATCAGGCACTCATAACAGGAAGGACACTGCAGTGGATCAGAGAAAACCTGATGAGGAGGCAACAACAAGTCATGGTACATGATGAGGTGTAGGGCGCCTGCGACAAGCAGGGTTCCACAGGGGTCAGTCCTAGGACCAGTGCTATTTTTGGTATATGTGCATGACATGACAGAAGGGATAGACTCAGAAGTGTCCCTGTTTGCAGATGATGTGAAGCTAATGAGGACAGTTAGATTGGATGAGGATTAGGCAGGACTACAAAGAGACCTGGACAGGCTGGAAGCCTGATCCAACAACTGGCTCCTCGAATTTAACCCCACTAAATATAAAGACATGAAGATCGGGGAAGGGCAAAGAAGACCACAGACAGAGTATGGGCTAGGTGGCCAAAGACTGCATACCTCACTCAAGGAAAAGGATAATACTGAGATAATACTGAGCACATCTGAGGCACACATCAACCAGATAACTGCTGCAGCATATGGGCACCTGGAAAACCTGAGAATACCATTCTGATACCTCAGTAAGGAATCGTTCAAGACTCTGTACACTGTGCACGTCAGGCCCATACTGGAGCATGCAACACCAGTTTGGAACCCACACCTAGTCAAGCACGTCAAGAAATTAGAGAAAGTGCTAAGGTTTGCAACAAGACTAGTTCCAGAGCTAAGGGGAATGCCCTACAAAGAAAGGTTAAGTTAAATCGGCCTGACGACAATGGAGGACAGGAGGGTCAGGGGAGACATGATAATGACATACAAAATACTGCAAGGAATAGACAAGGTGGACAAAGACAGGATGTTCCAGAGATGGGACACAGAAACAAGGGGTCCCAATTGGAAGCTGAAGACTCAGATGAGTCAAAGGGATGTTAGGAAGTATTTCTTCAGTCATAGAGTTATCAGGCAGTGGAATAGCCTAGAAAGTGACATAGTGGAAGCGGGAACTATATATAGTTTTAAGATGAGGTTTGATAAAGCTCATGGAGCAGGAAGAGAGAAGACCTAGTTGCAATCATTGAAGAGGCAGGGCCAGGAGCTGTGACTCAACCCCTGCAACCACAAATAGGTGAGTACAGTAGAGTTCTTCAGTGCACTTTATATTTTTTATGCATTATTCTCATATATCCCTGTTGTGGGGTAAACTGATTGTAATGCCAGCACACTTCTGGCAAAACATCAATTGAGTGAATGGTGGTAACTGTATTTCCTCCTTTGGGTGAGTGTTCCTTGGCAGGAGACTTCCATTGAGGCAAAAAGCACACTATTTATAAATAAATTAATTTATGATCTCTCTTCTCTTTAAAACAGTGAAATCAAAATCACAGCGTACAGCAGATATAATTTCCATGTTGGTGAATATTTACGGGAGTAAAGATGTCTTCATCACAGAGTACCGTACTATTCTGGCTGACAGAATACTCTCTCAGTTTAGTTATGATACTGAAAGAGAGATCAGATATTTGGAGCATCTAAAGGTCAGGTATGTATCATTGCTATTGTTTTCTTTTCCACTCTACTGAGTGAATTTTATACTCTTTTTTAGCTTTTTTTTATTACTAGGTATTACTGGACAGTATAAAAAAAAAATGTGCATAAATTAGAAACAAAGCAATAATATCCACAGAAAGCTGGGAAGAGTGACAGGAGAAATTTCAGTAGGGTGGCCAACTGATTATTGTCAACATTTGTTGTGCCATGGTGTCAACAAATGGCTGCAAGTATGTGGAGAACTTTGGTATAGTTTTTGCATGTACATAGGCACTCTTGTATGTTATAATATTACTTGATTCACTTCTGTCTAGAAATTGAGCTTCACCAGTATTTCCTCCAGAAATCTTTCTTCTTCATTATATTCTAAAAAAAGTTCATTCATGTTTTCTGGTTCCATATCTTCAAAACCTTCACGTGGCAGTCTCCTTGCCGAGTCAAATATTACCTGGATCCAGCTTTTCACTGAGGGGAAAACCTATTAAATTATTTACCACACTAGGCCATGACTTTTCCCAGTCTTCATTTATTGCAAACTTGGGCATGTTACCCCATGAAATTTGGGTTATTGTCTTTGCAGTGTTGAATTTGCACCAGAACTCAGGTACTCCAGACTCTGAGTCAGCATCCTTTGCTGCAAGGAGCCTCTGGATCTGTAAATGCACTGCAGTGTCTTAATAACACGGCGATCCAGTGATTATATCAATGGATCATGCAAGGGTTCTGGATGACTGGGATTTATAAAGAATGAGGAAAATCTTGAAATTGAGGTTCATTCTCCTTAAGTAAAATTGGAGTTTTGGAATAAAATGTTGCATATACCACCTAACCCTTTTGTGTCAGTCCCATTGTACTATGGCTTTGAAGCCAGGGTCAGTCCTATAGGACTACGCCATGAACTCAGATCTCAGATAAGCTGTGAGCAGTAAATTTGAGCCTAAATATAAGAGAATGGATCTATGTGGTAAGTGTGCACCATATAAAAAAATCATGCAACAGTGCATAATGAGAAAAAAACTCTGCATTTTTAGTTTAAAACAGCTACTTTGCAGTGTATTTTCCCTGAGGGCAAGTTTTAGATCAGGGGTCTTAACTCTGAAAGTGTTAATAAGCAAGGATTCAGTCATCCATGTTGTTGAGCTAGATTGCCAAATGACAAGCAAAGTGCTTTTGTCTTTCCATTTCAAAGAATGATAAGTAAGAGTGATAAATAAGCATGGGCCTACACTTAAACTCACCTACTGTATAAACATACAGAAGCAGGATTAAATGATCTTTCACCACCTTGAATCCAGGTGCCCTTTTCTCTTGCTTGCTGATGTTGGTTCTGAAAGGCATCATCTTCCAGAATAATCATGTCTCATCAGCATTAAACTCTGGTTCAGGTTCATAGCCATGCTCAAAAATAAATTCCTCCAGTTCAGCAGGAAAATTCTCTGCAACCATATGGTCAGCAGGGAGACTCTCACCACTCAACCTTATATTATACTGCCAACTGCCCATTTTAAAATAATGAAACCATTCAGCACTAAAGGAACACTGTTGTGCAAGCTTTCCCTCCTGCAAAATGTGAATCATGAAGTGGTGAAAACACAGTACTTGGAGACCTGAAAGATGAGGGCTTACTGTATCCAAGTTCACACTAGGTGATTCCCACAGCAAGCATCTTGGAATAAAGGAAACAGCATGAGCCAGTAGGCATGCAGTGCTGCACAACTACTACTACTATTTACACTAGATCATCATCTCTGGATGCTCTATATAAGCTGTAATTTTTTTGTGCTGTGTACTTAATAAAGTCGACTTGTGGGTGAAATGTTGTACCAGTAAAGACTTCACTGCATTAAGTGTCTATTTACCATGTATTACTTTCATGTTTTTTTTATGGCTACACTTACATCGAATTATTTGTTTACTTGAATATACATTTCTACCCATTACCATAAGATCCAACTCTATGTGCTCAGATCCTTTAAATTCATAAACTTTGTCTTTACACTCTGCTTTTCACATCTTTGTAGCAACATTAAATACATCTGTTTCAAAGACTAAATGTGAAATATCCTTGTGTGTTGTGATTGACAAATTATAAACCATTTATCACTGCCAAACAAACTGCTTCTCCTCAGTCTTGTTCATTGATATTTCTTGTGTGTTGCTTAGTCATACCACATTTCCTTACACACTCAGTATATCTGCCCATCTTTTTATAGCCATATATTATTAAAAATATATCACCATGGTATAGTACCATACATTTTTTACTATTGCAGATTTGGAGAGACTCTTGCACTGCTTCATAAATGTGAGGTAATGGTAAAGGACGTTGCAGACTCCAAGCGCATCAACAGCTCCATTAATTCTGATGAAAATCCTCGTAGAGAGAAGCAGATGTTCCCTGTATCATGTATGATTCTTTCTGCACAGTTCTGGCCCTCATTTAAGGAAGAACGTCTCCAGTTACCAGAGGAAGTAATGAAGGAGCTGGATACTTACACTGAAGCATTCCAAGACCTTAAGGGCAACAGAACACTAAACTGGAAACCACACTTAGGACAGGTAACTACCACACCTAGGACAGGTAACTATAATGTTTGGGATGAGTAACTACCTCATGTCACCTTTTAAAAATTCTCCTTTCCTTTTCTCCTCTCTTTTCTTCCCTTTCACTTCCCCTCTCAATTCTCCTCCACCCCTTCTCACTCCTTTTCTTCACTTCTTTCCCTCCCACTCTACTGTTATATTATTATTATAATCAAAAAGAAGCGCTAAGCCACAAGGGCTATACAGCTCTACTGTTATAAATTCTAGTTTTTGCATTAATTGAAAAATTTTGTTTTTGTTTTTAGAGAGGTATCCATATTGTGATTTACCTTATCATAGACACATCTCATAAAATTGTATAATGATATACAAGTGGATAATTTACTAGGAGCTCAGGCAAAGTGAATTAGATTTGTTGAATATTATATAATGCTATCTTTAATTTCCTCTGGCAAACTATTCCGTATTTTTGCTGCTATTTATTTACATGAACTTTCTTTCTTAACTGAGCCATTCACTCAAAATATCAGAGAAAAATTTTATTTCTTGCATGGTGTCTATGGGTCCTGTTACAACCTTCTAGGGAATGTCGAAGGTTTGAATTACCATTTGTTACGGTTAAGATATAACATGCACAAGAAAAAAGTGATTGGCTTATACATTCAATAATTTCAGGGATTTGAATATAGTTATGTGTGTTTTCTGAAGTTGGTTGAATAATAAATAATTATTAATAAGAACCTCCCTCTTGAATACAGGTTCAAGTAGAAATTGATTTGAAAAACCGTACACTAAATTTGACGGTTACGCCAACTCAAGCCACCATCATATATCATTTTCAAGAACGAGCTCGCTGGTCCATAGATGATTTGAGCACCGTCACACAGGTCCCCAAAACTGTTTTGAGGAGAAAGATTACATACTGGCAAACACAGGTGGGTGACAATAATGTTTATTTTTTAAAGGAGGTTTTGTGGGCGAGGGGCTTGGACTTCCAGCAAGCGTGCATGAGCGTGTTAGATAGGAGTGAATGGAGACGAATGATACTTGGGACCTGACGATCTGTTGGAGTGTGAGCAGGGTAATATTTAGTAAAGGGATTCAGGGAAACCGGTTATTTTCATATAGTCGGACTTGAGTCCTGGAAATGGGAAGTACAATGCCTGCACTTTAAAGGAGGGGTTTGGGATATTGGCGGTTTGGAGGGATATGTTGTGTATCTTTATATGTATATGCTTCTAAACTGTTGTATTCTGAGCACCTCTGCAAAAGCAGTGATAATGTGTGAGTGTGGTGAAAGTGTTGAATGATGATGAAAGTATTTTCTTTTTGGGGATTTTCTTTCTTTTTTGGGTCACCCTGCCTCGGTGGGAGACGACCGACTTGTTGAAAAAAAAAAAAAATATATATATATATTTTTTTTTTTTCAACAAGTCGGCCGTCTCCCACCGAGGCAGGGTGACCCAAAAAAGAAAGAAAATCCCCAAAAAGAAAATACTTTCATCATTATTCAACCTTTCAAACCACACTCGCACAATTATCACTGTTTTTGCAGAGGTGCTCAATTACACAGTTTTTAGAAGCAATACACATATACAGATACCCACAATATCCCTCCAAACTGCCAATATCCAAACCCCTCCTTTAAAGTGCAGGCATTTACTTCCCATTTCCAGGACTCAAGTCCGACTATATTAAAATAAATTAGTTTCCCTGAAATCCCTAATATTACCCACCTCGCCTCCAACCTTTTTTCCTAGCCAACCCCTACCCCCCTTCCTTCCACTACACCTGATACACTCTTGAAGTATTCCCTGTTTCGCTCCATTCTCTCTACACAATGTCCGAACCACCTCAAACAACCCTCCTCAGCCCTCTTGACAACATTTTGGTTAATCCCGCACCTGCCTCCTAACTTCAAACTACGAATTCCTCTGCATTATATTCACAACCACACATTGGCTCACAGTGGACATGACATCCTCCACTGCCTCCAGCCTTCTCCTCGCTGCAACCTTCATCCACCCATGCTTCACACCTCATATAAGAGCCGTTGGAAAACTTATACGCTCGATACATTCCCCACTTTGCCTCCAAGGACAAATTCTTTGTCTCCACAGACTCCTAAGTGCAACCACTCACCCTTTTCCCCTCATCAATTCTATGATTCACCTCATCTTTCCCATAGACCATCCGCTGACAACGTCCGCTCCCAAATATCAGAATACATTTACCTCCTCCATACTCTCTCCCTCCAATCTGATATCCAATCTTTCATCACGCTATTCTTTTTGTGTTATCCTCATAACCTTACTCTTTCCTGATTCACTTTCATTTTCTTCTTTGCACAACCCTACCAAATTCATCCACCAATCTCTGCAATTCCTCTTCAGAATCTCCAAGAGCACAGTGTCATCAGCGAAAGAGCAACTGTGACAACTCCCATTTTTATGTGTGGATTCTTACCATTTAACCTCCACGCCTGGTCTTGCCAAGACCCTCGCATTTACCTTCTCTTACAACCATATCTCAAAAATATATTAAAACAACCACGGTGACACACACCATTCCTGTCTAAGGCCTACTTTTTACTGGGAAAATAATTCCCTCTTTCCTACAATACTCTAACATGACCTCACCATTCTTCGTAAAAAACTCATCACTGCTTTCAGTAACCTACCTCCCTACACCATACACCTGGCAAAAAAACATCTGCCACATTGCCCCCCCTATCCACCCTGTTCATACGCCTTTTTCCAAATCCATAAATGCCTACAAAGACCTCTTGATCCTTAATCTAAATACAGTTCACAATTATATATATATATTTAATATTATACTACCGATCCTGCCAGATGTAACTGTGAAACAAAAACCTGTATCTGTTTTGCCTGATGGGTAGGATGCTGGTTTCTTTTTTTTTCTTTCTGTCTTTCATAACACGCTAAAGGATAACAGGAGACATCTTGCTAACTCCTACTTACAACTTAGGTCACATTCACAGTCACGCACATGCATATATATATAATACATACCTCTAGGTTTTTCTCCCCTTTTATCTAAATACTCATGTTCTTTTTTATTTCTTCTATTTTCCATGGGGAAGTGGAAAAGAATCTTTCCTCCTAGCCATGCGTATGTCGTATGAGGCGACTAAAATGCCGGGAGCAATGGGCTAGTAACCCTTCTCCTGTTTACAATTACTAAAAAAAAGAGAAGCAAGAAAAACTTTTATAAAACTGGGTTTCTTAAATGTGCGTGGATGTAGTGGCGGATGACAAGAAACAGATGATTGCTGATGTTATGAATGATAAGAAGTTGGATTGTCCTGGCCCTAAGCGAAACAAAGCTGAAGGGGTAGAGAGTTTTCAGTGGGGGGAAATAAATGGGACTAAATCTGGAGTATCTTGAGAGAGTTAGAGCAAAGGAAGGGTAGCAGTAATGTTAAAATGATCAGTTTATGAAGGAGAAAAGAGAATATTAATGTGTAAAATTCACGAATTAAGTGGATTAAAGTAAAGGATGGTGATGCGAGAAGTGTGTCATAAATAAGCGTGTATGTCACCTGAGAAGAGAGGACTGCAAGAGAGAGAGAGAGAATTTTGGGAGATGTTAATTGAATGTAAAGGAGCCATTGAACCAAGTGAGAAGAGTAATTGTGGTAGGGGAACTTGAAATGCTAAAGTAGGAAGAAAATCTTTTAGAGAGGGTGTGTAGTAAGTTTGGGATGCCAGGTGTAAAAATGATAATGGGAGCCCTAGATTAACTTTGTTATAGAAAGGGTTTTAGTAAAGTAATACATATTTTAAAGAAAAAGAGGATAAATCAGTATACACTATATGAATGTAGGGCGAAATGACAGTAGTTTGTTGGATTAGTAATGGTAGATAAAAGCTGTTGAGTAGACTCAGGTGTACATGTTTCTAGAGGTGCCACATATTATCAGATCACTTTCTAGTTGTCAGCTACACTGAGATAAAAGGTAATGGGGATACAAGGAGAATAGAAGCATCAGGGAAGAGAGAGGTGAAGGTTTATTAAACTAAAAGAGGATGGCAGTTATGGTAAATATAAACAGCTATTGGAAGATAGATGGCTAATGAGAGCACCATAGCATGGGGTCCGAAAGAGGTATGGGGTAGGTTTAAAAAATGTAGTGTGTTAGAGTGTTCCAGCAGAAGTTTGTGGTTACAGGAAAGTGGGTGCAGAGGGGGAAGATGACGATTGGTCGGAATGATGGATGTACAAGAGAGTATAAGGGAGAAAAAGTTAGCATAAGAGAAGTTATTAACAAAGTAGAAGTGAATGCAGGAGGGAAGAGTATAAGGATGAAAAAGAGAGAAGTTAAAAGAGTGGTGAAGTCAATGTAAAAAGAGAGCAAAATGAGAGAGGGAGAGATGTTATCAACAAATTTTGTTGAAAAATAAGAAAAAGTTTTGGAGTGAGATTAACAAGTTAAGAAGCCCTAGAGAACAAATGGTTTGTCCATTAAAAAATAGGAGGAGGAGATTATTAAATTGGAGAGTAGAGGTATTAGGGGAAGATGGAAGGGAATATTTTTGAGGAATTGTTAAATGGTTATGAAGATAGGGAAGCGTGTGATTTCCGTGTAATAGGGCAAGGAGGGAATCACATCTTGTATGAGTGAGAATGAGCCAGTTGTGATTGTGGGAAGTTCGTGAGCCAGTAGGTAAAAATGAAAGGGTGTAAGGCAGCCGGGATTTGATGGGATAAAAGATAGAAATGTATAAAGCAGGGGGGAAATAGTTTTGGAGAGGGTTGGTGCAATAAATAATAAATGTATGGAAGAGGGTAAGGTACCTAGGGATTGGCAGAGAGCATGCATATTTCCTTTGTATAAGCAAAGGTGATAGAAAAAATAAAAAAAGAATGCGAAAAATTATAGGGGGATAATCTGTTGCTGTCCCTGGTAAAGTGTTAGGTAGAGATAATAATTGAAAGAATTAAGAAAAACGGAGAAAAAGGATAGCAGATGAACAAGGAGGCTATAGGAAAGGTAGGGGGTGTGAGTGGACCAGTGTTTACAGTGAAACATAAAAGTGAACGTAATTAGATAAGGCTAAGAGAAGTCTTTGTGCAATTTTAGGATTTGGGAAAAGGCGTTTTAATGAACAGGGTGGATAGGGGGGCAAAGTGCAGATGTTGCAAGAGAATGGTGTAGGCGGTAGGTTACTGAAAGGCGGTGAAGAGTATTTTTAACGAGGATAGTGAGGCTCAAGTTAGAGTAATGTAGAAAGAGGGAAATTTTTTATTCCAGTCAAAGTAGCCTTAGAACAAGGAGTTGTGATGTCACCGTGTTGTTTAATATATATATAGATGGGGTTAGTAAGAGAAGTAAATGCGAGGTCTAGGCAAGACGCGTGGAGTTAAAAGATAAAGAATCACAGCACTCAAAGTGGGCGAGTTGTCACAGCTGCTCTTTGCTGATGACACTGTGCTCCTGGGAGATTCTGAAGAGAAGTTGCAGAGATTGGTGGATAATTTGTTAGGGGGTGTGCAAAAGAAGAAAATTAAAGGTGAATACGGAAAGAGATAAGGTTATAGTGAATAACAAAAAGATTACGGGTATGAAAGATGATATCAGATTGGAGGGAAGAGTATGGAGGAGGTGAACGTATTCAGATATTTGGGAGTGAGCACTTGTCGAGCGTTGGATGGGTCTATGAAAGATGAGGTTAATACATTTAGAAAATGATGAGGGGAAAAAGATGTGAGTGGGGCACTTAGAGTCTGTGAGACCAAGAAACTTTGTCCTTGGAGCAAAGAGGGGAATGAATGAGAGTAATAGTTTTTTAACCAACGCTCTTATATGGGTGTGAAGCGTCGTGTGCTGGAATGTTGCAGCGAGAGAAGGCTGGAGGCAGTGGAGAGATGTCATGTCTGAGGGCAATGGTTGGTGTGAAAATATAAATGCAGAGAATTCGTAGTTTGGAAGTTAGGAGGAGGTGCGGGATTACCAAAACTGTCGTCCCAGAGGGCTGAGGAAGGGTTTTTTTTTGTTGAGGTGGTTCGGACATTTAGAGAGAAATGGAGCGAAACAGAATGACTTCAAGAGTGTAATCAGTCTTGTAGTATAGGAAGGAAGGCGGGGTTAGGGTCGTCCCTAGAAGTTGGAGGGCGGGGGTAAAGGAGGTTTTGGTGTGCGAGGGCATGACTTCCAGCATGGCAAGCGTGAGCGTGGATTTAATAGGAAGTGAAAGGCGACAAATGGTTTTTTTAAATACTTGACGTGCTGTTGGAGTGAGAGCAAATAACCTTTATGAAGGGAATTCAGTGGAAACCGGCAGGGGCCGAACTTGAGTCCTGGAGATGGGAGTACAGTGCCTGCACTCTGAAGGAGGGGTGTTAATGTTGCAGTTAAAAAAACCTGGTAGTGTA